ACACAACAGCAAGCAGTTTTAAGTGGAATCAACCCATCCTATCGTGTTTATCGAACCATGTTTAATCAAGGTAAATTATGGATGTGTTGTCTAATCTATATCTTTTAATTTCTTGAAGGTAATTAAATCTGCAAGGACGTAATCTGTGTGATCCCATTACTACTTCCATTTTGCCTATTTTGCGGTACTTAAATCCCATGGAGGGTGGCACAGCTTATATTTATATTAGTTTCATCCTCTTCCATCTTCTTTTTCATTTTATACAAGGTAGGAACAACTTCGCTTTGATAAAAACAATATGTTTTCCATCTTATTAGGTCCTGATCACTATTGTCTATACGGTGAGTTAAATCACTGCGTTTAATCCCTTTCTTCAATTCTCCACTATTAATAATATCCCTTATCGACTATATTGGCGTTTGTTTCTCATTTAATAAGTAGACAGTAAGAATAGATTTTTGACAACCTGTTCTGCATAGTTGTTGTTTTGTTTAGGCGCTCCACAGTGTCCTCCTGCCTTAGATGAATTTCGTGGAGTACTGTTTTTGTTGGGGAACTGGCTGAATTTTTTAGCTGACTCAAATAGTCAGCGGGTGTATCTCCGTCCAGTTCTTTTTACCTTTTCCGATCGCACGCAGGCACAATGTTCACCGGCTGCCTAACCTTCTGAGATTTTAATATTTTCGATGCGTATAAAATGAATATGGCTCTTGCTGTTTTATCGATTTTGACTCTCATTTTAATTGTTTCACATTTGACGTTGCAATCAAAGCTGAAAACGGCGAGCCGTAAATAAATAAAGATTGTTATTGCGATTTATTACCGTCATTAAAAACGACATAGCGGCGAGGACCGGGTGTTTCGACGACTGTCGGACCCCCCGTATCATTCGTTGTATGTACAAAACGGCCATAAAATGCAGTTATTAACGACTACCACGTTTTAAATGTTGTTCGCGTTTTATGATGTGCGAATGTCTGATGTGTGAACATTAACGGCATGCGTGCGCTGTCATAGCGCCATTATTATTTGGAAAGTAGGGACCGCGGAAATGTCGATCGCCGTTATGTTGCTCGCGTGCGTCCATTGGTGGCGTCTTAACGTTTCCGAAAACAATATTTTTCAAACCGGTTGAACGTTTTTATTCCTTTTAGTCCTCGCAGTATAATAATGGATTAATTATGTTTAATTTATTATTATTTATAATTATCACACATGGTGTTCGACAATTGAGTTCGGAAACTTGGAGGAAAGATTCATTCATTGATTCATTTAAAGATTTGGTGAAATAATGGTAGTAATTTATGTAACAACAATTCGAAATCGTAATATTTTGCTTGTCAAAATTATAATTTTTTTAATTTTATTTTTAACGCAGTGGTATTGATTCTCAACGAAATAAGCTGGTATTTTAAACACAGGCCTGATTAAGATGCAAAGATTTTTTTATTTTCCCTGTATTTTATTTATTTAGACTGATATTGCAAAATTGAACAGATCGCCTTAAGCAGAACCATAAATCCTCAAAAATTGTTACTCTTGTTGTAAATCGATAAGTGTTATCGTTTAGCCGCAAATCGACTTTTTTATTTTCGGACCGAATACCCCTCACTTCTAATTTACAGAAAGGTGATACTGGATAGTGGGCTGAATTTTCAACGGAATAAGTTGGTATTTTACACACAGCTCTAATTTAGTAAAAGTCATCGTTACAAAATAAAAGTGTTTGTTTCAGAAATCTGTCACTAGAGGGCACTTTATCTAGAACATTTTTTATTTAGACTGATATTGCAAAATAGAACAGATCGCCTTAAGCGAAACCACAAAACCTCAAAAATCGTTACTCCTGTTTTAAATCGATAAGTGTTATCGTTTAGCCACAAATCGACATTTTTATTCTCGGCCTGAATACCCCGCACTTCTAATTTACAGAAATGTGATACTAGATATCGCGATACGTTACGTAAAAGCAAGTGGAAATGCAGCCCTGCATTAAATTTTTCAAAACCGTATGCTCCAAATTAAAAAAGTGAAGCAATGGCATAAATCAATCCAAAAACATGTTTAATTTAAGTAACATAAATGCATTTAAAGTTTTCGAAAATGAAAAATTATTAATAATAATCGGGAATTAAGCAGTATACAACATTTTCAAAATGCCCACCGTTCATTTCAAAACATTTTCTTACACATTTTCAAAAATGCTGTCCAACACGAAAGATACGTCTAACCTATTTGCAAGAGTTTCGCAACCGTTTATATTTTTTTTTTTTGCGTAGATAATTAATATCTGTTATAGGTGTTTCATACTTTAAACACTTTAAGTGTCCCCAAACAAAGAAGTCCATCGGATTAAGGTCTGGTGAGCGAGGCGGCCAATCTAGAGGTCCGCCGCGATCTATCCATCCATGTCCAAATGCCTGATTTAAATATCTTCGTACAGCCGATGTAAAATGGTGTGGAGCGCCATCTTGCATTAACCACATGTTTTGTCTCCACTGCAAGGGTACCTCTTCCAGCAAAGGTGGTAGTTGCTCTTTTAGAAATCCCCACCCATTCATTTAAAGAAAGCCGACGCTGATGTTTTCCTTCATTTTTTGCATGTGGGTTGTCAATGTTCCACTGATGCATATTTCAAAAATTTACAATGCCATCACAACTGAATGCAGCCGCGTCAGTGAACAAAATGACATGTAAGAATTGCGGGTAATTTTGAATTTTCCCTAAAATTTGATTGCATAAACTTACCGCTCAATTGCTCATCACCCTCATGCAGTGCTAACCTTTTTAACATGAAAGGGTCGAAGATCATTTTCATTCAAAACTTCCCAAACTGTAAAGCTACCAATTCTTCCACGCGCACCAGGATTTCTCGTACTCATTGACATATCAGCCTCCACATTTTGAAGTATACTTTCTTCTCTTGCAGCCGCTCTTTTATACCTTGATCTGCCTTTATTCATAATATCAGGTTTGAATGATCCTCTTTCACCAAGTCTTCAAGTTTCTATTGGGATAATCCTCGCTATAAAGCCGTCGTGCTTGATCTGCATTTCTATTTGCTCTTCCGTAGCAAAAATGCATATCACGATATTCAATATTTGAATATTCCTAAGGATTTGTGACTCTGCTTAAGTCAATCTGTTCTGTTTTGTACTATCAGTCTAAATAAATAAAATACAGGGAAAATAAGAAAAATGTTCCAGATAAAGTGCCCTCTAGTGACAGATTTCTGAAACACTTTTATTGTGTAGCGATGAATTTTACTAAATCACTGAGTTAAAAATAAAATTTAAAAAACTGAATTTTGAGAAGATATAACTCGGAAAATATTACGATTTCGAATTTTTGTTACGTGGCTTACTATCATTATTTTACCACGTTGAATATTTCCTCCAAGTTTCCGAACTCAATTTCCGAACACCCTGTATACTTAATTAATAAAGAACATTGTTTCACCACTGCCTTTACTGAACATTTGTGATAAATTTTCAAATAATTCTACTCTAAAGTCCAGCAAACATGATCAATTTCTATTTTTACCTGCAAAATAATTTAGAGTTTGTGTGAAAATTAACTGGAAGCTTTTGTGGGTTTAGCGTTGATAAAAAATGTAAATAAAGTCGAAATCATGCACGAAAGAAGACGATTGAAAATGTAAATGTAGTATTTATTATAAATGCTACAACAGGAAAAAAACATTTTTTCGGATCGGTTTTTAGCTTATTGTTAAGGAAAGCCTCTTTTCCCAAATATTATTATTAGGTGAAAATGTTAGTCTCAAAAAAATTGAGGTAATGTAATGGAACCAAGAAATTAAAAATGACTTTTATGAAAAATGCAAACATTTTGTTTTAAAAAACTGTCGCTGTAATATTGGAAAAAATTTTTTTTGGGGAACAAAAAAATTAATATAATTCAATTCAACTGTTAAGCAACCCAATTTCTCCCATTTTTTCCTTCTTACGGTCACGAGTACAGTACAGTACAGTGTGTTCAAGATAAGGAAGGTTAATAAAGTGCTGTTGAGAAAACAAAAAAATCCAGTGACTTGAAGATACGCCAAAAAAAACTATTTTTTTTCTGGTGTTATTTGAAGAGATATAACAAGATAAAAGGCAGTTTCTCGTTACCACTTTTTGAGATTTTAAGTAAAGAAACGTGATACTTGAAATCTCTTAACTGTATTTTATAGAGCTCAAAAAGTGGAAACGAGAAAGTGGCGTATCATCAACTGATTGAAATTTTTTAGTTTTCTTACCAGCATGCTATTATTAATCTTTAAATTTTGCAACTTTTATCTAACTTAATCAAATTGATATTTGCATAAAGTTTAGTCTTTTAATTGACGATAAAAGCTACGTTTATTGTCTATATTAAAAAATCCAAAACTAACCAAAATAATTAAAACATATTTTGCGTGAAAAAATTGCTTAGGCCCCTGCCATTTTAACAGCAGTTAGTTTGTTGGGTTGATACGCGACCAACTTAACGGCGCAATGGGCGTGTACCCTTAGCTGACTTGCCCAAGGTAATAAGAAGAAAAGGGGAAGATATTGTTTAGTACCTATTTCTCTCGGTCTGTGGATATCATCAACACTAAAATTGTAAGCAAAAAAGAGAAAACCAGTTCGGATTTTAAACAATAGTAATTTATCCTACAAACGGAACACACAAAAAATAATACTGCGTTTGCTGTTTGGAAATCCGCAAGTTTGTGGAAAGAGTCGATTTCTAGTTGGTAAACTATCGAAAATCCTCGATACGTCACATTTGAGGTTGCTGCGCAGCATCGTTGCGATCATAGACAGTTTCTGAGTCGTGTAGGAGCGAACTCATTGAATGTAAAATAGACAGCTGTAGACCGGGCGATATGTATGCAGACCGCGGCGTTAACGTAGCTGAAATGTACCGTTGCAATGCCTATCAATAAATGAATAATTTTATTCGTTAGTTAAGCATTCTTAAGCATTCCTAACCGACTCCTACTTTAAATGTAGGTGATCTTTCGTCTTCCCTCGCAGACGGTGTTCCGTTTAAATCTCTCCGTAGCCGAGTCGTATTTTTTTTCTTTTGGGGGAGTGACTTTGCATACCGAAAACACTTGGTGCTTAGTGATTTAGTGTCCAGTGCCTCGGAACTGAAAGCCTCGACCGCGTCATATCGTCGACAGCGGAACCGGAATGAATGACATTCATTCCGATGAAGTTTTGAACGTTTAATAGTCAGGCTGGCGGGTGCTGAGATCATTTCGGAGGGCGGCGGGGACGGCGGCGGTACGGGGACGGTCGACAAAAGTTGTCTCACGACGTATATATTTAATCCCGTGGAAACTTGTACCGGCACGCCCAGTCCCGAGAAATATCCGCTCGACGCTACCAATAGCGTTTCCGGTAAGTTCAACTTCGATCCTACCCGACTGCGCCACTCGCGACATTGAGATCCGAATTGCTTGATAAAAACGAATGGATTTGTCGACGGACTCGAACGTTTTTTATATTCAGAAGAAAAATATATATTTAACTCTTAAATTCATGAGTTTTTAATCAGTTATAAACTAGTAGATATAATGGAATTTTCTTTTTATTTAATTTAAAAAAAAAACGATAGTTTTTTTTTATAAGACGCCTCCTTTAGTGGTAGAGGCCGAGTCAACCCTTTTCTTCGTTTTTATGCGATTTGTAACTTTAAACTGCTCCTTCGATACGAAAATCCATTTAAATATTCTTGTTTTAACTCTTTTACAAAACCAAGCATTTACTACTGAGTGCAATAAAAATTGATAAGGAGTTTCAAGTTCTAAAATCCCAGCAGGCCATATTTCTATAGATAATAGACTTCTCTCCGGGCTTATCTCCCTGTTTATATCCCTGTTTACTACGAGGATATCTGAGGTGTCATTGAGACATTCGAATTTAGCATTTTCTCTCTTTCCTTGTCGCTCTCTTCTTATTTAGTCTCGTAGTAAAATTCAACGATAGTAAAGATCGTTATCTCATTGGTTTCAGTAGTTATGAGCAGATTTTAAATACAAAAAAGATTGTTAGTATGCATAATTTAAAATTCTTTAAACTATACAGGGTGGCTCAAAAAAATGTAACGAAAAAACATTGTTTTAAATGGAACACACATTATTTTTTAATTTTGCTTTGAATTCCTTTCAAAATTCTTCAACTTTTTTATTAATAATAATACGTACAATATTTGACTTTTTAAAAAAATTGCTAGATTTCCCAGAAAAAAATACGATAGCGCCATTACTTTTGAAGGTGGATCATTCATATTTGACATTAGTGTGATTCGAAGATGACGTAAAAGATTTACGCAACGGAATTTGAATTAGATGCACGCTTTTTTGAGCCATCCTGTATACTTTAAAATAATGTTAAATTGTACATGAAAGAAATCTTTATAACTTTTGAATTTACCTTCCTATTTACCATTTTCTCATACATACTCTGAACTATTTTATTTTGCTAAAGATTGTGAATATTCATTTAAGAGTTAAATCAAATTGTTTGAGGCGTCGAAGATAAAATCCAGATAAATCGTTGTCAATAACAAGATTTTTGTTAATGTTGGGCCTAATTCAAATTAATTATTTAATTTTTTCTTTATTCTTGAGAACTTTTCGAACCGACTCGTACAGAAACAACCGCAACCAATTCCTTTTGTGTCCAATTTTGTTGCGAATTCCATGGGGAACCGCCTTGCCTTGTTGTATCGAGAATGTGTGTTGGAAAAATAACATCAAATCAATATTTTAACAGGGCGAAAACGAAAGGAAGCCTCCAAATTTAATATTTGGTTCGCGATAAATGTAGTTCCGGACTTTCGTATCCAAATAGTTTTTCTTCGCAGGAACGAATTGAGCACTCACTTGGAAAACTGTCACTTTTTTTACTCCGTATGGCTGACCGATACGTTAAAAAACTTTATACAAGATTCAGATTTAGGAGGTGCATAGACAGGGTGTTTACAGTTTCTAATATGTTAAATGTAAAAAAGAACACCTTTTTACAATATGTTAACTATTTTTTACCTGATTTTGTTGAAATTTGTCAATGAGCATTGTCCATAGACATGTACGCCAATGACTTTTTTTGCAATTTTTGTAATTTACTTTCTAAAATTATGTCTATAGAAACATTAAAATACTGGAAAAACTATTAAGCTTAGGTATGTATTTATTATTTATTAAAAAGTTAAATACTTTTTAAAGGAATTCAAAACAAAATTTAAAAATAGAGAGTTTCATTAAAAAAAAAAAGTCTCGTTTTTTTTTGAGCCGTCCTGTATACTCTAAAATTAATAAATACAATTCATTTTTATGAACATGTATTTCTTTATTAACTATTATTAATTTAGCTACTTAAATAATTTAATTAGAATGCTGATATTGTAAATCAGCAATGAATTCCTTTCTTTAGGTGTCAGAAAGAAATCACCTTTTCCTTCAATTTTCAAAATTAAAATTTTCTGTAGAACTATTTTCTGATATTTTTTGATATAAATTTATCACTATCAATTATATCTTTAAAATTATTCATCTTATTTTAATAGGAATTATTAATTATTAACAAATATTGTAGTCTATCGTTTTTTTGAATCGCCCTCTATATTTTAGATATGAAAACGTGATGAAATGCGTCGTTGTTTTCACTCTGCAAATTGTAAGTCAAATTTGTTGAAGTTCAACTTTTTCTTGAGATGTTCAAAGCTTTAATTAATTTTTTTTCTGTGTGTCCTTTTCTTCTATTAAACTTATATATTTGTAGGACGAGGTTCAATCACTTCAACCACATCAAACGAACATCAATTTTCTTTATACAATCTTTATTAATATTACAATGTGTATATTATTAAAAATTGAGAATTGAGAATTTTTTTGACGAAATGTTCACAAATAACAATTACATTTTTGGAGAAGTCCTTTCGTTACTGTAAAAATATACACACTATTATGCCATAGAAAATTTTAATCGGTGAATTCATCAAGCTAATTGTAGAGCTGCCGTTTTCCAATTACGAGGAAATATGGCGTGGTATATAAGGAAGGCGTGATCACAGAGGTAATTTATATGACGAGGCATTTGTGGCACTTGGGAAATATTCTTGATTAGAGGGGCCACTGGCTGCCATCTGCACATTATAGCTATGAATTGGATGTCGTTGTACTCTTGCTTTCACATGTCGGTTTTGATAACATTCAAACAATTCGACAGAGGCCATTTTTGTTTGCTTTTAAACCCACCTCCGAAATTTTAAATACTTTTTTTTTGGATATTTCATAGTGACAAAATGTCACCAGAGGAATATAGATACAAGGAAGTAGCTTTATACAAGGTCTGACTAAACAAGGAGGTAATTATTTCTTTGGTCCGAAGGATTTTAAGGCGAAAAAGGTACGACGTGTCAAGTATGGCCGCGTACTAACACCCTGTATTTCTCCAATTTGCAGCTCCAATACGCAAATTTTTTTGCAGCAAAATTGTGCAATCGATCCGTAAAAAAACGTATAAATGAAGAAAAAGTGGAGATCTGGGGTCATCAGTCTCTGTCAGAGAAGGAAAAATTAATCATCTTAAATCGACAGGGAACTCAACAAATTTAATCCTGATAGCTCAATATTCCTGCGAAGTAAACAGACGTAGCAGAAAATTAAATATAATCTTCGTCTATGTATCGGAAAACTTTGGAAATTTATCAATCCCAAATACTTATTGCAATGTTTGTGATTATTTGTTTGCCGCCTATTGATTTTGTTTTTCCGAAATTATCAAGTATAGTTTATAGAAAGGACGTTAGATATGATTGAATTCCTCCAATCCCTGGCTAGCGATATAATTATTGTTTTTTTGTAATACCAAAAATTTTATGTCGTTAAGCATTTCGGCAGTCACTTTTTTTTATTTACTTGGTCGAGTTTGATTATTTTCCTTCTGTCCGTTATGACATACAAACCGCACCATGTTACACTTGCCAACTAGTAGTAAAGACAATCTTTTAATTGAGCAATATTGTACTGGAATATTTAAACAAGACTGTGAAGGGGAGAATCGTGATTCCATTGGTATTGGTATATTCCACAAACATCTCAAAACCATTCTTGTGTTTTAGAAAAATTTTATTTGAAAGTTTGAATCATTTTTGTTGAGTATTCCATTTTTGATCATCAAGTAGAGCCCTCAGATTTTACCTCTCGGGTCTAGTTTTTGCTATAGGCAGGTGTATATTTTTCGTTATTACTGTTATATTGCCATTGTCATTAAACAAAAACAAATACATATGGATGGAACTAACCAAAACTAGAAATTATATACAATACTCAATTATCACTTAGGAGGAAACAATTGTAGTCCGCCATCATATGTCTATCCCATCGTGGTCGATAACGATCTTCCATCTTCCTTGTGCACATGGAATTTTTTCCCCCGTCCTTCACTACCACCATTTAAGTTTTCTGGAAAGCAATCTAGGTGGTTGTGGAGATAGTGAACTTTTATACTTAGACATTTTACAACCGAGAATATTAAAGTTTGAAAACAGAGTTTTCACTAATTCTACATAATGGAATGGAAGAAGAGAGAGAAGAAAATTTTGTACTACTTGAACAATTGCGCACCAAGTCCAACCTGTCTCGTTCATTGATGAGGTGAATTGTGGAGCTTTAATAAGGGGCCTTAATTTAGGACTATCGAATATATCGACTTTTAGTTTTACAGGGCTAATCCCACGAAATTGTGACAAGTACCCCAAAGCTTTCGCAAATTGCTTCATCAACCTCAGCGTGGTGTGCAAGGGTGGAAGGAACAATTTTTTGTTTTTCTCGAATCATGGGATCTCTTGAAGATCAATTCTTGTTAACCCAGTGCTCATTATTTACCCTATTTTGTACAGCCACTCTATTGTGCAAGGAGGAAATCAACACAATCTTAAATATTTTTGACAATTAGGTATATGTTTATTTATTTATGTCCCTTATCAGAATATCAATCAATAATATCAATTAACCTGTAACTCAACGACTAGAGCTGATAGAAAAAATCTGGTGGTACTCTTGGAATCAGTTATTTAATTATTATTATTTATAATTTAAAACTTCAAAGCTCGGCATTCGTACGCTTTCACATGCTACCCTTTAAGTCGGAAAATATTAAACTTCAAGAAAAATGCAACCCCCTTTAAGTAACGCGCATAACCTGACCGTCGACGGTAGGTGATCTAAAGCTTTCGCCGCATCGCGACGATGGAGGCGCCATCTGCCGGACGCCGACTGCAGGCGATCCGGGGCCCCACATGCACCCGAATTTCCTCTACGGGAAAGTGTTGCCCGACGGTCGACCCAATTTCTTCATCGATTACGACCTTAGTTTCCAGGCTTACGGGCCGCGAACCGGCAAAGGTCAAACCAAGTGCTGCGTGGCCAGTCCGTTCCTGGCGAACGAGCTGAGTTTCGGGCATCTGTACACCATCAGCAAGAGCGAAAAGGTAATCAGGAACCACCAATGGTTGTTATGTATATATTTTTTGTTGGATTTCGATCGAAAATTGGCCCAAATGACAGGTTATGTATAGCAATGAGGAAAACAATGTGTAGAGTAATTATAACTCAATGGATACGTAAAAGGACTACTACAGGGACTTTCAATGTTTGGCATTGTGTTCATTTCAAAATTCTTTCTTTCCATCGAATGCGGGTTCTACCACCCGGATTTGGCTAAATTTGTGGGTTTTTTCAACTTCTTCAATAGCTTAAGGTCTTTCATTTTGAATGTCGACTTGTGTTTTGTTGGAAATGATTTCCCTTTACACCATCCTAAAGGAATAACAAGAAGCAATACGTCAGATAAAATAGTATGTGGGTAAAAATAAGGATCAAAAATTATTTTTTTGGTTTCTGTTTATCTGGAATTTTATTTTATTTTTTATGTAGCATAATGCTAAATAAAGATTATATTATTATCCTTAATTTCCAGAAACAGGACTGAACAATTTGAGATCATTTTACTTTTCTTCGCGCCAATAAAAAAACTAAATTTTTGAGATAAGTTAGCTCGCAGCTTATCCAGAATCATGGCAGTCACATTTGATTGGTACTAGAAAATAAATCTTGTTGGGTATCCACGAATTGTTTATTATTCTAGCAATATTAAGTTTTAAGGTACTGTAATACTATTTATGACTGTTCTGGATTCCTCCTGCGTCGATTATTGAAGCATCGAACTTGCCAATCATCCTGTTGGCTTCTTCAAAGCTTCATCGAAACTGGTTTACATAATGCTATGTAGCTGCGTATATTGGGTCTGGTCAATAAGCCTCCTTCCGAAGGAATCCTTTAACCCCATTTTTTTTTAAAGATAGGGATGTTACTTTCCGACATTTTTAAAAAAACCGTACTCTTGTTTAAAGTACAAAAGTACTGGTCATTTTGGTTATATGAGTTTAAATAAATTAGCTTATTTGCTTCAAACTCATCAGCAGTAACATTTATGAACTGTTTGAATAATATAATTTATTTCCATATTGTGATGCAATTATATTAAGGTGTCTTAAACCGTTTCAAGAAGGAAAAATATCAGATGCATAAAGAATTTATCCTTTCACCAGACAGCACATATCCCAACAATTATCCATAACGTATTCTCTGAAGATACGGAAATAAGAAGGTGCGTCCAAAAAGGATGTATTCTATCTCCACTATCATTCAGTTCTTGTCAGAAGCCATATTTAAAGAAATCTTTAAAGAGCAAGTCATAGGGAGTAAAAGTAAATGGTGTGCCAATATCCAATCTAACCAGAGAAAAGATAAACTCTACATCTTGGTCACATTTTTAGAAATGAAGCATATAATATTCTACAGTTTATTAAAAAAAAGCTAAAATACAACGGCGAGGTAGACTCTTATTGAAGCGTTAAATTAAGGGTGATAAGACTATAATTGTACTCGGTGATTCACTACTCGAAAGTTGTTTAAAATTGAGGGGTTCGTCCTACTTTTGCCCCGGCCACCGAGTGAGGGGGATGGGTAAAACATAAGCAAAATTAGAGAGATTTTGGCGTCACCCGTTTTTCACCGGAAAGGAGAAGTATTAGCTACAAAAAAAAAGTCTAGGCCTGAAGTTTACAGCAAGCATCTATTGTTATTAAACAAACTCTATGGTTGTTTAGATATTTCTATGGATTCTTCAATTTGTCGTAGTTTTAAGGCTCTTTCATGTTCTTTCAGTCTATGTCTCCAATGTATTCTTTACCGCACTTGGATGGAATGCTGCAAACTTCTGTTTGATATGTGGTCATTAATGTTTAGAATATAAGAAAGGACCAGAGTGGCAAGTTGCATTTGGAGTAAAATTCTTGAGGAGGTTGTAGTGAAGAAGGTTCAATATCTCTTGTGTGAAAATTATTCGATAGAAGAGCGGATGTTAATTGTTTTAATTTTGAGTTCAATAATTCGGGATGCGATAGATGAAAGTTGATAACCGATGAGATTTGGACCGGATAGTGATGTGACAATGCATTAAGGTCTCTGTCCGCTGTTTTTCTGTGAACTCAATGTTAAGAATTAATAGAAATATCTAAGAATAAGAACAATCGACGCAGCATGAATCCAACAGGTTTGTAAATAGTAAGTTGTTTAAGTTTAACAAACTAAGAACGCAGATAAAAATGTGTATTTTTCTTGTAGTTTGCATTTCAAATCTTGTGTTTCGATAATATTCACGAACTGGTTAAGCAGCCGCACAGCATACTCGACGTTGTTTGGATTCGCTAGGGCAGTATGCTCGCCATAACTGAGATTGTTTTTTCATCTAGGAGGAGCGAACATACGACGAGCCGTATTCAGGCGACCTGCCACGAAGATCGTGGCTATGTTGTCCGGGATCCCAGAGACACACGGAATGCGACCAACCGCCATTGTTGGAGGAGTGCAAAGTCGTCGGCACTCCGTCGGAAACGATAACCAAACCTCCAGGGTTGAACGCGTGTAGCGGCGCTTGCGTACGTACAAAGAAGTGCGCATGCGCACCCGATACGAGTACTCATATCGCTCATGTGCCGAGTCAATATTTAATATGGAGACGCAAGTCTAATTTTGTCCCAGATTATTTCCCCCGGGGGACTAATTAGAAACGTCCGTTGCCGCGTCACAACGGTCACGCCCACCTAATAATTCGACTTTATTCGAGCCATTAATCTGTTGTCGGCGGTCGTTTCGCCTTGGATCCATTACAATCTATATTTAGGTGCGCGTTGTAAAAAAAAAAACGTTCAACTCGTAAAATACAACGTCGATATCCATAAAAGAAATTAGATTAAAGATGAAGTGACGCATTCTGCGCAGATATAACCGGCGCAGTCGCTAGGATCTTTTCGTACTTGCGAAATAGCGAAGATAAGTTGCCAAATGTTAGGTCTAATTATAAGAAAGCGTTATTTCGGTAGTATTGAAAGAATAATACATTTCTGCCCATATGTTAGATAAATAAAGATCCGTTTAATAACATTTTCATAGTCTTTTTAGTTTTTAAGATGCAGAGAATTTTTGGAAATCTTGCAATTTGGGACGCTCCTCAACTCCGTTGTCTTTTAACTTATGTAAAATAGCATTTTGTTAGATTTTTGTTGTATTGTAGATAATTTTTATAAACCAAACTTATGTTTTTTTTTAATATATAATCGTCTGCACTTTTTCCTAGAAACACATAAATATAAATGACAAAGTTTTCCTTTTTTTTTTCTTCAAAATATTCCATTAGCTCAATATAATACTCTTTACTTACAGAAAGATGCCGCCACTTATAATTCTAGACTCTTAAGGGCACTTTGCATGGCAATTCATTAAGCCTTTCATAATCTCCTAATGAAACCAATGGTTCTGTGTCAGTTTTGCAATAGAAAAAATGGTCGTTAATTTGGATAAAATTTAGTTTTTATGTAATAATGTTAACTTTCATAACTTATAACTTGTATATATAAGTTATAAGAAAACTATACGTATTTTTTGAAATGGTGTATCTAAGGTATCCAATTCTTCGTTAGTAATATATAATTGTCAATATTTTATTGTTATTATTACTATCTACAGGGTTTGATGTTTAGAAAACATAGGTTTGGTTTATACCTGAAACATTCAATAAAGTAAAACATTTTCAAAAATACCTTCTATCTTAAAAAACCAAAATTTTGATAGCTGCATTTTGTTAACGCACCCCCACAAAAGTACCCAACATGGGGCACCCGGTACTGCGTTTTAATATTAAAATATCTACCCCATCCCAGAATCTCATTATAAAAAATAGATTTCTCTATTCCAAGAATTAAATCACAAAACTTTAGCTACAAATTATCCGAACTCGTAAGAGTTGGCTATTCAAGGTACCAATGTAAGTAGTAAAAGTGGAAAGAACCCGAAAATTATTTTTTAAAGAAGCCCGAGTTTACCTTGAAATTAGTTCATGCTCTTTGTTTCGCGCCTCCCTTAATAATGTGCGAAAATAAAGCGGCTTTTAATAGGCGCAGTCGCTGTAAGACTCGCCTCCGGCGAGGCAATTTATTTTTTCGACGCCGTTTTGTTTGGTCGGAAACGATTGGTAAGTGGCGGAAGAAAAATGCGGCGACGCTCATTTGTTTTTTGCTCGTTTCGAGTCTTTCCCGACCGCATAAAGGTTTAGCTCCGTAGTTTCGCATCGCAAAAATTAGATTATCCTAAATCAATGAGCACGCTGGAACCTGCAATCGATAAACAGGAAAATCGCACCGGGCCTTGTGTACATTTTCCGGGTCGGCGGACAATGGGTTTATAAGCTGTAACATAGGGCGTAGAAAAAAATATTATGGCTTTGTTATCGCGATTAAAAAGGCACACCTGGCCTAAACTTATATAGACAGGGTGGCCACTTTTCGATTGGTAATTTTTAATTGTATAAAAGTTGTGAATTTATATGCCCTGAAAATTAAATTATCAGAGGTGGGCTAACGAATATTTGTGAAAAACTGCATTTTTTGATTTTAGTATTTCCTTTCTAGCACATTTATTTACAATTAAAAAAAAAGTTGTAAAGTTCAAATGAGATTCTGCGATATTTATTTGGGGCTCCCAATTTTAAAGTGACGAAGTTGTATAATTACTACTAGTCTATGGTTACTCATTTCGTAGAAAAAACCACTGAAAATCGTGTAGTAGACAAGGTAAGTTAATTCCTAAGAAACATATTTTAAACACTAACTCTATAACTCGTATAACTTTTGTGTGTAAAGTTTGAAATCAATGAGCTCGGAAGGAACTACTAAAATCACGAAATTTGGTTCTCCTAAAAAGTTTCTTATTCCACCCCTGCTTATTTAATTTTGATGGCTTCCAGCATTATAATTCTAAAAATTCAACCCTATATCTTTAATGATTAAAAGTTAGCCATTGAAAATGTGGTAATGTCCCGTATTTTTAAATCAAGCCTTTAAACAATTACTATCAATAAAAGTGATTACTCAACAAAACCATCTATACAATACGATCTGGCGATTTACTTCAATTTGAAAGATGATTTGTCATAATTACGAAGATGTTAGTATACTGAAAACTTTAGCAAGCGGCAGTGGAAAATCGTTACGCCGCTGGATTGCTGAATGTCATTCGGTTAAAATAAAATCTAAACGATTTGCCTGCGAGGATACGTTCTATTTCGAAAGCTTTCGTTAAAGAATCGGCGTCATTAATTTCGGATAAAAACTCGATGTTTTCCTTAAGGAAGATAAATGCTAAAAGCGTTTCCATTGCGACGTTTTACCCGGCCCTGGTAAATTATTTATATCGAACCTCGTCAAACGCGGCACTCGAATGTTAAAAGCATCATCAATTTTTGATAAAGGGTTTTTAATTATACGTACAGATCATGTTCACGTCTTCGCGTTTGCGAATGTAATATTTACAACCAGTTAGACAAACGCTATTTTAATCACGAAGTTGATTTGGCACAAACGGAGCGAGTGCTTAATGAAGGAATGACTGAAAAAGTTTGTCAACTTTTTCTTCTTTTTTGTGCACATTTTTGACAAGACTGAAGACTGACCAGAATGTTAATTAAGCTACAAACGTCACACTCAGATCAAAGACCACAGATCAATTTTATGTGCAATAAGCTCTATAGATAATATAAATGCAATTCAAAATTTAATATCTTCGGAACGTAACTACTTTGCGAAGATATTTCTCGGAGGAAGCCATAACGTCTTTTGAATAAACACTGGTTGAAAATTGGTGTAATATGTACAGTGTGTGTAGTCTTCATTGTGCGTTTGACTCTCTTTATTCGGCATTTTTGCCAAATTTTAACATGTATTTCCCTAAACGTGTATTAGGGCGCGTACTTTGTATATTAACGGTTTAGAGAGTTTGAGTTACAAATGTAACGTGGTTTTAAGTAAAGTGAACTCTTTTATAAGATTCCATCATAGTCAAAAGCTATGCCAAAAGATTTGCGATCGGTACATAGTGTACAGTTTCTTGGAATATTCATAGATACAAACATGAATTTTAAAACTCATTGCTCTTCTTCGGTATCGGTATGGTAACCTGAATGATATTTTACCAGAATCATATTAAGTTCTTATTACGCTCATGTTGAGAGTAGAATTAGGTAGGGTATAATTTTGTGTTCGTGGTTCTGAAAATGACCAGAAGATGTATGAGGGATATTTACAAACCTATCCTGAAAAATCTATTTTTAAAAAATAATATTTTAATATTTTCTAGCCTAAATGTGTGTTTATGTGTCTCAAAATAGATCAGTTTTTGTGTTGAACAGTAATTTTCACTCAGTGAAGACGACTTTAGTGTTCCTTATGCAAAGTATAATAATTCCTATAGAATCCTAAGTGTAAGTGGTGTGCAATTTTTGAACCTCTTAGCGAAAGAAATAAAAATGTGTGATAATTTTAACAAAAAGTTAAAGGAACCATAAACACTATCGTGCACTAGGTAAACCGTTTCCGGTACTTTAGTCACAGTCGATATTTAAAACACTGATGGTATTTTAGCGTTTGTCACTTCCCGTTACTCGCGTACTTCTCATAGAAAAAGTGTTTATAACATTCTTCAGACACTCGCTTATTTTTTTTTAAATGGCTAAAAGATAAATGATCTTCCGTGACGTCTTAAGACAGTAAATAAATATTAAACCATATTACTACTTAGATATTTGTGTTATTCTTTAATAAGGCAGAGTTTTGTTACACATAATAATAATAATAGTTTAATTAGAACAACAGTAAAAAGCAAGGGGACAGAAAATTGTATGCAGTTACTATGAACAATAAAAAAATCTCACCTCTTCGGTTGAGAATGTGTAGAAGGCGAACAATTTTCCTGAAAATATCTTCCGCCGATCGATTTCGTATCCGAGTTGACCGAAAACATTTCAAAGGGCAACTTGCACACATACAAATGCCACAATTTCGTCAATATAGCTGAGAGAATTCCTATACCGTAAGCGAACAAAGGAAGCTTCGAAAAGTTTATTTTGCGGCAGCGGGATGTTAAGATGTGTTCCCGCTGGTCTTTTTGAAAGATATCCGGTCTAAAAGTGGTATTATTTGTTTTATTAGCCCGGTTTGAGCTTTTGCCGTTCCATACTTTGAGTGCGATAGTAAAAGGTCTGGAAAATTATTTTGTATGTTTGCCTGTTATTTGAATGAACGCGGATGGATATTTGTTTTCTGGGCTTCAGGTCGACCCAAAAAAAATAAATAAAAATACAAGACCCGATGGTGCCCAGATATTCTATGCCGCATGTGGCGGGTGAACTTTTACCTTCATGCCAAATTTCAAATCCATAGCTTTAAGTTTATCGTTCAATATTTCGCGCACCCTGTAGAAGATGCGAAAGCTTTAAATACAAAAGTTTTAGTTCTCGAGTCGAGCTACACCGCTATGTGTGTTGTTCCATTTATGGCCATTTTTCATTCGAAGAGGAACTCAACTTCTTCAAATTTTGAAAAATATTTATTGTTTCATGTCAGTAGCTGCAAATTTCGCCTGGTTAAAATGACCGGAATACGAAAAATTGTTTATAAATAAGTCCTTAATATTTTTTTTGTTTATTATTTATTATATTTTATTATAATAAATAGACTCAAAATATATACCATGAAGATGCGAAGTTCAGAATATCTGCTCTCCCACGTCAGTGAAAATATATCTTTTAATGACTTATAATCAAACATATTTAGTGTAATGCAAGTAACGGATTGAGCATGCTAAATTCAGATTAAGGTGTCGCAAGTGCAATCCTAAAGCTTTCCCTGATAAGTTATTTACTGTCTTATGACGTCATTGAATAGCGTACCGTTTTTCGGAAAAGAACATTAACCATTTTCGCATACGCAGAACAAAAATTGTACAATATAGTTTCCAGAGGCTTGTCAAACACCCCATTCGGAAGAATCGGAAGTATCCCTAAATTGTCGACTTCGCAACGATGGGAAATTGTGTCTCGCGCTTAATGCACAGCAACTATCTTTGTGTCCGCGACTAGAATTCTCAAAACGTTATACACGTTCGCGATTCGAATCGATTCTACTTTCCGGATGGCGCGAACATTTCCCGAGTCCCGAAATTAGATTTATGGGCCGAAATTGCACATTTGGCCCCGTAATATCCTTTGCGCTTCGACAGTTTTCGTTTTAGATGCGAACTGCAAGGATAAACGATATACAGGTACTGCTGCGTCAAGCGACTACATACGTGACGTGGGTGTTATAAGCTCTTTTTAACGTTTGACGTTAAAATCATTCATATTCCACAACGTAACATATGGTAGATTACTTCCGAATTAATTCGCGCGACGCTGCGGGACGTATTTAAAAATTTTATCCGTTTTAATCAGGAAAGGCTGCAGCAGCAGCTGGACGACCAGGCCCAGAGGTACGAAGAGCAACTGACCGAGTTACATTCTGTGATAGCCGAACTGACCAGGAAACTTCATCAACAACGTACTATGGCGATCGCTGAAGAAGACGAAGTTTCTGGTATGTCATTGTTTATAATATTTAATAACACTTTTTTTTTTTAAATGAACTGAGCAGACATAGCTTTTATCTGGATTAAGTTTGTCCTCTCTTTTACATCGAACTATCGACCCGTTCCGAATAGTTCAGGATACTAGATCTTTCCCTTTGGGAAGGCAACGAAAACTACATTTTCGAGAACTTGCTTTTTCATCAAAATAGTTGTTATTGCACCCATACTAGGCATACCTAACTATTTTTGGATGTAACTTATCCCACTGAAAAAGGTAAAATGTATTTCTTACCTTTACCTATACTGTTATGTTTAATATTTTGAGCTTACCTCCTAACTAATAACACCGCTAATAAGCAGCACGTACACAAAACTTTTAAGTCTTTGTTTAAGGTTAAAATTTCTGTTTTTCTCAGTTTTCGCCACTCAAGCATATACAGTTTTAAAGTATTTGTTAAAGCTTAAAAACACTGTTTTGTCCAAGTTTTTTTTACAGAAATATAATTAACACAAACATAAGCACACTACTCACTAGTTTAAATTATTTTAATTGTTCAAAGAACACAAAATACAACTGTTTAATACGACTTCAAATTGATAATTTTGGTCTTATGGGATTGGACAATCCTATTAGGTTTACGATTCTTGATATCTACCACTTAGCATGCAGAGAGCATTAAGAAAACTTTTTTTACCTAGTTTTAAATATTTAAAAAAAAGGTCAAACTATGAAAAGCAAAAGTAGGTACTGTAAATCTAAATTAATAATGTTAGGTTATGTCTTTAAAAAGGAATAACGCTTAAAGTCATCACCGAACTTTGCTTTTCGCTATAAAAATTCTCTCTAGGCTAGAATTTGTTTAAGATTGGTTTGTACATGGACGGTTTAAAAATAATACATCAAAATAGCGTTTGATAATGACCGTCAGATAAAAATATATTCTAATTTGAAAGTAAAAAAGTGAAAATTATTGCTTCTTTGGTTTCTAGTATTTTTCCTACCTGCAAACTTGTTAGTTTCGAAAAATCGATGAAATCGAATTTTTCGAAAGTATGCGCGCTTGGCAACGAAACTTATATCTTATATCGAGAAGTATTTCATAAAAATTAAAATTCGCACTTGCAGGGTATCGAGAAAAAAAATCGTTTCTCCAAGACGGTATATACTATCAAGAAAATGCTTTCTTTATCCAAATGAGGCGTAAGATTCGGACCAAAAACCTTTATTCTTGATGATTTTTTAAAAATGTACAGGGTGCGTCGGTAATTTGCAAAAAACTGAAAATTGGTCTCCCTTTGTAATGATAATTGACCATAACAAGAAAGATGTAATTTGATTGCCAGTTTTTTTTTACATAGCTATATAGCCCGTATGGACAGCTAAAACCTTTGGTATTTAAAGTTTTCACATACTGTACAGTGTGATCGGAATATTCTATTTTAAATTTGGCAAGGAAGTAAAAGGCCGTACCCACATCTAAACAGTAGAATTTGAGCGTAATCAAGTATCGCCAAATATTTTATGAAAAGTTTTGAAAAATGTTCCTTGTATATTTTATCTTCCAAAAAAACATGATTTTCTCAAAAACTATTTCAGACATTTTTTCGATTGTATACAGAGTTTTTCAATTATGGACAAAAATCTAAAAGACCATGAAAATCGTTCTTTTCGATATTAAATTATTAGTCGTAAATTAGAATTCCTGAAAAATGTGGCCAATTGGTTTAAACAGTGTAATAAGCCACATCGAGAGCTACAATTTTTGTAATTACGGTTTTCGTCTATCACATACGCTGTTCGAGATATTTGAAAAAATCCAAATGAAAATCAAAATTTCTCGCCCTTAATCGAGACGCAATGACGTCGTACTGCACGGTTTCAGAAAACAAGTATTTTCTTGAAAACCACTTACCCTATTGGAAAAAAACCCTACACCAGGAAACGTGGGAGATCCAGGGCTGTCAGGCCTATTTCGAACATTGTTTGAAATATATAGAGGGTGTGTCGATTATTGGCAGAAATATAACAGTTCCTTAAAATTTCCGTTATTGTTGGTAAATTATTGGCTATAAATGAAAAATTGCTAAAGATGCAATAATTTGATCTGAACAGTATCGTAAACTAGAGAGAGTTTCAGGTTTCCGTCAATTATACGGGGCGCGCGAGATATTATTATTACATATTATTTGTACAAATTTAAATATTTAACAAAGTTTGCCGTAATTTTAAAATTCGGCGGGACATGAAAGGCACTTTATACAGGATCCATGCACAATTAAATTACATCGATTTTGCGAAAGTTCAATAGTGGTCCGCAGGAGCACGATAGAATTGGCTTCTCTCTGAAAATAAAATCTGGTCCGCGCTACACTCTCCGAATTTGCCCCGCCCACCAACGATTTTTCGAAAGCAACTTGTTAGTTAACGTTTCATAATAAACGCTCCTCACTTGCGTCTTGCAGAATCTTGCACGAGCGCCCACGAGGAGTCCATAACGTGTCCGTTGGAGGTGAGCGAGTTGGAGCCGCTCGAAAACGAACTCTCCGATCTAGATAATAAATTACCGGTAAGTGAGGTTAGTTTCACGTTACGCGACTCCCTTCCAAACCGGCGTTCCCAGTTCTCAGAAAGTCCGCTGGAACTACCAGAACCAAAGTTAACGTCGTCCCACCACGATCATTCCGAACTGTCGCCGTTTTCGGAGGTGGTGGAGCCTTTGAAGCAGGAAATTATGTCCCTGAAGCAGCAACTGCACGAGGCACACGTCAGACTGGCTCAGATATCGCTGAATAAGTTAGACGAGGCGGCGGATGAAGAGACAGTAACCGAATGTAAAAACGTAGATTCTCCGGATAGTCATATCGAAGCCGATTGCGAGCCCAGACTATATCAGGAGAGCAAGTCGGACATTAAATATAGCAGTATAGTACCGATTCACAAGACCAACGTTAAGGATAATAGTGAATGCACGCAGCCTGTGATGAAGATCGCGGAAAGGTGTGTCACAAAAAAATCATTTCCTTTATGTTTCTTAAAAAACTTCTAATTTCGAGGATTTTGAGTAAAAAAGTAACTTTGGATTTTACCTGAAAAGTGGAAAATGTAGAAACTGTCATCGTCACGTCCCATATTTTTAGGATAAAGTTGAGGAGGACCGCGGACGGTCAAAGGGAAGTGAGCCCTAACGACCTATTGAGCGGCGACCTGTCAACCGCCGTCGCGGAACACATTGTGGGTGATATTTTGAGGCAGTGCGATATTCAGACCGAAAAGCAGACGATCGATATGGAAATGCGAAAGGTCCAGTCCAAATTGGAGCACGCGAGAGCACAGAATACGGTTCTGGTGCTTACGCTGTCCGAAACGAAAGCTCATTGCGATAGGTGAGTGGCTCCGCGTGACTCATAGAGGTCTGCTTATCAACTGTGAACCAAAACTAAGCAAAATTACTTGCCACGGTGTCTTTTTGACATACTTGAGCTTTGCGAATTTTCAAGTTCTCGACAAGTTATTTGCATCTCTCTTAAAGTTTGCCTCTTTTTAATACCCCATCGTGTCGAATCTTGCTTTTACATTTTTTTTTTCGAAAACCTGTTGAAACAGAGTGGTGATCAGTGATTAGGAAGTTTTATTTTATTTTTGAAAAATACAAATGTGTTTGTAACCGCTTGTGTGGTTTTATAACATTAAGAATAGGAGTGCGTAATCGCTAGATGTTGATTGTTTTTTCAGGCTAGCTTTATTGTGCGGGAAATACGAATCGAACGCTATAGCTCTGCGGCTAGCGCTGGGACTGACAGACCGTGCCATCGAGGCCTACGACGTTCTGCTGGCCCTGCTGGAGACGGAATTATCGTTGAACGAGGAAAATCCCGACACGATCCGAAACCGAACGGCCGCCGAGACTGTGGCGAGACAGTTGCTGTCTCACCTCGACTTGTATCAGAAGACGGACGTTTTGCTGTCGCCGTGGCAGAACCACGTGTATAGCGCGCCGATCGAAATGAACGAACCGTGGACCACCGAACACGAGTTAAGACTCCGCGACCACGTGTCCAGACTGAAAGCCGAACGGAGTGGCGTTCAAGGCACATACGTCGCGTTGGAGTCGACGCAAGTGGAACATGCGCCCGTGAGGCCTTCGAGCAGTCAGGAAGCCCGGAAAATGGACTTGGAAATGGCGGTATTGATGCAGGTAATTTTATCTAACCATAATTAAGAATTTCAACTTGTATGTCGGTCAATCGCAACCTCAGAATTTACAAAATGATTCAAATATAACTTGCGTGCATGTTTATCGGTCCTTTGTGAACTTTTGACTTCAATTTCATTTTGTTTAGAAACTACTGATCAGATCCATAAAAATAAAAATGTGTTTCTGCTTTTTAGGTTTGGCATGGTAAAATAACTGCACGAGTCAAATTAACTTTTTTTATTACTAAAAACAAATGGGGTTATTGACAATTAGCAACTCAACACTTATTTTTTAATAATGGGTATGACCCCCCTCTTGCCGTAACAACATCTCTTACTCGATTAGGCATAGGCTATTGTTTCTTTGGAATGTTAAGCTACTCTTCCTCTACTGCAACAATAAGCTCTGGAATCGAGATTGGGGTACGAAGTCTAGCTCGAATTTTCCGTTTTAGCTCATTCATAACTCATAACTCGAAAACCGACTTCTGTAATCTAATCTTGCACAATCCTTGCGGTGTGCCGTCTAGAATTATCATGTATAAAAATGAATTCTTCTATCTAGTCCACATATGGTACCACGTGATCTGATAAAATATCCTCGATGTTATACCTCCTGCTTCCATATAAATTGCACCCCATATCATGGAGGAACCACCTCCATAAGGGCTCCGCTCTTTATTGCAGCATTCTACAAATCGCTCTCCTGGTTTTCGGCACACTTTTTTTCGTCGGCCACTACCAAAAAGGCATATTCTGGTCTCATGTAAGAACAGAACAGAACTCTAGTAAGTTTTGGACCAATTGCAGTTGTTTTTGGGGTAACGTTATTTTCCTTCAGTCTTCTTCTCACTGTCCACTGACTAATAGCCACTCTTCGAACTTCATGGAGCTATTGTTATACTTGAAAGTGACGATTTCTGATTATTGTTGAAAGCGGTCACTACGAGCCGTTGTAATGTACTCCAGTCTCATATCCTCGGCATACTCTTCGAAATGCTGCCCGTGTCATATCCAGTTGTCGAGCAACAGCTTGCTTTCAAAGCCCACTTTCGATTGAAGCGATAACTTGAGCAGCGTTTTGCGGTGTAGTATGAATTAAGTTAACACAATTAACCGATATCCAAATGGTTAAAAACGAAAAATGTGATAATTCCAATTGCAAATGCGATTAATTTAAATCTATAACAAGTTTGTTACTATCACTATAACTACTGTATGAACACGTTTCATATGTTTAACCGTAGCTACGCATATAAAAGATCAGCACTCTTGACAAATTTAAAGTCATACTAAAGCGTATTTAATTCTCTTCCAAATAGCATGTTTATTTTTTGGGTCACATGAATAGTATCTAGAAAAAAAAACTAAAGTCAAAAACCTACAGTAGGCCGATTTCTATGCACATGTTTTCATGAACCTACGGTAAGCGTCAAACTTGAACTATGCTGCCATCTCTCGTCGAGTGGCGAAACTACGAAATCTATATTTTGCGTACGTCATATCTCGACGCGGTGGGCTTAGAAGTAGCGAATTATACTACTCAAGAAAACAAAATTACCAGTGGTATACGTTATAGGAAGAAACTGAGTATTTTTTGAAATAAAATTATAAGTACGACGTATGTTTCGAAAGATCTGGGAACATGGCTGTAAATGTTATTATTTTTGTTAATCTTCGTCAATGTAATTTGTCAACAGAATCGCTATTTAACTTTGAAACATCGAATTAATTTTTTGAAGTTTGACTTATTGTACGTATTTAAGTGTAAAGACGTGTTTTAAGGTGCCCTGATAAAAAAGTGTCATATCTGTTCAATCTTTCATAATAGACCTTCAGAAAAAGAATGAGTGATAGTAGTGACGGGGAGGAATATAAATCTCAATACCAGAACGCGAATAAAACAAACAGAAGGTCTAAAACAAGAAGTTTATCCGCGAGCTCGGTAAAATAATCAAATATCGACATAAATAAAATCGTCCGAATCGAGAGGAAGAAATCCTGGCCTACGATAAAAACCACCGCAGATAAGGATTTACTAAAGAAACTGCCTAGTAAATACGATGAAATACAGGCCCTAGCCAGATAGGAGGACATTACAGTTAAGGAAAGTCAGCTACAAAATACACCGTATAAAGAAAATGAACTGGAAACCATTGTCTCGCATAAGGAAAATGCCACAAGAAGACCATACTCATAAAAAAGTAGAAATAAACCAAGCAGTAGACACGAAGATGGAAAAAAAGTGGACAACACCCAAAACTACTAAAAGCCTAATAATCGATTATGTTAAAGATTCAAAAATAGTTATACAAAAACTCAAACATGAAATAGACGTAAAGGAAATTGATGGAGGACTTAAAAGTATCAGACCAACAAAAGATGGAGCAATTATAATAGAAAGCTATAATCAAAATCAGCAAGAAAAGCGAAAAAGTAGTTCAAAAGCAGATATTTCAAAAGCAGATATAAATATCAAGCAACTAAATTATAGTAACGATCCAATGTTTATGGGCACAGGAATCGATAAAGGATTTTCGGATGAGTTCCTTGAAGAAGTACAGAGATTGAAAGTCGAAATAGTGCAGGAATTAGGGTATAACATTGTGGATAAAATGAAAGTCATGTATGTACCAAAAGAGAATTGGATTCTTCAAGCCAAACGCAGATATAGTCAAATGGTTTCTGAGAAAAAGAACTATCAGTTTTGGCCTAGTAAAAGTGCACGTCCAAGAGTGGTTTCGGACACGTGACCAAACATTGCAATGAAGCACAATGCTATCACAGTAGTAATCACTGCAGTAAAATGAAACTCGCAGAGACAAACCATTCAGCGAGGGTTCTGTTCAGTATTCTAGCGACGATTGGAATGCTTTCAAAATAGCACCGAACGCAGGAAAATTGGTGAGTTATCAGTTACAAGGGGAATTTGAATGTGTTTGTGCTACAAAAAAAGAAAATCATCATCGTATCAGTTTATAGACCTCTTCAAGAACAATTTGATCTATTTTTAAATAAACTAGAACTGATGTTGGCACTGTTAGAAATAGACAATACTATAATATTCATTGCAGGGGACTTTAATATTGAAATGTTGCTAGAAAACAGTAGGAAGAATTTTTTTTTCTGTTTAGTTTTTGCGGAATACATACATGTAATACTAGAATAACACCCAACACGAAAGTTCTCTAGATAATATTTAAAGAAGGGGGATGAAAATAAATTTGTACAAAAAAATTTTTTTTCTACTCCCGATCTAGCGTGCGGGAAGCGTCACTTTACCATGTCAGTTTCTTTTCCCACGAATCCGAGCCACTTCGGACATTTCCGGGATTTTACCGCACGGGTTCGGGAGCAATCGGATGTTTTCGGAGATATTTCCCACGCTTTGAATTTTGACGTTTGTCAATTCTGACTGTCGTGTCAGTGAATGTATTCGTTTTGTTTTGCGAAAATGTACCCAAAAACTAACGGTCGTAGAAGAAGTATATTATGCAAGACATTCGCTAAACTTTTTAACTCACTCGTTTATTAAACACTCGCTCCGCTCATGTCAAATAAACTCTTAAGTCAAATGCCATTTACCGCACTTGTTACATAGTATACTATTACCGACGATGACAAAGACAAAATACCTACAATGCTGACTTCTTAGATGTAAATGTGCAGTGGAATACGTTTAAAAAAGATTTCATAAATATCTTCAATGAGTGCGTCCCCCTCAAAAGGGACCACAGCAACAAAAAGAAGAATGTTACAAAATCGTTAAATCTAAAAGTGATTAAACAGAGACTGGATATACTGCTAACCTTGTCAAAAATAAACACCAACTACAAGTATTTATATAAAGCAACAAAGAAAGAATATGATGAACTTCCAAATGAAGAAAAAAAACAATTATACGAAAAGAGAATAGTAAACTCGGATAACAAAATGAAAAGTCTGCGGCGAAATTATAGGAAAAAGTAACAAAAACGGTCCAGACTTCCTTGAAGGTCCTACAAAATTTACAAACGGTTTTAACAAGCACCTAACAACCATAATCCCGGCACTTTTAGTCACGCAAACTTATATTCCATTTCAAAATAACATATTAGGTAATAGTCAGTCAGTACATTTAATTCCTGTGACACAAAATGAAATACTAGAAATTTCAGTAAAATTAAAAAACAAATATAGCAATGGCTATGACCAAATTCCGGCTAGTATAGTGAAACTATCGATTTTAGTAATACCACAGGTTTTGTGTTACTTAATAAATAACTCAATGAAGCAAGCGGTCTTTCCAGAGGAACTAAAAAAAAACTAAAAAAAAGGAGATTTGAAAGATCTAGATAACTATCGACGAATTGGTCTTTTATCCAGCTTTCCCAAACTGTTTGAAATGGTGATATGCTCCAGATTAGTTGAATTTATGAATAAATGTCAATTGTTCTCTAGCTCTCAACATGTCTACTTAAAAAACAGATCAACCAGTTCCGCCATTTTTTAGTTCACAAAAACCATCTTAGAGCAGTTTGACGAAAAAAACTTAGCCATAGGTTTATTCTGAGACCTCAGTAAGACATTCGATTGCCTAGACCATAAAATCCAAACCGGGAACAAAATATTTGTTACAGGAATTGATGGGATTAAGGGAAGACAAAGCAGAACTTTTGTCGAAGTTGTTCGTTTTGGAAAAAGAGAAAAGTACACTCGAACTGAAACTGAAGTACGTGGAAGGCCAGCAGAAGGCGCAGTCGGCGACGTTGAGGAACCTTCAAGGGCAATTGAAGGACACTGAGGCCTTGTTAGCGTTGGCCAATAAAAATAAGGTTCGTCGCTCCACCCAGTCAGTAAGCACGAGACCGACTATTTCGCCCTTCTAATTTTAGGAGAGGGGTTATTCCGACGCGGAGCACGCTCAGGGCGTCGAACTCGAGCTAATGCAAGCGCTTGCGCGCGAAGCGCGTCTAAAAGTGAGGTTACAAGAGTTGGTGACGACGTTGGAACAGGTGACCAAGAACGCGGAGGCTCGATTGATGGAAGGGAGGGAGATCGTACAAGACCTGAATCATACGAATAGTATTTTAGCGGAGACGGTGGACAGGAATAATAAAAAGTACCAGGCCAAGTTTAAAAAGATGGAATATCAGATGCTCAGCATGGTGGAGAAGCATACCGCACAAGTAAGTGATGGAACCAGGGGCTGGAGTAAATTACGTCACGCATTAAGCACAGAATACACCACAACCAGAAGGATAACTGTGAATTATTGCCAACATAAAGATTTTGTTTGCTATTGATCTGTTATTAATTACACTCTTATTCAAAATGCTTTGAGATTTTCATATTTTTTTACGTAATTTACATCAAATTTTAATGCAGCTGTGGGTTCTATCTGCATCAAATAGAATGGGGATTTGTGAAACACATTTTCGAGATGTCTATTCTGGGGTGCGGGGAGGTATCATAAGCGTCGTGACATGGCATGCATAAATCTAAAACCTATTTAAAATGTTACCAACAATCTTATCAATTCAATTTTCCTTTTTAAATATTTATTCAAACGCCTAGAAGGCCAAGTTCATAGAAACACGGAATTAAAATGGAGAATAATATGAAATTTTCGGGACGAGCAATTAATTCCTTGGCTTTTGGATAATTTAAGATGATTTGTGACTTTTTTTGAATGTTTAAATTTGTTTCTAATAATTTATATAAGTGCTGAATTGCAAAATATGTGACGTCACGACAGGTTTCGGAGTAGCATGGTAGACGGAGTGTCATGTTGTGTTTGACCGCCTCCGACAAAGGGCGGAGCTCCAAAAGTTCGTGTGACGTTGATATTTATGTCATCGGATTTTTCTAGGTACAAACGTTGCAACAAAAGATAGCCACGTTAGAGACGCCCCCTACGAATAGTTCCGAGAATTCGTTAAGTTCGGCTCCGGTTTAAGGAACCCGCCGCCATTTAATATTATCATTCGTTAGATGCCAAAATCATTTAAGTTTTTTTTTATGAAAATGTTTCCAGCGCCCATTTATTACGTTTACGAAACGCAAAGCGGTCAATTAGGGCAGGATCGGAACGCGACGATAAAAAATAATAATGTAAAAAGATATGCTAAAAGTGTTTGCCTCGCTGTGATTTTAATCCTAATCGAGATACGGGAAAAGTGTACGAAATCTCTTTGAATTACAGTAATTTATTATTTCGTTTCGCATAGTAGTAATTTAATGTTTTATATTGTTTATATTTTTAATAAAATTATATTACCGCGTTAATATAAGTGGCAACTATTGACCCATACTGTATAACATTAAACAATAAATGTTGCATAGCTTGGCCGTTTTTTTTTGTATATCGTATATGTAGTGGAAATTAAATTGACTCGGACTGCCAATAGAAACTCTGTATTTTAATTAAGATAAAACAGTCTAAACGGTACATGTACATGTTTAATCGCTCTTGGAGCTCGATCTGGAACGGGATGATTTAGCAGGTGACGCGGACCTTGATCTTCCATCCCGGCTGGATCCAGACTTGGACCTAGAGCGACTTTTTGACCTCGAACGACTCTTCGACCTAGAGCGGCTCTTTGACCTTGACCGACTCTTGGACCGCGATGCGCTCCTTGATCTTGAGCGACTCTTAGATTTTGACCTACTCTTAGACCTCGACCGACTCTTTGAACGAGACGGGCTCTTTGACCTGGAACGGCTCTTAGATTTTGACCTACTCTTGGACCTGGAACGACTCTTCGATTTCGATCTACTCTTGGACCGGGATGGACTCTTAGACCTCGACCGACTCTTGGACCGAGACGGGCTCTTTGACCTTGATCGACTCTTCGATTTCGACCTACTCTTTGACCGGGATGGACTCTTAGACCTCGACCTACTCTTGGATCGAGACGGGCTCTTTGACCTGGAACGGCTCTTAGATTTTGATCTCGACCGACTCTTCGATCTTGACCCGCTCTTCGACCTCGAACGACTTTTTGATCTCGACCCACTCTTCGACCTTGACCGACTCTTGGACCTAGACCTACTGCGGGACCGACTCGACTCCGAATCGGACATTATCCTCCCCTTCTTACTCTTCTTCCCTCTGTCGCTATCGTCGCCGCTGCTGGCGACTTTACGCTTCTGGTCGTCGCTTTCGTCCTCGCTGGTCGAAATGGTCGCCTTGGAGACGATGCGCAACTTCTGCTTCGATGTGAGCCCCTCGTCCGACTGCTTCTTCGATTTCCCCTTTTCTTTCTTGCCCTTCTTCCGCGCCTTGGGTGCGTCGCTGCCGCTCCCGTCGGAATCGCTATGATCTCGCCTGTGTTTCCGTCCGCGACCGCCTCCGCCCTTCTTCCGGTCACCGCTCCTCTTCCTCTTCCTGCCTCTTTCTTTCTTCTCTTTGCGCGGCTCGCCGTCGCCGCGATTCTCCTGCCCGCTCTCCGAATCCGACACGTAAACTTCCTTCCGTCCTCTACCTTTCGCCTTTTTCTCCGACGGCATTTCCTGAAAGAGGAGCGCGTTCTTCGTTTTCTCCTTGTATTCCTGCCGTTTTTGGAGCGTCTGCTCTTTGGTCAATTGCCGTTCGACCTCGCGCCGTTTCTGCTCCTCCATTTGTTTCATCTTGAACGCCGTACGTTCCTCGTCCTGCTTCCTGCGCAACTGTCGCTCTTCCTCGTCGACGCGTCTCGCTCTCCCCACGTGGTACTGCGCCTGCGACAGCAGGTCCTTGCACTGACGCGCCTCGAGTCCGGCCAAGTTCACGTCGTAGCGCATCTTGTCGCCGAATTCGGACAAGTACGTGAAATACTTGAGCGACAAGCCCAACTCGTGGACGGCCTGCAACACGGTTTGCAGGGTCGACTTTTCGTCTTTGAGGATGTGCGTGGCGAGACGTTGCAGCACCAACGCAATGTTGTAGAGGAGGACGGTGTCCTGCGGGGCGACCCTACGCGCTTTCAGCAGCACCATCTTCGCCTCCTTCAGTTTCGATGCCTTGAAATAAGCGCGGGCCAGGTACTGAAGCACCTCCACGTTGTTGTATTTGTAGAATTTGCGAAGACAATTCTCATACTGCAACGAAAAAATAGAATGGTCGTGAATTGTACGCCACGACATAACCAAAAAGAATATGAATGGAGAGACAGTTAAGGACCCTCAATCTATGAGTAATAATAATATACAATCTAGGCACATAAAGTCAACCAATCGCGAAGAAATTGTTGTACTTGTAGAAAAAGATGGGTGGTTAGTAGCATCATATCAACTAATTTCGAGGAAATTCTTTATGCTTGACAAGGGTTTCACACAATACAAAAGACAGTTTTAAAGTGTAAACGATACAATATAATTAGTGTGACGACATAATAACCCCGGTACACCTCAATGGGAGCTCCAAGTCACATACTGTAACTTGGGGGCGAGAACTAGTATAGTAAAATTAAATCAAAATTTATTTGTAATAAAGAATATAACCTGTGGTACAATTAAAAAAAACAACTCAGACTTTTTTATTCATGCTATCACAGGTGATGACGCATCATGAATTTTTGAATACTATAATAAGACCAAAAGGCAAAGTATTGACCAGCAAAACCAAAGAAAGCTGGACGGAGAAAATCGGAAATTAATTAAGTTAATGCTGATTTGTTTTTTTGACAAAGAATTTGGTCCTGCAAGACAAATTGTTAAATCAATTTTGTTATAAAGACAATGCAGATAAATGGATACTAATGTGTTATAATTGTATGAGGGGCCCAATTCGAGTAAATCATGTAAGACGTCGAGGAATTATGGTGACAGTACGAAAAAATTCCCTTTCCAACTAATTATAACCAAACCGACGGCCTTACCATTTGAATAGCGCTGACAAACTGCTTTTGCTCGACGTAGACGTGAGCGATGTTCAGCCAGACGTCGCAAAAGTCGGCCGTAGCCTCTCGGACTTGCGCGAAAATGTCGCGGGCCTCGTTAACGGCGCCCTTGTGGGCCAGCACGGCCCCGATTCCATTAGCGGCCCAAATGTTTTTCGGATCGATTTTCAGCACTTGCTTGAACATGGAAAGGGCCCGCTCCTGGTGCCGTTTTTCTCTCTCCTTATCTTTGGTCGGCTGGTGTAGGGTCTGAAGCCACACATTACCCAACGCGATGAGCGAGTACGAGTCCTGAGACGTGGCGGGGTTCTAAAAAAATAAGTAATAATATAGTACAGTGTGTCGATTTTTTGGTGTTATGGCGAGGTATCTCAGCTGCTGTTAGGAGATAGAAAGACGTACTGTGCTCGCTTTTCGTGAAACCAAAGATAAAGAAACAGAAAATTTCCCCATTCCATTATTTAGGTTTTGTATTTTAAACGCTGGAAACGAAGTCTTGTAGATATTTCTACGTTGAATCTAGTGACGTACTCAGTTTTTTTGTAGAAGATATAATTTTTTAAGATACGAGCTAAAGTTCTATTATTTTTTCAATGCATATATATTTAAAAAAAATGTTATTGGCCTTTTTATAAACTACATTTGAAAAAAAATAATTTTATTTTATCCTAATTTCATTTCATTTAACATATTGTTATTGTTATTATTTTTTGTTATCACGTTGAGGAAAAAATTCAAACTACCAGAATAAAAAAACTAATAAACATTTTTAACAAATTCAAAAACTGCAATCACGCAATAACAACGAAAAATGGACACACCGTACACTCATCACTTAAATCACTTGAGTAATAATAAAGAAAAAGATTGAAAAAATATTGTGGTGCACCTACACCTAAACAAAATTAATTATTGGGCAAACATTTATGAATGAAGTAGAGTAGTAGATTGTACCACATGGTACCCATAGATTAAAAAAATTAAGTGTTTATTCTTAATACAACAAAATTAGCAACAAGAGACCATGAATGAAGTGAACATCAATGTTCACTACATCGGGGCCCCTATCTCGAACTCAAAGTCTGACAAAAATGTGGAAAGTATGAGACAGGAAGCTCGCAATGCTTTTAATTTTAAAATTCGCCGTTACCACAACTACAATTCTGAAGAGATTCTTTCATAACTTACTTTTAAAATACGCTCGTATTTTTTCTGTCCCGGTCCCCATTCGGCCTTCGCCAGATGCAGGTTGCCCAATAAGGACCACGCGTCCGGATGCTCGTTATTTATCAGGAGCGCCTCCTTGAACCAGTCGGAGGCCTCGTAAATTTGACCCTTGTCCCTGGCCATGCAACCTAACCTAAAAATATCGGAACATCCACTATCCGTTAGCGCGTGGAAAGGAATTATTTTGCTTTATTGTCTAAAAAGAGACAAAGCACAATGTTCAAACGTCCACCACTTTTTTAAATATATGTCATATTTCGAAAATATTAGTTACATTACATCAAGGTCCTCAAAATAAAGTATGACACCTGTATGACATGTTGATTAATTTTTACAAGAGTTTTTCAGGTGCTTTTTCCCAGCCTAAAGTTTAATCTAGTTGGTCTCTAAAAAGTTTACATTTTCGACAATTTTTGAAAAGGTAATAGTCCAATTTTCTTAGAATTTAGCCTTGCACTTAATGATGTCGACTAACCTCAAGTAACAGTCAACATAATTCGGATGCTCTTTCAAGATATCTTTGTAAAGCTTCTCCGACTTGTCAAATAAGCATAGGGCCTCATTTAACCGCGCCAAATTGTAGGTTATAGTGACGGATATCGAATTGTAATACTGGGGATCGTGTTCCGCCTCCGTTTTGGCCCTGTGGAGAGCCTCCTCAATGGTTTTTTTAGCTTCCTCCAAATTACCAGTCCTGAAATACAAAGTTAACTCAACTACTACTACTACTACACTGCCATAACAACACAAAAATATACAAACAGTTTTAATACAAGATAATTTTCAAGATGCAAGCAATAAATGTAAACGGCATTTTATACCAAATGGCAATAGCACTATTTTAATGTATGCGAAAAAATAAATCTAAATATGTCAAATACAATTTCCAAAATTGCAAAAAAAAAATAGACAATTTGAGTATAGAACATAAGTTTCATACAGGAAAATAAGGTAAAGGGTCCTTTGTATACTGCACTAAAAATTATTTTTTATGGCAATTGTAGGAAAAACAAACATTTTTTCCACTTTTGCAAATGCTTATGCAAAATAACGTAAATAAAGACGTCTTATTATGCAAGCAGATAATACATATAAAATATGATACCTGTAATGTAGAGCTGCCACATTATTTAATATCTCAGTGGGTATTTCCGCTTGAACATCCTTTTTCAAAATGTTAATCGCTGTGCCATACGCGTTTAACGAGCCCTGTATTTCAGACTGTTCCAAAATCTGAGCTAACTCTATCCAGGCCTCAATATCATCTGGAAACTGCTCCGTGACCTTCTTCAAGTGATTTTTGGCAATATCCCGTTTGGACTGGGAGGTGGAATTGGCGTAAAGAGAACCTAAGATTTTCATTGTTTCATAATTACCAGGCTGAGCCTTCAAAACTTTCTCAAAACATTGCGCAGCCTATAAAAAAAACAATGTCACCTCTAGCCGATCCTAACCTGGTACTTTCAATGTACATTTTCCGTATCACCTCTGTAGATGTACATTTGTCCCAGACCAAAATGAGGCAGCACAAAAGCTATTGGAGCGAATTGGGTCGCTTGGTAATAGTATTGGAAGGCTTGATCATAATCGCCTTGCACATGAAAAGCTCTGGCCAATTGATAACAACTTTCCGCTCGCATAGCTTCATTTTCTGTATTGTGAAAAGCATGCAATGCCAAATGCTGGACCTTGTTGTAATCTTTTTTGAAGAAGAAATGATTTGCCAAGTGATTTAAAACCATCGGATTGGAAGAATCTATTGTGTACGCTTTAGACAACATCTGGACACCACTTCGAATAGTTTCAGGTTGTTGCAAGTTCAGTTTCAGTATAGCCAAACCCACCAAAGCTCCCACACATTTTTGATCCAATTCAAGAGCTCTTTCAAAAGCTAATCGGGCTTTATCTTGGTTGCCCAACTTCATGAAACAGTGACCCATACCTAAGATAAAAGTAAGGTTAAAGGAGTTCCATAAGGGCACTCTAGATAATATTTACCCAGCCTAACGGCTGCTGGACACTGGGGGTTGGTTCTCAATGCTTTTTTATAAAAAGCCAGAGCTCCTCTGTAATCTTTTTTATTGTAAGCTATACAAGCTTTACCAAGTAGTGAAGGAATATTATTAGGAGACTGATTTAATACAAAATTGAACTGGGCATCTGCCTGCTCCATTTTGTCACCCTCTAGTAGGCAGAAATAGGCTCTTCCCAGTAAGTGGTTCTATTATAATAAAACACAAAAATATACCTACATGGTACTTTTTTAAGATGATAGTACATACCTGGTCGTACATGATAATTTTATCAGCTGTCGTATACAAAAGGGTGGCTTTTGTAAAAAGTTCTCTCTTCTTATCCTTATTCTTTTCACGGTTTGCTTCCTGCACATAATATGCAGCAAGCATATCGAGACCACGCATTTGATCCTTTTCATAGTCTCTGTAATCGGTATTCGCGTCAGTGCGCGAGGCCTCGAGTATCTTCAAGAAGTCTTCGATTTTATCTTGCTGGTAATATGCCAACTAGAACCGATTATTTAAAATATAACAAATACCAAGTCCGCAAAACTTCACAAACTCACGGCAAGATTGACCCATATTGAAAGCTGGGTATTCTCTTGGCGGAGAATACCCAATACTTCATCCCCTTCTGGAAGTTGATTTGGGTCCAACTCAATTACCTAAGATGTAGCGATATTACGCCATAATTTAGACTTTTCGTGATTTGAATACGTACCTCGTCGGTATCCCGAAGAGGGATTTCGATTGAGGTAGACATTTTTCGGTTTTTCTATTAACTAAAAAACCACAAAATTATTTTACACACAACTCCGCGCATATCAACTAGAACAGATGCAGCGAAAATAAACATCTTGCATTGTACATAATGTAGAGTTCTTCTTCTTTTACTTCTAATAGCCATGTTACATAAGGTCAATCGCCCAGCAAACTACAATTGATAAACAATACGCAAAATTCCTAAAGGATACCTTCGTAAGAGAAGGGTTAACATATACTTAATTCATTCTCAAAAAAATATATTTAGACCGATAGCAAAAAACGGTCACTCCTGCTTTCAATTGGCGTGGAAGAAAAAAACAGCGGGGTCGACAACGATTACACACTTTAAAACTTTCACTGAACACTTAAGAAATTACATACAATTCAAACCGATATCGGTTTTTGGGACGATTACAAAGGATTCTGTCGGGAGCGATCAACCGCCAAGTGCGATGGTCACGACAGAATCCTTAACATTGGGTTAAGCCCATAAGGTAATTCCGCCAGATTTTAAGAATTGCGGTGTCTTATGACCATTCGCACATTGCCGACACGCAATGAGTTCAGACCCACGCAATTGTTGTTTTAGGCGCAGAGAAAAAAGATCTTTGGAGTGCCAAATTGCTCAAGACATAGGCCAAGAAACTTAAGAAGAAGAAGACCTTTGGAGTTTCCTTGGGAACAGCACAGACCATAGCATTGATCACAGAATGCGATACCAATTACCTGTCCGTACACTTTACTCATTACGTATTAGAACAATGACCATTTAGTTAAAATATCTGAACACCAAAAACAAAATTCCACCAAAATAATCAAGACATTTTGATCCAAAAAATTGCATCGTGTCTACCGCGCTTAATACTTTTTAGCGAATTATACAAAAAAGCAGTGGTAATAATTTAATTTATGCATGTTCTAATTTCAAAAATTATAAGAAAACACTAAAAAGAAAAGTAATTTGTTTTTCACAAGGAAAGAAAATAACGAACACAACGAAATTAAACCCCTTGACTTTCCATAGCGGGAGGCCTCAGCAACAAAATACAGTTCTATAGATTACAACGTTAAACCCGCTCTGCGTTAATATTTGAACAGCTTGCCACTAAAAGGATTTCGGCAGCAGCAAATTCCTGCAAGATTCGCGAACGGCATCGGTCTGCGATTTTGCGCCTGGCATTTAATCGACACCGGAAGTGCGATTGGCCCTCGGCTCGAGCCAGACGCCCAATAACAAGTGACCACGCCTTTCCGTTTGCATAATATTAAACATTTTTGCTTTTCCCCGAGGTAAACGCCCGACATATTGATATTTACATGAGGGGTTGGAATCAAAACTAGCTTTTTGATGATAAAGAGCTTTCGCCAATTATCAACAATTTCATTCGTTAGCTGGGGAAGAAATTTCGCATCCCGTTTTTTTGTTTGTTTGTCTAGCCTTACCATTAATGCTTTTAAAGATTTTGAACACTGACACTCTTCCGAACGAGAGCGATAAAATGATACTTACAAAAATAGGCGCTACACAAGATTCATCAATAATAAAACGGACATCGCGAATTATTACGCAAATATGTCGATCTGTGTGTGTGAACCCGCATAACAGGGGCGTTACAGCCTAAACAGGCGTGTCCTCGTTCCCACCTCTGTGATTCCTGCGAGTCCTGCCGTTCTTTCGGCTACAGGTACGCGCGGAAGCTTTTGAAGCTTTTCGATGCCACTTCCTGTCGTCTGTGCTTTATTGCGCTTTCGTCAGTTGAAGTGGTATTCCAGAAAGTTGGTAAACTGTGTTGCAATGTTGGTGAAATGAACGTGGATCAGCAGGCGCAGGTTGCCGCGGCAAATTCAAATTTTGGCAGATCTCTAGTAAGTACCGGAACATTTCCAAGTCACGAATTACATTCACCAGGTGTTTACCATAGCATAAGAAGAAAGATAAACACAGATCTAGAACCATTTTATTAGTTGCAATTTGAATGGTAATGATTTTTGCCCATTTTGTCATTTAGCAACCTTCATCGGGGCCCGAATCAAAAATTGACATGGCGTAAAGTGCAAACAAACTGGATGCAATTTGTAAGGTGTAGAAAGTCAATAGCCAGTATTTATTATATAGTACAATTTAAAACAAGACAGTAAAAAAAATTGACGTCAAACCATAACGACAAACAAAAAGATACCATTGTGGTTTATTTTGATTTTGATTGTGCTGTTTTGCCTATTGATTTTATAGAGTTTGCAAAGTACATCAAGCATTATCTATTGTCTCAGAAAACCGACCACTACTATTCAAAGTTAAATTGATTTGAAGCGGAAGCACAAACTGATCATCCCTATATATAACAGCCGAAAAATATAACATTCACACAGTTTCTTTCATACTTTACTTTAAAGTCTTTTCAAAATTATTGTTCTTTTGAACAAAAGAAAAGCAACCTTCTGGGAAATTTGATTATTCTTCAATGGGAGAGTGCGCAGAAAAATGACAATAGCTAATTATAAAAATCACATAATGAAATAATGTCTTATGTATAACTTTTCTTTCTATTATTAATTATACATCATAACAAAGTACTAAAATAGTACTTTACTTTGTGTATGTACGGGATACGAGAAAAATACGTACGTACTCGTTACCGACACAAAGTGAACTACTTAAGGTACTAAATGTCACTGAAATATCGTTTGCCACCAATTAACAATAAAAACAAAACGCATCAATGTTTATTTTTTGAGACCTTGTAGTTTTAAAAGCAAGCGATATTCCAAAAAATTTTATACCACTTTTTCTTCTTAAAATTAAGTCGGGGTCGGAAGGGTTGGTTGGTATATATTTTGAAGAAAAAAACATCACTATGTATGTAAATGAAATTTAACTTTTCGTCCAAACAATTTGGAAACACAATTTTCTCTCTTGTATTAGATAACGTATGTAAAATACACTGTAAGTTATAATAGAATACAGGATGTCCCCAAAATGTGCACTTTTCGGAATTAAACCTCCTTTTTCATAGTTTCCACTATTTTAAAATCGGTTTGTAGAATGGATAAATTAAAAGAGGAAGTTTACGACAAAACATTCCATTTTTTTTTATAGTTTATAGTTCTTTTATGGCAGATTAGGGAAAGAAACCGAAATACGACCGAAACCTTATTCCATCACGGTGACGAATACTACGAAGGGTCGGGTATTTATAAGGTAGACAAAAACCCCTGTTTGTTTTGTACAAGTTACAACGGTAGTCAGCTCATTAAATTAATTGCTGTCCAACACATACTATGCGCGGGCACTTCGTAATTGAAGTGCATTTTCGTAGGGCGCCTATATTCTCTTTCGTCAAAAATTAGATAATAGTTAAGGATAATTTTTTGACCAAAGAGACAATTTTTTTAAAAAATGGAATGTATAAAAAAGAAAGCCAAACTAACCAGAATTTGTGACATTTCATTATTTTATGCTTATTTTTCAAATTGCAATAAAACGTTTCACTTTCGGTGGATGGAATCAAAGGATTTACAAAACCCACATAATTCGAAGCTTCCTCTAACAAATAAACCAAATCAGAGAGCAAACAAAACATAGACACATAACCCAAGTTTTGGAGGTCGGCGATTTATTTTCAAAACTACTTTGGCATATTTATTTTACATAACATGGTACTTCGTCATTACAAAATAAAATGTTCGACAAAGTGCCCATTTCACAAACAATCAAGAAATCAACACAATCTTATAATTGGTGATAATTGTAATTATTTTAATTTATTTTTGTTATTTTATTTATGTAGTATTTATTTTTTCCAGACACTCCATTGTGTGACTTGATTTTGCTTTCTACCTTTTAAAGTATTGTTTTCCTCTTATATATAATATTAAAATTTTGTGAGGTTTTTTTTTGACGACGAACAATTTCAAAAATCACCAAGAGAGAAAACACTTGGGTAACCTTGGCGTTGAAACCTCTAACAGGTGTTAGTAAGATTTTGTAAAGGATTGAATATAAAGTAAATGGAAATTGGAACTTAAGGTGCGAATGTAAAACAGCGAACATTCCCATCTTATGGGGGAAGAATTTGAAGGAAATTGGGAGTTTTGTAATGTTTTCTATAAACTGCGTTGCTATTATGGAAATGTTATAAAGTGTCGTTTTTATTTTATAATTCTGGCTGATACAATATACCGTCTAAACCGCATCAAGGAATAACTTACATTTTACAAAAACTACTGGATTCCTCCTGCATCGGTTTTTGTTGCTCCGAACTTGCTAACGTTTCGTCAATCACCCTGTTGGCTTCTTCAGAGCTTGACTGATACCGAGGAATCCATAAGGTTTGTAAAAAGTATTACTGTGGAAGTTTCTTTGAAAAAATAAGGAATAACTTGTTAAGAAAAGAAAGAAGAAGAGAAATAAGACGGCTATTCAGGATAGATGAGGGTCTTACTAATAACATTATCAAAAAACGTCAAAAGCAGACTCAAATTTTATGGGAAATAAACTGTCTCAAAAGTTATTAGATGTCAACTCAATAAAATTATTAAAAATTTAAAATAAAATCGTTTTTTTTTTATTTTATAAACTTCCTAGTATTACGTTAATTGCAGAATTTTACTTACTAAGGTAAAGGGAAGGAAAACTGAAAAGGAAAAACACTGAAATCAGTGTCAAAATACAGTAACGTGCTATATGAACTCGAGAAACGTTCATATACGCAACTGGCCTACACTTTCTGGCAAATATTTTGTAATTAGCGAGATTTCTTATGCTAAAGGGCAGACAATTATATAACTTTGGACCCAAGCTTGCAACAAATCTGTGGTTACCGTCCTTTCTATAGAGAGTGTCGTATCTATGCGTGCTCAGCTCATGTCCGTAAATTTGTGTTTCTTTTCATAAGGAGACAGGTGTTACAGAAATATGACATTATAATATTTGATATATTTTCATTATATCACTAGTTAGTCGGAAAACGTCTTTCTTTTTGAAACACAATTTTTTGAATATCATTGTGAACAAGGTTTAAGTGTATAAACCACCCCATACAACTGTAGCATATGGTATTTATTAATAAATATTCGCAGTTCATAAAATTTGTAGGATATGGTGGGGCAAGGCGGCCAACTTAAGCTTTTTATTATTTTTTGTGGCTTTTAACCATCAAGTCGATTTATGTTTGACTACATTAACTAAATTTACCCCACTCTGTCGTATTTATAATGTTATATATAATAATTATATTTATTAAAAAGTATTTGATAACAAAAAAGTTACTGATTCGTAACTATTTTTCTATCCATTAAAAAATTTGTTATTGGAATTTTCGAAAGCTCTGATTTTAAGCTAAATAAAAGAATTATCCAAAAAATAACACTTTGAATAAATTATTTATGATTCACTTATAATAATGTGGAATAGGTTTTTTTTACGTAAATGGCTAAAAATGTACAAATTACCAGAATTAATAATTATTACAAGAAAAAAAAATGGTTAATTTTTGAGGTGGGCCCCCTTGCTTAGACAAGTCCACTTTAAATTTTTGTCAGCTATGACATCTAAGTATTTAATGTTTATTATAATCAATGTAATATTTTTACAAAACTTCACAGAAGTTTTGTAAAAAGTATTACAGTAGCCTGTTGAAGTTTCCTTGAAAAGTTATCAATGTAATATAATAACTTAATAACTTAATAACTCAACAAGTGTACAATACAATACAAAAAACAAATTTGACGGAAAATTAAAAAAAATTATTGCCGTGTCAAAATAATGCTTAAACGCACCACCGAACGATAGGCGAAAGCGGGGCATATCTTTTAATTAACTATGTCAACATTGGCTCGCCCTTGGGGCGACGCCGTACCGCCACGCGTCTCCATTCCCGCCGCCCCATACGCACATAACGTCTTCAACTATTATTTGAGACACTCGATAAAACCAATCAATTGATTGTAGCGGGAATTTCAATTAATTTTTCACCTAAAATTAGCCCTTTCAATGTTTTTCGCTGGCAAAGCTCGCCGAAAGTGTCGACTGTCTTTTGTTTGCTTTTGTCGTCGTCACCGGGCCGATTCTGGTCGCCTTTTAAGGGGCCACAAACGCCATTAGTCGCCCTTGTAACCTGCGAATCTTTGTTTTGTCCATTCGATCCGCTCGGAAAATGATTGATAATGGTTTTGATTTTAACGTAACGCGCCGGAGCTTCAATTTGTAAATTGAAATTTTTCATTCAATTTTATAAAACCGGGCGATATGGATTTTTGGCGAAGTGCATATATGCATATATGCATTTTGTTGGTAATTACAGGATTAATTTATGGAAAGTTTGATTTTACTTTTCTGAATATTTTCACATACATAATATGTGCCTTTTTTGGTGGATGCATAAACAAGATTGCTTTCGAAAAATCGTCACGGGGCGTAGCGCGAAGCAGACTTTTATTTTAAAAAGAAGGCGCTTCGTGGTTTCTTGTCCTAGAGGGACGCATGGTTTTTCTCTCGTGCTCCTGCGTACCACTATGGAACTTTCGCAAAATCGATGTAATTTTATTCTACATACACCCTGTATAAAGTGTCCTTCACATCTCGTCGAACTTCAAAGTTACGGTAAATATTAAAATTTGTACTGGTAATTGCGATTTAAAATTATATTTTTTCAAATATCTCGCGAAACGAGACTCAAAATCAAATAAATCAAATCAAAATATCCCATCTCTAACAGTTAATCATTTATCGCCAATAATTTCCCACAAAAACGGAAATTTTTAGGGTCTTTTAGATTTTTTGTCCATAAACGACACACCCTGTATATGATTCAAACAATGTTCGAAGTAGAATCTATAGCACTGGGTCTTCCACGTTTCCTGGTCCAAGAATTTTTTGAAAATAGTAAATGCTTTTCGTGAAAATATTTTTTTTCTGAAAACATGCAGTGCGCCGTAATAATCAATGACAGTCTTGACAGCCCCCGAAATAGCGATATCAATATGGATTTTTTCAAATATCCCGAGCAGCGCATGTGATAGACGAAAACCGCAAATACAAAAATAACACTGTTTGAACCAATTGCTGCTAATAATTTACTCTGTAAAAAACAATTTTCTAGTTCTTTTAGATATTTGCCTATAATTTCAAAACCCTGTATATAATCGAAAAAATGCCTGAAATAAATGGATCTTCCGCGTTTGCTGGTTAAATAATTTTGCCGATCGGGTGAACAATTATGGAGGAAAACATATTTTTCTAGAAACTGAAATTACCAAAAAAAAATTCAATTTTTTTTAAAAAATAGTTGCTAAAATTTGACTGCACCCAATTTCTACCGTTTAAATGTGGACACGGCCTTTTACTTCTCTGCTAAATTTGTAGTTGATATCTGCAAATTTAGGACGCTTAACATTTAGCACGGAATATCGGGAACACCCTGTACAATATGTGAAAAAACTTTAATACAAAAGTTTTTGCTGTCTAGGCGCGCTATATTGCAATATAAAAGAAAGTGAAATCTAAATCATACTCTTTCAGTTATAATCAATTTTCAAAAATTAAGGGCTCATTTTTCAGTTTTTTTGAATTTGCGAAATATGAAGTCGATTGCTTCAAATTTCGGACACTTACCGTGTTTCAGAGCAATGTGCAAAAAAACAGTCGAAAATCACGAAAAAAACATGGATACCGGCGTCGGATCAGGGCCATTTCTTATAAGCTTATGTGCCTCGTGGAGGGTTAAAGAGGAGGCAAATATTAATTTTGTAGCTCCAACGTTCCGAAAGTTATTCAGGAAAAACCAAAAGACGAGAACGGAGAACGGACAAACATAAAAAAAATTTTTTTTTCGTCGATGATCATTTCTGTACCAACGACGATCCCATAGGGCCTACCGTTACGGAGATGTAAAATTTTTATACGATACGATTTCATCGATTTTCGAAAGTAACAAGCAATAAAAACAAATCTTTGGTCCAGTTCGACATAACAATATAGCCAAAATGTCTGAGTACACTTAGTAGAACACAATACTAACTTCTAATATTTAACATTTTAAGCTAAATTGTTTAAAAAAAGGTTATTTAGTTTTATATTAGTCACGGAGTAGGTAATTTTTAGATTTTTATGAGGATTTTCTCAGAACTTTCTAGCTTTTGTTTATATTTAATAAGTTTGATGCATTTAAAAAAAAACAGGCCATTTTCTTAACAGGTCCTATGGTCACTTTTTCACTGTTTATTCACCAAATATTCCTCGACTTGCATAAAGAAGTGTTTTGAACGACTTATTACCTCAAAATTTCATCTAATTACCTTCAAAGTTTCCTTACCACTTATAACCGACTATAATTCCCACAACTGATTCCCACACTGATTTTTCCTAAAATTTCGTCTAATTTCAAAGACTGTACATTTGGTTACAACAATAAAATCCATCACAAGTCTTATTAAACAATGTAATTGCGGGACTAGATTAATGGTAATAACAACAACAAAATTTTAAAAATTACATCCATAATAAGGGCTTCGTGGTTTGTAAGCTTTTTGTCTATCGAAGCACTTCCATTTGTCGTTTTCTTAAAAGAAGAAAAATTTTCAACAAACTTCAACACAGTATTCAAAACCACCATCATTGACGTCAAAACATTTTCATATTATTGCCAAATCAATAATGGGAAACATATTTATTTTTCTTAATTTTTATTTTGTTTCATGGAGTGCGTTTAAATAATAAAAATACATTCATCGTTGTCTATGAAAATTACAAATACTAGGCAGCTCACAAATAGTAATTAATATGATATGAAATATCTTGTGGTTCACTAGATGAACGAATATACACCATTCTTTTTATAGCTACAGTTTTTCTGGAATTCTTTGCGGAATTCCTTGGAATTACTGGGTAATTAGTTCGCTGCATTTCTATGCGGAATTCCTCTCCGTTGGAATTTTTCATACTATACACTACCATTCATCTGTTTTGTTATTAATTAATTTTTGGTTGTTGTTTTGTATATATTAGGTTTTTGATTTAAATTTAAAATTGTTGAATCAGTGTACGCACAGACCATTGGTTGAATGTGCATTTTTCTCTGCTTTTATCATTAAATGTTATTTTAGTTTTATAAAATTTATAAAACAGCTTCTCGGATGACTGATTAATGACAGGTAAAGACTTGAGTTGCGGTTAAGACTGTTATATTTCTATAAACTCTCGGATTTTTCGTTGGTAGAAGAATTGATTACATGCAAGAACTTTAGTGTTATCGATTAAAATTTTATGTCTGCTTTCGTGATTGTGTTCGGCAACTGCTGATGAGTTTATTTGTCTTAGCATTAAGGCTTTTTCATATTCTTTGAGCCTAGTTTATATTTTTCGTCCTAAAAAAATATCAAAGCAACTAAAACTAACCAAAACTAATCAAAAAAAGGAAAAAACCCAGCCGAAAAAAATGTTTTTCGGGTTGATTTTACTAGATTAAAACAACATAGAATAAAATGTTTCGGTGCCAAAGCCGCAATATTATTTTTAAACGTTAATCTTTTGCCTTAGGGTTGTCTGTTCGGGTCCCCGGTGAATGCGACCTGTTACCCGACGCATCAGGAGCCTTACAAGACCGCGACTCCCGCTGGTAAGTCAATTACAACCTTCTATCTGCGTCGATATTGCCCGAGTGTATTTTATAGATGTGATTTTTTTTCGACTCCATTGACCGTGAAGGAGTGCCGATTAAATTTTGTCAACGCAAATACATTTTTTTTTGTAATTGCTTTCTAGAATAAAATGAGAAAAAAAATCCGCTCACGATCACAAGATATTTTTACAAACAAATACTGTAGATATCTGCATATACCTACATAGTGTTTATTAATTAACAATAGGTATTAAATTATTAATATTAATTATAGGTGTTATTTCTTCGATGAATTGTAATAAAAATGCGGCTAAAACTTAAAAAAATCTTTTTTTAACAGAATTTTTTATTCCAATGTCCAAAGGGGCGTCACTGGTAAAAATGTACAAACATCTTAGAAGTTAAAAAATGCTATATAATGATTAAAATTTGAGAATAAGATTTCCTAAAAATATCTAGAGAGATAAGAAAATTATAATCAAAATGTTAAGTTTTAAATTTCATCTTGTAGCCCTGTAGCTCAAAAATTTGAAGGTTTAGGGAATACGTTTTCTGATTAAAATTATTATTAAAAAAATATTACATTAAAAAGGAACCAATTATCCCTTCCACCAAATTATTACAAATTTTTAAATTTTTCAAAATCCCGACCTTTAACCACTGCCGTTATTGTTGTTGGTCGTTGAAACATTTTAATTTGCTACGTTTGGACAATATATACCTAGATATGTTTTGAATATTTTATTTTATTTATTATATTTATATTTTTTGGTATATTGGTATATCTTTTTTTATTTTTGTTTATTATAATTAATTTGATCTAATCTAAATCATCGTCATTTACAATGTATATTGTTGAATCATAATCTAGGTTTTTTATTTGCCGGAACAATATGTTGTTTCAAATATTTACTAGATTTTTAATAATTTTGATTTTAAAACTATGCAAAATGCTAATTTAGGGTTAGTTGATTTAAAATGAAGGGTTTTGCTGAGTGATTTATCTGCGATATCTGAGAAAACTGGCAATAATCCTAACCAGCGTTTTATTAATGTTTTTAGCGACGTTCCCTCCAGATTGGAAAGAACCCTGGCATCTCGAGGGTACGTATTACAAGCTTATCTCTTATTCATGTTGCAAAATACAAAATCTAAGCTCCCTCGCAAGCGTTTCACATATATTATTCGATACCGAAATACATATACGGGTTCAAATGCACTGAGTGTTTTCGAAAAGTTTACACAAAACTTAGATGAAAGTAAAGCATAGTATAAGTTGCAAACAAAACTGATACTGTGATATTAATCAGGGATATTTTTCGAAAGATTTGCATTTATACTATTCTATAATAATAATCTAACACTGAATCATTTCTAAATAAGGTCAGGTTTGTAATCACCCTTTCAATTTTCTTTAATTCCTTTCATTTATCTATCTATGTCTTCCTTAGTCTCTGTCTGTTCATTTTCTTATCAATCACTGTTCCCCAGCTTCTCTTGTTCTTCTTCCAGTAGGTGATTATTCTAGTGCTTGTTTTGACATCTCATCAGCGATGGTATGGGTATTTTTAATCTGGCAAGCTTGGATAAATGGTCTTAAATTATGAAAAAAAAAATCTCCACTCTGTGATATTTATTGGTTTTCTAAACAATCCGTTTTTTTTTTTATGTTTCAACGAACTATAAACCTAAGTTGATGTTTTTGAGTGTTTGGAGAGACAGGAACATAGTTTATTTGCACGCTTTATTTTTATTTTAAATCGCTTTTTAATAATTATATCTGAAACATTTTAAGTTACCTAAAAGAAATTTAGACAAAAAATACCTTTGGTTGGGCTATAAAAGTTAGTACTGACGTAGTTGTTTCTGAAACAATCATTATTCGCGCTCAAATATGAAAATTACTTAAAATAATTTATTAATTCGGGTTAAAAAATTTAAAGAACCCCAAAAACACTATATTTTTTTTACTTTGAACAATCTTGCTGAACATATTTTAGGTCCTATGCTGTTTTCCGTTTAGACCTCCGACTTCTGTAAATTTATTAAGCATTGTTCCTCCCATCAGTACGCAGACGACACTCAAGTATATCTCTCTTTTAGTTATTCTCAAATTAATACCGCCGTTAATAATATAAACAGTGACCTACGTGCTCTTATTTGGATAATAATCTGCGTTTTGAAGGTTGAAGCTTCATTGATCCAGAAATCATTTTACAAGCTTCGGATTCTCTACTTTAATAAAGATATTCTGGACACAGCAATTAAGTAAAAACTTACCGATTCCTTAATTCTCTCCTCAATTTCATACTGTATGGTAGTTTACTGGCGTGCCCTACTTCAAAAGGACAAGGTTAGTCTTCAGCGTCTTCAGAATGCCTGTTTCAGATTCTCATACAATATTCGTAAATTGGATCACATATCTACTAGCCTAGAGGATTCTCGCTGGCTAACATTAGACGAACATTTTAAATCGCAGCTTTTAGCCTTAATTAAAAAAGTAATATCTGTCCAACGTACGACGTATCTTTTTGACAAACTTACTCGTGGATCAGATATTCATTCGGTTAACACTCGAAATAGGGGGTTGTTTACCGTTTCCAAACATACTTCAGCACAGTTTCAGCGCAGTTTCACGTACAATGCTATCAAGGCTTACAACAAACTTCCTCTGCCACTGAGATCAATCACCTCACTAATTTCATTCAAACAAAAACTTAAACAATACATTTATCATAATAGAGACCGATCATGAAACTAGTAACTATCAAATTGTATATATGTATTTCTTTTTTGAATTCACTTTAGCAGAGTCTACCATTTTGAATGAATGTCTATGTAATTTATATGCTATATGTTATTTTATAATTAGTGCTCATATGTCAGAGCAACTATGTTGGATTCCGCCCCCACAGTTATATATTTTTGTAAGATGTCTACTTCGAAACCCAATAAAGGCCCTTTGCTATTATTATTATTATATATTTTTTAAAAATATAGCCAGAAAATATAAAAAAATTGTTAGCAGCATTAGCAGTTTTTAGGACTTCTTTTACAAAACCGTATCTTTTGGAGGCGGAATTTTGGGATATGTTTATTAACCAAACTAAATTTATTTTGAAATATCCTATTTATCATGCAAATTAGAGGAAAGTTTTTTGAAACATCTTGCAATTATAGAAAAACCTTGTATGTTTACACTGTCTGATTTTTATTTAATATTTCACGAATGCTATGGAGTAGAATAGCATACCACCAATGAGATTTTCTATTCTACTCGATAATATTGTACTGCAGGATATAGTTTAATTGTATTGTGTTTTATTTGCTGTTTAAATGTTTGTCAAGTGCAGAGACCAAGCTCAAACTAACAATAACGTGTAAAATTATTGTTAAAATGAAAAGCGTAAAAAACTATACAGATTTTGTTTTAATAGTTCTGTTATTAATAACTACACTAGGTTGGTATACTTTGAGGAAATACTGTATTTTGTACCATCAAAAGCACTTTAAAGGTAGTGGTGCTCAATCTGAAAGTACGTGGATACTCTATTTTGGATTCATCTAATACTAAATTTTCAGCACCATGTTCTGTTTTATCACGTCTTGGCAGGCATTTTCGGGTCCACAGAGCTCTTTTTTTTCATTTAGCTATCTTACCTTCAATTCATAACGCAACAAAAAAACGGTATAAATTTAAGAATGAAGTGATAACAATGGTATCAATTATATTTTCGTTCATAATTTTCCTTTTTGTTAATCCTTTTCAATAAAAATTGCTTGTTTACGAATTAAATAATAAAAAAAAAAACAAATCAAATAGTCTGTCATCAGACAGTCATTTTTTTACAGCTGCCAAAGTATTTCTTCGTAAATTTTGGAACTGGAAATGAAACAACGTATTTTAATAGAAAACAAAATATAACCAACAAATAGTAAGAGTTCCAATAATTTCCAGTGCATTAATTACCTTCAAGATTGGTATTAAATGATACTATAATCAAAGGGAAACATGCATTTTATATAATTAAAGATTTAATAAAAAAAACTACAAGAATTGGTTAGATTGGATCACAAACGTTGACAATAATTAATAATCACAACGGCCGATGCTACGTCATCATTAAGATGTATTTGACGACAATATGAGAATGAGAAATCAGATTTTCAAGGACACAAAAAACCTGGAAAAGTAAAGACAATTTTCAATCGGAAATAACAGAGTTATTTTTTTTAAATCCTCCGACATCGGAAACGCACGCCGCTAATTTTTACGGTACAAATTTCAACCTGTTGTCGAGCGATCAATTATGCAAACCCTTAAATCATGGGCACCGTGTCCCTACGGGGTCGGCGGAATCCGCCGAGCAATGCGAAAGAGCAACCGACCGAGCACTCCGTTGTTGTGCGTAATTAACTTGCATTAGACATTACGAATTATTTATTAACTGCTGGAAATCTCCCGTCGGATATTTTAGCGTCTCCGGGTAGACGGGCACAGGCAGATTGCCCGTCATGATGAACTGTCGATACTTCAAAGTTTTTGCGAGAAAAAAAACTGTAGAAATTCATATTCTAATATTTTAGGAGTTAGAGAAATTCACAGTTGACGAAGCATTTAGGAAAACAAAATGTAGTAATATCCTGAAATCTTGGTCACGTCGTTCCGCTCTATGGTTTTAAAATTTGTGTCTCTTACACAAAATTAGCGACAAGTCTTTTTTTTTTAATGAAAAACCCTGTTTATTATGAAACATTCTGACAAATTAAATCCGCCATCAATTCACATATCAAGTTCCTGTACGAAATAAATAATTTAATAACATAATATAACAAATAAACATTTGTGTGAATTAACCACATAATATATGTATTGACTGACAATAGTCATTGCATTGAACATTTTTTTCACCAGATTTAAAAAGTGAAGAAAAGATTCCAGAAATTGCGGGACATTTTATTATTACATTTCTTATGTTTTTTTTTAATTATGGTTATGAAAAACGTAAACCAAAATGTATATCAATTAACGTTTTTTTTTTGCCAGGTAATAGCTGCGGCGGCACGGATGACAGCGAACAGTATATTCCAGAAAGCGAACTTGTTCACACCCATTTCTCTAATGGTAAGTATATTACACTAAGCGCCCATGCCAGCGAGAGCCTACTGTATACGGGGCGTTTACTAAATGAATTTTTTGTTCTTTAATACTCAATTAATATTTAGGGGACACCTTAAGAGGAAAGAACCTTACAATTAAAACCATTTTCTTTTATTTTTAATTTAAAATTAAACTTTATTTTACGTCAAACTTACAACCACCTTAAACATTAACGTTCGATTAGAAAACACCCTGTATAATGCGCCGAATAGAGTTCCCCGCCGGCAGGCACTGATTTAAATAATCCCGGGCGGTTGTCGCTTTCCAAAAAAATGGTCATAAAGAAATCACGCTGCGTTCGATGATCAAACTGTCAAAAGTTCGTCGCTAGGAACGAGACGAGTCGCTTTAAAAGCAACGGGGCTCTTTTGTCGGCGACGAATAAGAGTTTCCGTCGAAACGCGCGTTTCAAACTTACCGACTGCCCGGAATACTACGAAAATACGTTGACAATTTTTTTACCACAACGTGGCATCATATCGACGCAACTGTCAAACCAGAGAAGGGTTGTTAGCTATTAAATATTGTAGGAGTTTTAAATATAGTAAAATTCTGGCGCCAATGTGTTTTTCGGTCATTTCCTACCCAATCTGCAAACGGTTAAGCCTTGCTCTGAAAATTTAATTTGATATATGCTCAATTTGGCAAAATTCAGCCGAAAAATAGCACAACTCTGAAAACTGTGGTGTTGACCAACTGTCGGCAGTCACGTTGATTATTAAACGCTGCTATCGGTTGAAGAGTTATAAATTCCACATATTGAATGTCCTGCCTCAGGTTTCAGGTTATGTTAGCATTTCTCGTCTGAACCGACTTTGTTTATCTATTTACACCGTTTGGCAGCAAAATTAAATAATTACCAAGACATCAACTTTCATCAGAAGACGATTTTAGGAAACAAAAAAATTTCTATTTTAATGTAAAACGTACTGTACTAAAAAAAATACAAAATATTACTCTGCCATTTGAATCGATGCCTGAACTGCAGCAGAAAAAACCTTTCCAAAACAAAGTACAAGGTTAGCGCCAAAATTTCCCAGCCTGACATAGATGCAACTCCAGTATCACAATAAAACTTTGTCTTCTCTTAAATATATATCTTAGTAGGCTGCGAAAAAAATTGAAGTCTTGCGTCAAACAGTTTTTTATTGGAAGCATTTTAAACAAGATGTGTCCGAAAAAATGTCGCAAATAACGCAAATTGAGTATAAAGCAGTCATAAAGTTTTTGACAAAAGAAGGGTTAGCACCTAAAATAATTAAAGAAATGCTGGATGGTGTGTACGGCCAAAGTTCTCCTTTGTATTCTGTAGTAAAAGAATCAGCAAAACGTTTTCGAATGAAGATGATTCAAGAAGTAATCGACCAGTGGAGGTCATAGCGGAAGATATTGTTGCGATTATGGAAGAGGTGGTATTGAGGTCAAGGTCAAGGATATCTCAGAAATTACTAAGCTTTAAGTGTTCGTCGAATCCTGCATGACCATTTAGGTATGCATAAGGCAAGATGGGTTCCTAAAAACCTTTCGGCTATTCAAAAACAACGCCGTGACGAGTGTGCATGGTCTTTTTTGGAACTCTGTGGGTCGGAACCGAAGCTTGTGATAGAAACTATTGTGACAGGAGATGAAACTATGGTTCTCTATTATGACCCTATTATGAAAATTCAGAGTCTGCCAGTCAACAAAAAAAGTGATGGCCACGATCTTTTGGGATTGTGAAGGAATTCTTTCCATAGATTTGAAAGAAACTAATACCACTGTCAATGGTAAATATTCCGCAACATTATTACATAAATTGCGAGACTGCATACGTGTAAAACGTCGAGGAAAACTGACCAGAGCCGTGCGTCTTTGGCACGATAAGGCACCTGTCCATACTGCTGGTGTTGCACAAGCTGCCATTTTAGACTGTGGATTCCAACAAATAGATCATCCTCCCTATAGTCCAGATATTGCCCCCAGCGACTATTATTACGTGGACGGAGGTTTGACGACGAAGTTGAGTTAAAACTCTCTATTTTAGTTCATTTTGCAGATAAACCAAAAGAATATTTTTTTAATAGGGATTGAGTTGTTGATAAAGAGATGTAATAAGTGTATTGAAGTTAGGGAGGATTATATTGAAAAATAATAAAAAATTTTGTTACTCTACTTTGTTTCTTTCATATTCAGGCCGGGAAATTTTGGCGCTGCCCTCGTATTTAACATTTTCTGCAAGAAATACTGGTTTAAGTTCTGAACTATTACCATTGGCGATCCACACGATAAAATATTAGACAGACATGTAGTCCAAAGGACTTCGAGAGTCTGAACTGACCAGCAACAGAATTAAAAAATTGTCTTACATTTTTTATGCCTTGGGGAATATTCTAAATAAACATACCTTATTAATGGTTTAAACATAACCAGAGCATTTATGGTAAATCAGTATCGGGACATGCTTACAAGAGCTATCTCAAAAAAAAAACAAATACAAATATGTCAAAATTATTTATAATAGGTATAACTGTTAGTAAAAAAATATGTTTCAAAAAAACCTCCACAGGCTACTGTAATGCTTTTTACAAAACTTCTGGATTCCTCCTGCGTCGGTTTTTGCTTAGTCAAAATTGCTGACGTTTCGCCAATCATCCTGTTGGCTTCTTCAGAGCTTGACTAAAACTGGGTTTCTGAGTTTCAGTCAAGCTCTGAAGAAGCCAACTGGATGATTGGCGAAACGTCAGCAATTTCGACTAAGCAAAAACCGATGCAGGAGGAATCCAGAAGTTTTATAAAAAAAAAATTGTAAAAATTGTGTAAAATTTGTAACTTCCCTTTGGGATAACAATATTTAAAGGTAAATTTTAAACGTAAAACTTTATAATTCTTCTTCATCAGAATCTAATCTGGCAGTTTTTATGATATAGTAAGATAAGGTGCTTCTGGTTTTTTTTATAAATCTACAGCTCACGTATATAGTATTATTGTCATTGTGGCTTTGTGTTATTGTGTAATTATTTTATTTATTTATTTTCCTATGTATATTTAAGTATATAAAAACCAAACTATTAGCACCATTTTTTATATTATTAATTTCCACTACATATTACATTTCCTATATTTAATTTTGTTTCTAAACCCGCAGGAAATAAAATATTCTGTATGAAGATTATACAATTTTAGACCAACACAAGCTTCTCTTAAGTATGCTATTGCCATATTATGTATATTAAACATAAATTTTGGATTGATTGTGTAAATTAATAAGCTTTTCATGTTTCCTCAAACTGAGAGAAAAATAACCATTTACTGATATGTTAATTCACAAAATTTTCGATTAAGGTGAGCATTACAATTTTCCAGACGTGAAACCAGAAAAGATCCACAACATCTGGAAGAGCTCGATGCAAGCGCGGGGTTATTCGGCTGACAACTTGGAGGAACTTTACGCGGGAAGTTACCAGCATACGGGGTGTTTCTATTCGAACCCGTTTTACGACAAACTCGCGTCCTTCTCGTCAAAGCAAACGTTGCCCCAAAGTGTGGATCCCAACGTCTCGGGAGATGTCGCGAGTCAGCGACAACTCGTCAAAGAGGAACCCGTCGAGAAAGAAATAAGTAAGTTAGGTTTTAGCGGAAGCACTTGTCGCGTGAACCCCAAGTCTGACACCATGTCGACGTAAAGTACGTCTCCAAGTACACGAACTCGTTTTTGCTGAGTTAACTTTACAACCACAGCATTTGTAAGCTCCACCCAGTACATTTAGAGATCTAAAAAATGTTAATCTCACTCTCTTGTATGACCAAGTACAGTCGCTTCCGTGGCGAAACATATATGATATTGATAATATTGACGATAAGGCAACCTTTTTCATTTTCCATACACCATATAAACCGTGGATAACAGACAACATTAAACTACTTACAAAAACCCGAAATAAAGCTAAAAGCAAATATAAAAGAACTAAAAATGTCGTTGGTTTTGAACAATACAAAAGTCTCAGAAATTTTACAAGTATGACAATTAAAAAAGAAAAAAAGGCCTATATGCAACATGTGTTAAATCGTAGCTCGAAAAAAATGTGGAAATCTTTAAAAAATCTTAATATTATTAGCACAAACCAATTGTCTTTACTGGTTCGAGGCTGAAATTTTGTCCTATCACAGAGACTGACGTGTCGAAATTTTTATGCAACATTAAGTCCAGAGCAGTCGGAGCAGATGATTTACATGTGAACTTTCTAATCTTTTGTTGTCCATTTATTCTTAAATATATCTGCCATATCGTTAATTTTTGCATCAATAATTCCGTTTTTCCTTCCGCGTGGAAGATCGCACATATTGTGCCTCTTTCTAATACTAAAAGTCCCACAAGTTATAGTGCCCTATTAGCATTTTGTCTATAGTTTCCAAAATTCTGGAAAATGTCATTAAAATGCAGGAAGGGACACAGTTGTGCAACTGCTCTCCTAAACGTCGCAGATAATTTATTCCGCACAATTGACAAAACCAAATGGATTACTCTAAGTCGTTTGATACCTTGAATCACCGTAATTTGTTAACTATTCTAAAATACATAGGGCTTGATGAGGGTGCTGTCGAGTTTATGGGGAATTACTTACAAGATCGTAAACAAAAAGTGGTTCTAAATGGACGACAATCAGACTGCCGTGCTATAATATCTGGGGTACCTCAAGACTCTATTCTGGGGCCAATTTTATACTGTATATATACGTCCGCGTTTCCTAGTTTTATACAGCATTGCAAAACCCAAATGTATGCAGATGATCCACAAGTTTATTACTCATTTTCGGGAGATAAAATTTTGGATAGCTGTCAAATCATAAATAATGATCTAGAAATCAACAGCGTGTCCCTAGAACATTCGTTCCATCTAAATCCAAAAAAGTATATAGCAATGTTCTTTGGTAGTCCCGTCGATGTTGCTCGATTTTTTCAACTAGTTGGAATAAAAATATCGAATGTGTGCATTCCTCTGAAAACGGAGGCAAAAAACTTTGGGCTTATGCTCGACAGTAACCTAAGATTTAATGGTCAAGTTACACAATGTATTAAAAAATCCATTGCTCACTTAAAATGCTTATATGGTTCTAAAAATATTTTAATTCGATCATTAAAAAAGGTCTTGTGTGATCGGATAGTTTTATCTTCTTTTAATCACTGTGATGTCGTCTATGGCCCATGTCTGACAGCGGTTACCTCAGAACGGAATCAAAAAATCCAGAAATACCGGTTGTCTGTAAACACAATGACCCAATGTTAGGTCTGATTTTCTATTGATAAGAATATCTAAGAATTGGAGGTTATTATTAGCTTCCTACTCAATGGTAAAACGTATGTTAGGGTGTATCGAGTTTAAATGTCTAAGAAAATCTACTAGGGTTTCTTGAATATGGGGCCAAATAACAAAAGTATCATCGACGTAGCGTTTCCTTAATTTTGGTTTTAGATGAAAGGTGTCGAGAGCTTTCTTCTCAAAGGATTCCATAAATATAAAGAATATAGAAATGGTGCTGACAATAGGTCGAAGGGGTAATCCTAGTTTGTGAATCTTTGGAAGTCCGTAGAGATCAGGAATCTTAGAGTCGTCAGGGGTAACAGATTTTTTCACGGAGTCTGTGTCCATGACTACCGTAGCATTTCCCTTATCTGCTTTTAGGATCAGGATGTCTGGATTGGATTTTAGAGATTTTAGGGCGATGCGTTCACGCTTTGCAATATTGGATTTAGGAGGTTTCTATTTTTTAAGGATTTTTGCGGTTTTAAATCGAATTTCATTAGCTGTTTGGGATGGCAGTTTGTTTAGGATAGACTCGACATTTGAAATGATTTCCCCTTTTGGGATAATACCTGGCGCAAGGACGAAATTGGAATCTTTTGAAAGAACTAATTTTTCAGTTTCCGAAAGTTGGTGCGATGATACATTTATTACAGTGTTTGGTAGTTTAGAAGAGTTTGATGGTTTTCCTAGTAGTGACGTTAGTTTTTCGAATTTCTGAATGTGATTTTGCGTGGTAGATAAATTAAGATTTAAAACTTTGTCATGAATCATGTTTGAAAGGGTATCGAACTCGGATGGGGACAAAATAGAAAAAATTTCAAGGTGTAGAGACAGAAGAGGCTTGATTTGGTCTATTTCCTTACGGGTATGATTAATTCTTTCTCGAAGTAAAGCGAAAAAACCGACACAGGAGGAATCCAGAAGTTTTGTGTGAAAGTTTCTTTGATAAATATGGCTTGTTTATAATTAATAACCTCGAAAACAATTGTAAAAATTTTAAACCACACCATAAAACGTAAATATCAATGGCAAATGTTTATATTCGTCGGGGAGTAATTCTCGCTGAAACTGGTTGTTTGCAGTATTCCCGTCGGGTGTATTTTAGGGATACACGAGGGCTAATTCAAGGGGATGAATATTAATAAAGCCGATATTGCCGAAGTTGCGTAGTTACACAATCTGGCATGATATAGGCTCGAAAAATAATGAACTAGGGAACGTTTTTTTTAACAGCGCTAAATTTGAGATTATAGTTTGAAATATAAAAAATAAATAAATAAAATAAATTGAAATATTTATTTTTTCTTTTAAATTCCTATATATCACTAAATAACATAAAAATATTTTTTAATTTCTAATTGTGTTTTTGATCGAAACACCATAATGGGTGGATAAAAATGCAATTATTAGCCGCTTGAAAAAATACCAGAAAATGTATTTTTAATCTAAAAGTTCCAACATATAAAAATAAATATTGTACTATTTCGCATTATCTTAAGAGAAAAACCCAAAAATTATATTTTGTTTTAAAATGAAAATATTAATAAAAATATGGTAATAAAAAATAGTATGATACTATTTTGACTTAAAAAAATTAAATTCATGTGTATATTATTTATTATTTTTGGAAAACCTGCCGAATTTTGTTAGCTTCTGTGCCCACTGGTTGGCCGTATTAAAAATTAAATATAAAATAGCAATTACATCACAAAGTTAACGTAAAGTTGTCAAAAAATAATAAATAATAATAGTATTTAGATGCGTAGATAATAAACCGATCAAATTCATATTACTTTTAGCACTGTTTTAAAAAACTAGACACGCACACCCCTCAGTTGAACTCCATAACAGAATACGATGTAGAGGTACCATAAATTTTGACATTCGACAGTAAACACCTTGCCAAACTTAAAATAATTTAGGAAATTATTATTACTGTCGAATTTTTCTTGTTTTCCATCGATATAAGGAACAATGACTTTGACATTTACAACGTTTATTAACTTTAATATTTTAATTAAAGTTCTTTCCCATTAAGGTAAAAATCAATGGTTTTTAATTTTTCCGTTTTTGGTTTCAAAGTCGTCGACGGACAAAATATTTCCCATTAAAAACGAACAATGATCGTTGTTGTTGATTTACTATTGGCCAACCAATTTTGCGAAATTAATTTCCTGGCCATGCGGTAACGTATCCCTTTCACTCTCATTTTATTTGTTTTATTTTACGGAAATGGCTTCGGTACGAATTCTGAATACATCTTAATAAAATACAACGTTTATATATTATAGAAAAGTATAATGCAATAAAAACATAAGTAGGTTACTTACGTAGAGAATTGAATCAGAAAAATTGGATTTTAAAATAATAAAAATCAATCTCACCCTAAAGGCTTCTTAGGGCAACCCCCCTGCCACCTGCAAAGGGGCATCAAGAACTCGACACGCGTGTACTTTAAACAGAATCTTGTTTACCCTCGTGAAGGGATAGCGTCGGTTTTTAATCGCGGAAGAATGAATTTTGATTTTCTATGAAAAACCGGAATCGCGTTTCATCGCGATTTGCATATCGATGCGCCCGATGGAAATTTTCAATATCGCGACTTGAATTTTTAACTAAACGCGAATTTACGGGGAGGTCCCAGTAAAAGTGGCCTCAAACCTCGATATCTAAGCCAAAGGACGTAGTTTAGTCGGTTTATACAGGTCGATTCATCGATGAGTGTGCAGCGCACGACTTGCCTTGTATTTTTGAGAAACATTTGGTTGTTTAAAAAACAAAAAAATTGCAAAAGATGTATATTTTTTTTAGGATGTTAATAAATTTTTAGTATATTATGCAACAAGTGCAGTAAATGGCATTTGACTCACGAGTGATTAAAAAAGTTTACCGAACGTGTTGCATACTATACTTTTTCTAAGACCGTTAGTTTTTGAGTACATTTTCGCAAAACTTGAATGACATGGCCGTCAGAATTGACAAACGTCAAAATTCAAGGAGTGGGAAATACCTCCGAAAACATCCGATTGCTCCCAAACCCTTGAAGTAAAATCCCGAAAATCTCCGAAGTGGCTCGGATCCGTGAGAAACGAAACGGACGTGGTAAAGTGACGCTTCCCGCACGTTAGACCGATGTGTAATGAGGTATTTTACAGACGGGAGTAGAAAAAATATTTTATATTGTATATATTGTATTGTAGATGCAGCTCCAGTATCACGATAAAACTTTGTCTTCTTTTAAATATATATCTTAGTAGGCTGCGAACAAAAAATTGTAGTCTTGCGTCAAATAGTTTTTTATTGACAGCATTTTACACAAGACGTGTCCGAAAAAATTTCGCAAATAATGCAAATTGAGTATAGAGCAGTCATAAAGTTTCTGACATAAAAAAAGGTTGGATTGTGTGTACGGCCAAAGTTCTCCTTCGTATTCTGTAATGAAAGAATGGGCAAAACGTTTTCGAATGGGACAGGAGTCCCTTGAAGATGATAACGGAAGATATTGTTGCGATTGTGGAAGAGGTGGTATTGAGTGCGATCGTTTAAAGGTTAAGGAAATCTCAGAAATTACTAAGCTTTTGTGATACAAGTGTTCGTCGAATCCTGCATGATCATTTAGGTATGTATAAGGTTAGTGCAAGATGGGTTCCTAAAAACCTTTCGGCTAATCAAAAACAGTGTGCAGTCTTGTTTTGGAACTCTGTGAGTAGGAACCGAAGCCTGTGATAGAAACTATTGTGACGGGAGATGAAACTATGGTTCTCTATTATGACCCTCTATCGAAAAAAGAATCAATGAAGTGGCGTCGTAAGGGAGAAGCAACTCCAGAGTCTGCCAGTCAACAAAAAAGGTGATGGCCACGATCTTTTAGGATTGTGAAGGAATTCTTTTGATAGATTTTAAAGAAACTAATACCACTGTCAATGGTAAATATTACGCAGCATTATTACATAAAGTGCGAGACTGCATACGTGCAAAACGTCGAGGAAAATTGACAAGAGGCGTGCGTCTTTTGCACGATACTGCACCTGTCCATACTGCTGGTGTTGCACAACCTGTCATTTTAGAGTGTGGATTCCAACAGATAGATCATCCGCCCTGTAGTCCAGATATGGCCCCGACCGACTATTATTTGTTTGGATATTTGAAAAAGGACTTACGTGGACGGTGGTTTATCGACGAAGTTGAGCTAAAAGAGGCTGCTTTAGCTCATTTTGCAGACAAACCAAAAGAATATTTCTTTAAAGGGATTGAGTTGTTAATAAGGAGATGTAACAAGTGTATTGAAGTAAAGAGGGATTATATTGAAAAAAAATTGTTACTCTACTTTGTTTCTTTCATATTCAGGCCGGGAAATTTTGGCGCTGCCCTCGTATGTACACCGTGTGCCAAATAAAACGATCCACTGTACGATCTGGAAACTCATGGATGATACGAAAAAAAGTTTCTTACAAAAGTTTCCTGGATTCTCCTGAAGGTTTAAAATATTATAATTTTGTTGATACAGGCTGTCCCAAAAGTGACCGCCCTGACATCAACTTTGTTATTTTAAATGGAACATCCTGTATACTTCGGTATTTTTGGAATCCCTGGTTAAAATAAAGGTCCCTTTCTTAAGAAATTCCTTTTCGAACTTTGCATAGTTTAGGCACTTTGGGCACTCCTCTCGGGTATCCTCCGAAATATCGGAGTACTGAAAAACGCATCCGATATAGATTTTTACCTAGAATTCAGTGGCGTAGAATTCAGTTTTTTTCTAAATGGTTTTGTCTTTTTGAAAAAAAGTTTTTTTTTTAATGGACCACCCTATATCTTATAGGCCAACTTGATTCCGCTTGGTATGAACTTCTCAAACAGTATAGGATTATTGGTATAAATGAACTCACAAAAATGATTTTTCAAACTTTTCATGAGTTAAATTTATACCTAACAATAACTTTTATAATTTGCATGAAGGTAACTTAGTTTAATATAAACCAAAACGAGAACCTAGATAATCTTTCAAAGAAACTTCCACAATTTGTACCACAATACTTTTTACAAAACTTCTGCGTCAGTTTTTGCTGAGTCGAAATTGCTGACGTTTCCCCAATCATCATGTTGGCTTCTTCAGAGCCTGACTGATACTGGCTCGTATTTTACTCTGTACTACTCTGTATTGTTTGAGGGGGGCGCTAATAGATAATAGTTTATAGATTTCTATAGACTCTCGGATTTTTCGTTGGTAGTAGAACTGATTACATGCAAGAATTTTAGTTTTATCGAATAAAATTTTATGCCCGGTTTCATGAATGTGTTCGGCAAGAGCTGATGAGTTTATTTGTCTTAGTCGTAAGGCTCTTTCGTGTTCTTTGAGTCTAGTTGATATTTTTCGTCCGGTCTCTCCAATGTATTCTTTGCCGCATATGCATGGTATCTCAAATGGAATTTTGTCTTTGACGGACCGAAGATGTTGAAAGATTTTTGGATAAGTGGTAAATCTGGTTTTGACGTTATACTTCTTTAGAACTTTTGATATGTGGTCGGTGGTGTTTTGAATGTAAGGAAGGACCACAGTGACAAATGTAGGATTGCTTTCCACCTCATTGCTATCGGAAGGTTGTGGTGAAGTGTATTTTTTGATGAACGACTTAATATCTGTAATGGGAAAATTATTATATTAATAATATAAATTATTATCAATTCTGTTTTCAGTGACTCAGTCTGTGTGCGTAGGTTTTCTGTAAACACAATGACCCAATGTTAGGTTTGATTTTCTATTGATAAGAATATCTAAGAATGGAAGATTTTCTTCACCATGAGGCCAAATAACAAAAGTATCATCGACGTAGCGTTTCCATAATTTTGGTTTTAGATGAAAGGTGTCGAGAGCTTTCTTCTCAAAGGTTTCCATAAATATATTCGCGATGCCTGGTGATAATGGAAACCCCAAAGCTGTTCCCGACGTTTGTTCAAAAATATGACCGTTATAAGATAAGCATTTTTCAATTAAGATGAGAAGGTTTGGTTCCATATTCTCGGATATTAATATATCTTAAATGATGTTGAGAGTTTAAGGAATAGGGACTTTAGTAAAGAGAGATTCTACGTCGAAACTAACCAGAATATCCTGTGCATCTGGTAATTAGCTGCGAAACTTTCAGTTTTCTTGGGGAATCTTAGGGAGTCCATGGAGAGGAAGAATTTAAGAGTCATGAAGGGTTAAAAACTTTTTCACGGAGTCTGATAGAGAAGAGGAGTTAAACAGATTTAAGGTTGCGTTCCATAGATGACGTAGGATCTTTTTGAAGTTGAAGATGCGATCTATCTATATGAATATCTTGAATTTTTTCCTGATATTCATTTATGTTCATGACCACCATAGCATTTCCTTTATCAGCTGTTAGGATTACGATGTCGATTTTAAAAATTTTAGAGCAATGCGTTCAAGCTTTGGAATATTAGATTTAGAACGATTTGATTTTTTTAGAATTTTTGCGGTTGCAAACCGAATTTCATTAGTTCGATTTTTATAAAAAACCTAATGCTGAAAACCGCAAATGGATATCTGTTTCGGTTTCAGAGTTATATGAGGTTTTGAAAAAAAGCCGTAACTTCAGATGCCAGTTTGTTTACGTATAGACTCGACTCGACATTAGTTTTGTAAATAGTATTGGAGTAGCCTATAGACGTTTGAAAATGTTTCCATTTTCTTATATCACCCAGTAAAGCGCGTTCAATTTAAAAATATACATACATTTTTGTATTACCAAGATTTTACGCAACGCCCTGTATAATTAAAAATGTCTTTCGATTTTATTCAACATTCGTTAAAACAATATTTTGTTTTTGTACTAAATAAGGGAGATATTCTACTTTGGGTCACCCTGAATGTCTTTTTTTTCTTAGCCACAATATCGAGTTGCGACAAAACCACGCAGGCGTCCAAAATCAAGACGGCGTGGCGCTACGCCAGCACGGGTGAGTATTTTTAGAACCAGAACCGAAGTGATTCGAGGAAATTGAAATTCAACAGACAAAGCGGAACCAAAACCGAGTCAAGAAAATTGTCCATTGAGTACCCAAGGCCATTCCAACGGACGCAGGGGATCCCTTCAGCTGTGGCAGTTTCTGGTAGCGTTGTTGGACGCTCCTGACGCCAGTGCCGGGTGTATCGCTTGGACGGGCAGGGGCATGGAGTTTAAACTAGTCGAGCCAGAAGAAGTAAGTCGTTAGTTATTGCGCTAGACAAACAGATGACATTCTTTCATATTAGCCATTTGAACTCAAGTTCTTTTGACCTTTTTTGCAATCGTTTTTTGACCAGACATGCAAAATTGTTACTCTCTTCCATTAATCTTTTGGTCTCACACTTTGACCTACTCCATCGAGTGTCAGGTGTCCAGTTATCGCTTGGATTCCATAAGTACTTATTTATTTTTTGATGTTTGAAGCCCTCAAGCCCATTATGAACAAAATTTAATTATACGTTCTTGTTGGATTCTTCAAAACATTTCTTCTTCTTCACCGTCTTCTATAAGTGCAGACCTCGTTTCGAAGGTTGGCAATCATCAGAGCAATTCTTATTTTTTCCTTAAGGTTCTTCAGCCATAAGCTTCCTTCTTAGAGATCTCTTTCTTTGGAGTTTTTCCTTCATAATGATTTGTAGCAACAGTATATGTTGGAACCCAAATCTTTGCGCTTCCTTAGGGATCTTAGGCACATCAGCACTAGCGTTAAATCTTATATTAAGAAAACGATTATTATAAACCTGTGGTTGGCAAGGAGAGAGAAATAAATGTCTTTCCTTTAATCAAACACGCAAAATAACGATGTTTCTAAAATCAATGTTTGAAAAAACAGGAAGGCAGGAAGAAAAAATTACATCCATGAAATAATCATTTTAGCCCGGCCCATAGCACTGGTAATATAAATTTACACTTTTTTATTTATCTGTGAATGTATAACAACGTATAATTTTCTATGGGTAGTATCGTGGTAGTGTGGATAGTATCGTTTTTGTGTCAATTTAGGTTATGTTTAGGTTAGGTTATTTTATTAATGATTTGTGTGATCTCTGTCCATGTGGTCATGATGCTCCTAATTTTTTATTTTAAGGTAGCGAGGAGGTGGGGCGCGCAGAAGAATCGGCCAGCGATGAACTACGACAAACTCAGCAGATCTCTGCGTTATTACTACGAAAAAGGAATTATGCAGAAAGTCGCTGGTATTTTTTTGTATTCTTTATCATTGATTTAATTTTTTATTGTAAATTCTAATATATGTTCAGGCAACGTCTTGTGGGTAAAAATTAAAAGTATAAAAATTAACATTAACATTAAAGATCTAAAGGCAGCATAAAGACAATATATATATATTCCTTCATTTTTTTTAGCGCCTTGACAGGAACTTTGAAATATAATTAACTCTCAATGAATATAAAATGTGACCCACCAACTTGTATGACTGAAATATATAACTTCAAATAGCCACAATATGGAGATATTTATGCTATTATATATTATAATTTAATTACATTTTATATTACCATAGTTTTGGAATTTTGGCGACCTACATAAAGTGAATTAATAATTTTGGTATTTTTTCTGTTTGTTTAGGTGAAAGGTACGTTTACAAATTCGTATGCGAACCCGACGTCTTGTTCGGCATGGCCTACGGCCACCATCAGATGGATCCCGCTAAAAGTCCGTTGGCCAGCAGGTCGGACAACTTGCCCGGCAAGCTGGAGTCGACCCACAACTTGGCCTACACGGACATGTTCAGTTTTTACAATTGCGGCATCGCGCACTCTTACCAGCACTTACATCCTTATCTTCAGGACCCCAAACCGACGCGGTATCCCTAGTTTTTCCCCCGATCCCGTCGATATTGAGGACTTTTCGACCGTCTGCGACACATTAACGTTACATATCATTAGTCATTAGAAGATCTCGCATTTTTTTTCTAACATTTAAGAAACTTTGTTTCACGTAAATACAGGGTGCTCCAGAAAACATGAGGTAAGGCTTCAAGATGTGATTTTTTTTTAATCTGCTTTTTTGCAATAAGCTAAACAATTTTTGCATAATTTTTTGATCTTCTCCTTCCAGTGCGTATCCACTAATGGATGTTTCTCTATTGCTTGCGGTCCACTATCTAATATTACGTAGCCAAGACATTTTTTTCCTTGCGATCTCCGGCCTTCGATCAGCAGATGCAAGAATTTGTACTTCGCGTTTCGCATTATATATCCCTGATGCCGTTTTATTCTTCTTACTCAATTCAAACAGTTTGTTAGTTTATCCGTTCAACGGGTTGTGCGATGCAGTCACATCTCGAAGGCCTCCAATTTATTGATTGTATTCGCCTTTAGTGTTCAACCTTCTCAACCGTAAAGAAGCACGGACCGAACGTAGCATTTAACGAATCTGAGTCTTAGGTTAAGGTCAAGATCGGAACAGGTAAGCACCTTTCGAAACCTCCAGAATGCCAGTCGAGCCTGTTCAATGCGACTTTTTATTTCCTTGTCTGATGTCCATTCTTCGCAAACCCAAATCCCCACGTACTTAAACTTATCTACTCTTTCTACGGGCTTTGCGTTAAATGCTTTGGTGCAGTTTTCAAACATATTTAGGTTTCTAGGGATAATCATAAACTTTGTTTTTTTGGTGTTGATATTCGGGCCCATTGATTTGCTAGTTGACTAGGTGTTGTAGGTCGTGTATGTTATCAGCAATTAAGACCGTATCGTCAGCATAGCGGATATTGTTGATCCACCCTCCATTAATTTTGACTCCCATCTCCGCCTCTTAGAAAGCTTCCTAAAAACTCGCCTCCAAATGCAAGTTGAACAGGAGCGCTGACAGCACACATCACTGCCGTACTCCCCTTCTAATCTGTATGGTTTTGGACATATTGTTGCCTAGTTTAATTATATAGAATGATAAAGTGCTAATTTTAGTATTGTCAACGAAATGTAAGCCATTGACTTTTTTTGCAATTTTTGTTAATTACTCTCAAAGTACAACTTTTTAATAATAAAATTCATGTAAATTGCCAAAGCGTACGTTTATGAACACTTATTTTTCGGAACCTTTGGTAAATTAAGTTTTAAAAAATGAAAAAAATATCGCCCAGCCTAATATTTACGAGGGCAGCGCCAAAATTTCCCGGCCTGAATATGAAAGAAACAAAGTAGAGTAACAATTTTTTATTATTTTTCAATATAATCCTCCTTAACTTCAATACACTTATTATATATCTTTATTAACAACTCAATCCCTTTAAAAAAATATTCTTTTGGTTTGTCTGCAAAATGAGCTAAAACAGCCTCTTTTAACTCAACTTCGCAGTTAAACCGCCGTAAACGTAAGTCCTTTTTCAAATATTCAAACAAATAATAGTCGGTGGGGGCCATATCTGGACTATAGGGTGGATGATCTATCTGTTGGAACCCACACTCTAAAATGGCAGCTTGTGCAAAACCAGCAGTATGGAGAGGTGCATTATCGTGCAAAAGACGCACGCCTCTGGTGAGTTTTCCTCGACGTTTTACACGTATGCAGTCTCGCAATTTATGTAATAACGTTGCGTAATATTTACCATTGACAGTGGTATTAGTTTCTTTAAAATCTTTCAAAAGAATTCCTTCACAATCCCAAAAGATCGTGGCCATCACCTTTTTTGTTGAACGGCAGAACTTTTCCACAGAGTTCCAAACAAGAGCGCGCACACTCGACACGGCGTTGTTTTTGAATAGCCGAAAGGTTTTTAGGAACCCATCTTGCACTAACCTCATGCATACCTCAATGATCATGCAGGATTCGACGAACACTTGTATCAGAAAGTCTAGTAATTTCTGAGATGTCCTTGACCTTTAAATGTCAATCACTCAATACCACCTCTTCCACAATCGCAACAATATCTTCCGTTATGACCTCCACTGGTCGACCAGTTCTTGAATCATCTTCAATCATTCGAAAACGTTTTGCCCATTCTTTCGCTACAGAATACGAAGGAGAACTTTGGCCTTACACACCATCCAGCCTTTTTTAATAATCTTAGGTGCTAACCCTTCTTTTGTTAAAAACTTTATGGCTGCTCTATACTCAATTTGCGTTATATGCGACATTTTTTCGGACACGTTTTGTTTAAAATTCTGTCAATAAAAAACTATTTGACGCAAGACTTCAATTCTTCTTTCGCAGTCTACTAAGATACATATTTAAAAAAGACAAAGTTTAATCGTGATACTGGAGCTACATCTATGTCAGGTGAGGAAATTTTGGCGCTAATCTGGTAAGAACGCGTATCTTGAAAAAAAAAGCATTTTCGGATCTGCCCCTGTCTTTCGGAACTCCCTGTGTAAGACAAAAAACATGAACTGAGGTTAGCTTATTGATATGACACTTCGTCCTCATCTTGAAAACTGATAATGTATTCTAGAAACGTCCTGTATATACCATAAATATAATATAATTCTCTTTTCCTTCTAGTCATCAGTCACTAGAATCCCCACAATCGCTATCTCTGGTATGGTTTAAATTAGTCATTTATAATAGGTGAAGCGCAAAATGTCTTCGTTATACCAGTGACTAGGTTAATATCTGTATCTGTGTATTACTTTTTCCTAACGGCACAATTTAATTGTCAATATTTCGATCTCTCAGCTAAAATAATATTTTAAGTTTTGTAAAAAGGTGTAAATATAGCAATAACCGTTTGAAAACGATTCTAATGTGACGCACCATTCATCTAGCCACCAATATTGCACTTATTTTAATAACAAATACGCAATAAATATTGGGTAGATATACAATATAGCCTTTCATTATTCCACTTATTCCTTATGGAAGTGCATATATGAATATATAAAAATACAAAATTAAGTTTTGTTTCATATTAAAAATTAAAAAATTAATTTGTTTTTGTTTGTTCTCTAAATCGGAATATGGTTAGGAGAAAATATGTTGGAACTACTTTGCAGAGAATTTTTTTCTCTGCCTATTAATGGCCAGATGGTTACGTAATTTTATTGGAGCGGTACCACAGGTCTGACGTCCGTGCTAATTGACTACAGCGTCATTGTAAATAGGACATATTAAACCTTTATATCATTAAAGCATCTTTAAGAATGATGCATGGCGTAGACACAATCTTAAACATACAGTATGGCATAGTAAAAAAAAGAAAAAAGAATTGAAAGTTAAAATTCTTTAAAAAAATCCACTTACAATCAAGACAAAACCATCTGTAACGATACTAGTAATTTTAGTCATTAAAGGTGTCATTCAAGTAACTCATTTATTATCATTGCCGAATTAATTTGTCATTATTGCAAATAGTTTTCAATTTATTATACAGTCCACCTAAAAGAATTAACCAAATATACCGTAAAATTGAAGAAATCGACATATAATATCATTACATGAGGAAAAAAAGGAAGGAAGTCGAATAAAGCTATTATCTGACATTTCTAAATACAGTTTAGAACTTGATTCACTAAAACTTTTATTTAGAAAACACAATTCCATAATTTCGCTTATTCTTCGAAAAAACCATTTGATGAGTAAATAAAAGTACAGTCCCTGGTAAGTTAAATTATAATGGCGGTCTAATGAAATTAATCAAGTTATGGAAACATAAAGTTCTTATTATGTCAAAAATTATTATTTTTGTTATTACAGTCATAGGTATAGTGATAAATATGGATGCAAATATAATACAAAATATCACAGCAAAACATATGGACTTATAAAATTTTAACAATGATTTAGTTTAGGAATTTATAATAAATTTATATGCACAAAATACCTTATTTTGTTTGTATTTCTTTTACTGTTAGGACAAATAAGTTAGTGAGAGAACTTTCATACAGCTATAAAATTTATTTTAATTGCAAATCACAACAAATTTAAATTATTTAAGAATCCTTAAGATTTAGGTATCAAAAATCACATGAAAAAGTGCACTCATTCTGTCGGTAGAATCCGAAAATGCTATAACGTAAAGGAGGTGCCATTAAGAAATACAACTTTGGTCGTTTTAGCCCTTCTGGGACAAATTGTACCGTGCGTTCAATTTGTCTTGATAACATTTTAAAGAGTGCCCCCACTGACAAATAAAAATATGTTTATGTTTGACATATTAGTAGATAAACAACAAATGGTTTTTCGTGAATTTAACATCCGTGAAAGGAGTGATGTGCTTCAAGTATACTTTTTAAATAATAAAAGTGCAACCGCAGCTCATCGTCAGTATAATAGACTTTATCCACAGCGCCGAGCTCCTTCAAAACAGATATTTCCAAGGCTGGCAAAGAAATTTTCAGAAAACGGTAACGTATCATATGCTAAAAAGGCATGTCGGAATCGTAATGTTTTAAAGGAAGAAAATAAGACAATCATATTAGGATTCTATAAAGTACATCCAGTTTCCTCTATTACTAGAGTTTATGAAGACACAGGTTTTTCCAATTTTCCACTTAGTTTCGTAAAACTCAAAAACTAAATTTTTGTTTGGATTTTTTAAATAGACATAATGAGAATAATTATTTTTTGAAAAACATTAAATGGACTGATGAAAGTTCGTTCACTACAAGATACTACAAAAATACGCGATATTCGTCTTTAAATAATCCTAGATAAAAACACGAAATAAAAACCCAGGGGTACCAATCAATTAATGGTATGGTGTCATAGATGGGCATATTTTGGGTCCGATATTTATAGAACGAGAGTTAACTGGAGATCATTATTTGCAACTCTTAGAGCACCAAATAGAACAATATATAGAAGATTTACCCCTAAATATATAAGCGCTGATTATATGGCCACAAGACGGTGCGCCTCCTCAGAATGTTGTGCAAGTTAAAAATTTTCTTAACATGGAATATCTCAAGGGTTGGATAGGGAACGGCGGAACTATGGATTGGCCAGCCAACAACCCCTGCTTGAATGAATTTTTTCTTTTGGGGACACATAAAATATCAAGTGTGCAGAACTACTTGTAATAATATCGTGGAACTTCGGCAAAGGATTTCAGCAACAATTAATCAGTTAAAAGACAATCCGGAAACGTTACTAAATGCAAGATATCATACAATTAGAGTGTATGAGAAATGTGTTCAGGAAAATAGTGGTCATATATTTAGAATAGTCGAATAATTTTTTACTTTAGTGTGTCACTCTGAATTTATATAAAAATTTCCTATTTTTGCTGATTTGTCAAAACGAGTGGACTAAAGTGTGTTACATCATTGTAATCGGAACAAGATATTCTATTGAACACATATATAATATACAGGAAGTCCCATTTAAAAAATATAATGTAGGCTTATGTCAGAAAATTGATAGTTTTGTTTTATACGTCACTTGGGAAAAAACAAGGCTACTAACCCCACATTTTGTTTTTTTGTTTACCATGATATCTCTAAAAACAAAAAAGTTACAGCCAATTAAAATGTTATCAAGATAAATTGAACGCACGGTACAATATTAAAGGAATTTTAAAAAGTAGCCATAACAGGGCCGCACATGTCCCAAAATTGAAACTTTTCCAAAATCAAAGTAACCCTTTAAAAACAAAAACTCAACTCAAACACCGTGTAAAAAAGATTTTTTTGCGCGCCGAGTATCATCCGCAATTACTAATATGATTATCATGTCACGTCAAGGTGACGAGCGCCGCTGCAACAGATTGCTCACGCAGCCGAGTACACATGTTCTATTATCCACAACAAAGGTTACATGTGCCCACACACACACACGTGAGCTGTTTTTTTTTTTCGGGCAGGTTTTTCAATTCCCGAGTCTCAAATCTCGGGTCCGAGGCGGCGTGGGCCCAGTTCTGGGACGGTGCTATTTCCGTGGGATCAATATAAGGGCGCATGGTGTTTACAAACATAACCAAAAGTGCTGAAGTGTCCGCTGGAAACGCATAAATATTGCACCTTTCGTTTAAAATCAACAAGTCGACAACATGACGAGCTTAGAGCTGGACCTCAATCAATCGCTGGACCTGAGGATAGCCCAGTTCAAAAACGATGCGGATAAGATGCGTGACGTGAACGATTTCCTGGGCGACCTTTTCGATAAGGCCCAGAAGGAAGCGGAAAAACGAAACGGTAGCGCGAAACAAAAGGGCAAACTGGTAGGTATGCTGCGACGCGATGGTACATCGGATTTAATTCAGTTAACTGGGAATTTTTTTTCATTTTTGAATGTCGTCTTGTAGTTCGCTTTTATATACGGTTTTATATATGGCATGCTATTTTCCTAACGATGACATTTATTTACCTAATTGATAAAGTTCAGTTGCCGCGTGGAAATTTCAACTGTATTAAATTTAATTTTAAAAACGATCATATACCAGTGTCAAAGATAAGGATGCTCGACAACACGCACGGGTTAAATTAACAACAACCTTCCTAATTTGGAGATATTCCTTACATTATCAAAAAAAAAAAAAAAAATCGAAAATGTTTATTGAAAAGCAAAAAAGCAAAAGAAAGTTTCTCTCTCAACCTTTTATCGACCTACAAGATGAGGATAACAGATTTTAATTTAAAAATATTTGTCAGGGTTGTCTTTTCATCTCGATAGGTTGTAAAGATAGTAAGGATTCAGGTTTTGAGAAAAAAAGATATAAAAAAATAAACCGTGTAAAATTCTAATGACCATTTTATTGATCTCAAAGCGCTTTTAAAAATAATCCAAATATTTTGTTCAGAGTTAACCGATTTAAGATTTAACATCTCTATATCTTTCATATTTTATAATGTACGTACGCTGAATTGACATCTTTCCCAATATATGGAATATATTAATGTATGAATTGGTAATAATTATAACGAATGTTGAAAGTTGAAATTTCTATCTCGCATGGGAGATTTCCCCGCTCTATACACAAGCCCCCCTTCAATTACGATCAATATTAAGCCAGTTTCGTATTATTTGCAGGATGCTTTAGGATTACAAAGTAAGTTGTGATTGTCACATATCGTATTACTAGGTTTGCTTGCTAGTTGAATATGTATATACTTGATTAAGCTATTTGCACGAATTTTGGTTTTTAACGCGTCACAGTAGTAGCGTGGCTTTAAATATAACGAACTTTGTTCAGTTGGTAATAATAATATTGACTGCCCTGACCACTTGCAACAAAAAATGTTGACTTTAAATAAAACACTTTACGGTGGGTAAAGTTTATATATATTTTTTAATACACTAAACCACATTTGTTTATTCAAATTGGTTAAAAACATCTATCGCTAAATTATATGATGACAGGGAAAGGAAATCAAACGTATTAAAGGTAGCAATAATGACATCATCAGGGACCAAACAACCCTTAGATGTCGGATCAGACGGGTGCTTAAGCTTAGCACATACATGCATAGAAAAAAACGTGTTGCCTAGGTTTCAGTTAAGCACCTAAAGAAAACAAAGACATGTTTTCTAAATTGGAATGAGACTAATCAGAAAGCCACCTAACCATGTTATGTTAAGTTTAATGTTATGTATAAGGCACCACTGACAAGTCCGCACTACTAGACCATTCTCTCGGTGGTCGTTAGTATTCTGTGGTGATCGTAAAAAAAAAAATCGTTTTTCTTCCATACCCAAAACAAACAATATGCGACATTAATATTAATGTGATATAAAAACCATACAGCTATTAGACAATATAGAGGTCGTAGTTACCGTAAATTTATGTCATACACTGTAACCTGCATTTTGTGCTATTTTCTTTCAAAACAGCGATGTCCACGCGAGTAACTCGTTTTTTTCACTTAAAATTTAATGAGATCTGGGACATTTTGACCAAATACTGCTGAAAAAAAAACAGCCAAACTGAATACTGTCGAATTCACGAACTGCGTGCTCTCATTGGTTAAAAAAAAATATAAAATACCTTTGGCCTGCGTATAGTTACGCTAGAAACCTTTGAAAATTCATTCATGTTCTCATTATTTCATTACAAATGTAAAGAAACATTTATAAACACTTATGTGAATTTTAAGGCGGAAATCTTCAGTGATTTTTCTATGTGTAACTATTTTTCCCGCAGATGGAACAAAAAAAATCGAAGCCTGGTCGAACCGCGCTAGAACGTCTGCAAGAACTTTTGCATCCAGAATTTTTACCACAATTTGCAATTGTACCAATACAGTGCGGAGTACTCTTATTACTCGCAACAATAGTCATTAGGAAGTACCTGAAGGGAACCAGCAATACATAGTATGTTTTAATCGGTGTTAAAAGATGTTTCTATCCGTATAACGCTCTAAAGACCAATAATTGTCCCGGAGATATACGTAACGTTGATGTGTGGAATTATACTTATTCCATTGTTGTTATAACATCGTCTCGAGTTATCGCGAAACAGGGTGAATAATTCAAAAAATGCAATAACGTCAAATCGAATTTTATGTTAATAATAAAATTTCGATTTTATGATACGTTTTAGTAAGGGATTCAAGCAGTATTTTCGAGATTTCTTCCATAACATTCAGAGACGAGTGTTTCGTGTATCTATGTGAAATATTTTTAAACAGAGTTTGTTAATTTTAATGTATATTGTGTTTAAGTTTATTTTTATTTTATACTGCAGGATTTTTTACCTCGACAATCAAAATTGAATCATTCTACACTCACATATAATTCCTAATTACTTCTATTAAAAGACTTATACTTTAAGAACTAGTGAAAAGATTATCACTATGCACACTAATAAGAGTTGACAGTAATTTTATATGTAAATTTATAAAAACAAAATTATTTTCACTACATGTTTCATTACATTCTTCATTTTGAACCTGTACAACTCATCTTCCAACCATAAAATATTTAGATACTGGCAAATAACTTTCCATTGTCTTTAATTGCGTGTCTATATTCTTCCACCAATATTTTACTGGAAAATGTTACTCATACTGAAACTTTATGAACAGCAAAAAATTAATAAAAACATATTTTTGTGTTTTTGATTTTTTTACCACTTACCTATTATTTCAACACTTATATTCAATGTATCCAGCTAAGGAAAATAAAGGATGGTTATTAATAGGTGGTCATTTAATAAATAAATGATTTATGTTTTAACTATATTTGTATTCCATGCATTTGAAAACATTGTAATAACATTTAACTGATAAATTTTTATAAAACACACTTTTTGTAGAGTATGGTGGATACAAAATGTATTTTTTTGAGATCTCCCATTTAATATTTGCTATAGTATTTATTCCAACTACCACCATAAACCATTTTGTACCAGTCACATCAGCAGAAAAATCCTGTTTGCATTCTAGTATAGTATTACCATATTCTTTCCACAATTTACAAACAAAAAATATCAATGGCTCATCCTCAAATTGCACAAGATGATCCTCTAAATCATTATCCTTTTCATGAAGCCATATTGAAATTCGTGCCTTCTGATGTTTCAGTACTTTTTGCATTTGGTATGCTAAACTTTCCTTCTTGAATTTTCGTTTTTTTCTTGGAGGTTTTTGGTGCAACGAACTTGAGCCACAATCAAGTGCAACAACTTCAGAACCCAACTGGCTAGGAAATGGTTCAATGCATTTACTGGCTTGACTGAACAAATCTAATGTAGGAGACGCACATTCAACTTCTGAGTATTTAAATAAATCTGGAGAAAAAATCTCAGCCCTTGCCTTTGTGATTTCAACTAAATGTTTTTTCCTTGTCTTAAATATTTTACGTCGTTTTTTTATCACAGGGGATAGTGGTGTGGGAAATGTAAATGGTTTGCATTGAGATATTTCTGGCGACAACTCCGACAACTCCACACTGTTTCCGCCAATAATTGGGGAATTTATTAAACTATTTTCTAAAGTTAATCTGCTCCCGTCAGATATTAAAGCGTCCTCTAAATTTGAATAGGAGTTTGTTATGGCATTACTGGAATCATTCTCTGAATCTGATGAGCAACACGTAATCTCGACATACTGAGAATTGGGCCCAATTGAAGAATTATAGTGCCAAACAGATATCCAGTGTTTTTTAGTCATTACATTAAATTACAAATAAAAGTAATATTAAAAACACACAGCTGAGAATGTTTACACATAACCTACAGACCTAACCTCACAAATTATTCTTCTTCTTCTTCTAGCTTGTGGGCAAATTTCAAGAAAATTGCAAGATGTATTGTTCCTTGAAACAAAAATTAAATTATCTTCCATAATTAACAAAACCCTTTTTCTCACTGATATTTATTAAACTTATTTCTTTCTACTACATTTTAGTAATGAAATTGACTTGGCATTGTTTTAACAAAAGGTCCATTATAGGTTAGGGATACAACTTCAGTAGTGCTTATTTTTTTTGGTCCAATTGTTTTTACAGGTGGTGGTCTACGTAGTTTGCGACCATGCTTACCGGTCTTTCTTTGCCACCATCCTGATCGGGGGCGATTTCCCAATTCTCGATTTTTTTGTGCTGATCCAATTGGGGTACTGTCATGCTCCACGTTACTTAATCTTCCAACTGTACACATACATGTTTCTGGTAAACTGAATTCTCTCTTACTAGGAACACTGATTACAACATGATTATTTGACTCTTTACGTACAATTGTTGCATATCCTCCTGCCGCATGGACTAGGAAGCCCCCTAAACCTGGATATTTCTCAACGCAATTAATTTTTGTTCCTGTGGGAAGAGCACCTAATGGATAAGCATCTCCCTCATTCGCCTTCACTAAAAGTGTTTGGAATTAAATTAGTTGTATGAGATAATTAAGGCAATTTACCTGGTATTCTAGGTATATGACAAGACGTCTTAATAATATCGCCAGCTTTCATATTCTCAGTGGCTAGAATATATTTTAATTTGTCCTGATAAGCAACCAGTGCAATGAATGCTGTTCGACAACCATCCTTTATAATTTTAATCACTTTTTCTTCTTGTGGGGGACCTTCCTTTGGACCTACCCTTTTCCAGTCAATCCAATGATATTTATGCTTGATACCACCCCCAATGCCGTTACAAACAACTCTACCCGTGTTGGGATCCCTGCCTGCTAAATTTGTCACCTTCAATGGCTCAACAGTGTACTTTTCAGGAAAATGCACTTTTCTTCTAAATGCTATTCCGTGACCTGTTACGGGTTTTTCTACGAATTTTGTCTTAGACCGCACGTTTGTCTTTTGTAAACTAACAACTTCCAGAATCGATAAACGTGTAAGTGCTTTAATAAGACTCGACATTTCTAACCAAAATATATTGGAAAAAAAAATTATTTTTGGAGGTTATTTGATTAGTTGGGAAGCTTGGGGCACAGAAAAATAACGCCCTATTATCCAATTACTGAACAAATTTAGTATTAAAGATTCGTGTTAAATTTAAACCACAAAACTTTTTCGTATGCAGTAAACATAAAGTAATGTATTTTAACCAAATTATATTCCATGATCTGACCACAGAAGTAACCACAAAGCAATAATTTATCTAAGCAACCAATAACTAAACCAGGTAATACGTAGAGGCAGCAAAGTTGCTACATTATTTTTGAGGCGGTTTTTTACTCTTGCTTTTTTTAATGTTTAATAGTTATGTAGGTTTCAATTTTTACACAAATGCGTTTATAAAATGGAGTTCAACATAGATGTTAGAAAAAAACAACTGCAAAGCCTCAGTCAATATATTAAATCTTCAAAGGATAATGTGGAAGCAATTTTGCAGTCTCTTGGGTGGAATGCTAAGAATACTGTCGAGGTATTAAAAAGAAACAACAGGTCCGTAAAATACCTAATTAATGTATATATTGTTGTAGAATGAAGACCCAAAGATAAACTGCCTCATAAATCCCAATCATTTGCTATCATTTGCAACCAGTGCTGAGCACATTGGACTGTGCCAAATACGCTCATATGGATATGATATTAACGGAGATTTCTTGTCGGATACTCCAAGTCCTACTACTTCCACAATAAAACTAGATAATAAAACTAAAATAGAAGTGTTGAGCACGGCAAGGTTTAGCAATTCTACATTTAGAGCAGGTAGGTAGAAGAAACATTGAGAATAGTAATTTTGTATTTCAGTCAACTGATATTTTTGGCTGAGATTTAATGCAAATTTGTTTATTTCAGAAATTTGCTATGGTCTTGACAACCAACTGTTTAAACTCTGTAATCATTTAATATCCTTTTTTTGTATATCCTTTTTCATATTAAGGTACGCATGCAAATTACTTAGCTAACTTTTGAGAACTGCATAAAACTCAAATTTTTAAATATTCAGATAGACAAAATTAATTTTATGTATAAAGAATAAAGCCCAGTTTTTTTTGCTGGACAATAAAATGTAGCTTCAAAAATCTCGGCATGGGTACTAAGGCCAGAAAAAATTTCAAAAGAAAAAAATGTCTATTTTTTTCTGACTAAACTTTTTTTGGTAGCTTGGAATGGTCACGATCCTGATCCAATGACGTCAGATCGGCTACACTCTACATTTTCAGCAGACGAAAGACTGGCTCTGTATGACTATTGCGTCAAAAATACTGAACCACCCCCCGAACCGGAAGAGTTTACCTTGTAAGTATGATAATGATAAACTTATTTACTAATATCATAAAAGGTTTTACAATTAAGACAATTAGAAAAATTGCAGCAAAACAAAAATTTCAACCTATTGATCAGTGCCTTGAAATTTTGAAATAAAGGGTTTATACTTGGTGGCATAATAGTGACATAAAGTATTGATTGATTTTTGATCTACTTGTACATTTTGCAAATTTTGACCAATTTAAATGTGATTAGGATAGGATAGTATTTGTTTGTATTTGGAAACAGCGATTAAGCTTTACTTTTATCATTTATAACTCATTTCTCTCTATAAATAACACTAAGGAATAAGGCAAAAGTACCATTTATTTACTATTTTATGAGGTCAATATGACTTGTCTCTTTCATAATGTCCTTTTTCATTTGAATAAAAATATGTTCAGATTTTATTATTTTCCTCGCATATATATAAACAATACATATTCAGGTCCGTCAACAATGAAAAAGAGGGCGACAAAGAATTGTCCTTCGAGCAGCAGCTAATCAAAGAGAGAGACGCGAAACGACGTAGAATAAAATACAAATCGGTGCACACGAGTCGCAAAAGTCAAGTCGAAATTACGCGGGAGGTAATCGACAACCAAATGGACTTGTACCATCAATGGTTGAGGCAAAAGAAAGACACAGAGGACGTCTTGCAACATGCGACCGATCAGATCAATCGTTTGGAAGATTACAGTACAAATGTCGCCAGCCAAAACAGCGTTTCCTATCCTAACGGAGATGGCGTCCATAAAGAAAGACCATCGTCGCGTCTCAGTAGCAGACACAGTACCCATTCCGGTAGTTCAAGGAAAAATAGACCTCGTGACGAACGAGGTCATAGGGCGAACGGGCGTCATTGTAGCCGCGAACGGAGGGAATCTCGAGACCGGAGATCGCGTCGTCGAAGTAGGAGTCGCGAGAGAAGACGACACGACAAGGAACGTCCCCGTCGTAGCCCGAGAGACGAGCGTAGCAGGGGTAGAGATAGACGTTAGCGCGTTGCGACGCGCCTAATTGAGGTTTCAGATATTTCTATTTTCGCATTATTCGATTAAAAGTGTTTTTATTTGCTGTTGTTTTATTTTCACGACTATCTCAAAAAAACACGCATTTCTATTGTAATAAAAAAATTAAGGCAGTGTCATAACTAGTAAATGGCAAATATAAAAGTTTCTACCCAAAATCCAATTATTTTCAACGTAAGCCTATTATTTTTATACGCTGCACTTTACCCAATTTCACGATGTCACAGACTAACTCCGTTTTAACTGAAAACAACGTCAAACGGGGATACTTTCAAAAAAGGACAAACCAAAGTTAAAAGGGTGGAACAGGCTATTTAAAGATATCAGTGACCATCGGAATAATACTAATTTATTAATTCATTCGGTGACTATATTGAACGCATAGAATGAAACAGATACCATTGTCCTGTCCTATGATATATATATAAAGAAGAAGAGCCAATTGTGCCCACTTGCGATCCTGCTGCTAACTTCTCACTATGTGTTTCTCGTGCGTACGGTCCATGTGTCTTTCACGGGTAAATAAAATTGATCACAAAAACAAATTAAAAGTGGGTCGAAAACATCGATTGCTATCATGAGTTTCCGAAAGATCCCACTCAGTCTTGAAAGAACCGATCAATAAATTGGAGAAATTGCTCAGCAGAAAAAGAAAATGAAGCCCTCCCTCAACCTCTTTAGAATCAAACGACAATTATAACGCCGAGCAGCTTGGAAAAGTTAAACAGAACATACCTAAGGTCAATAGACAAGGTTTGCCAAAAAATTCCACCAAAGAGCCCAACGGTCATCAGGAGGGGCCAATACGCCACCCGCCCAGAGTAAGCTAAATATTGCTGAAGAATCCCAAAATCCAAGGGTCCAATAGGACCTCTGAAAAACACTCCAATAAAAACTCGCAAAATGGGTCCAATTGAACTTTAAAACACGGGCCTGATAGGGCCCAAATTCCTATACAGGAAACTTTAGATGAACTAGATTCTATTTTACTAGAGAGCATCCTAGATCAAGAAATATTAGTGGAATTTGTAATAAATAACAAGTTAAACTTTTTACAAAACTTCTGGTTTCCTCCTGCATCAATTTTTGCTAAGTCAATCTTGGTGACATTTTGCCAATAATCCTGTTTGCTTCTTCAGAGCTTCAGTGTTTTGTAAAACTATTATAGTAGCCTGTGGAAGTTTCTTTGGAAAAAAAAAAAGTTATACCTAAAAAATTACAGATCATTTTGGGCCTACCAGAAATTGATCTTTTTGCATCCTACATAAATAACAAATATAGCATTTGCACTTTTTTGTTTGGTTCTAAGAGTACTTAATAAAGTTAGAAACCAGTTGAAAAATTTTCTTTAGTACATCCTTTAATTGAATTGTTAGAGGCGTAGTGCCTATAATTTTGTGAATTAGTGCTTTTTTTGTGAGGATGTCTATCGATTTGTATGGTGTATTGCTCGGTTTCCGGATGTCATATTCACGCAAGTATCCAGACCAGATGGGATCAGATATCCTGTATATGATAATTGCTGGAGCCGTTAGATGAATTTATCCCAATGTTATGTTAACAAACCTGGAGGATGGTGGAATAGTCCAGACCCTTTCTCTAAGAACCCATCCTTTAGGAATTTTGCATTACTTTCAAACATTTGTAAGCTGGCCAAATTGCCTGGGTTGTGGGGCCAAATAAACAAGTAAATAAAAACCACAAATACTCAGATCCCTGAAAAGCGCCCAGAACGCTGGGGGCAGTAGCACTGCACCCCCCCCCACCCGGCCCCAAATGTAAGATTTGAGGTTAGACTCGTCTGCATCCCCAAATTCGTCTACTCGGAAGCCATTAAAATTTTTTTTATTGATTTATTTAAAATAATCTTCTGTTTTAAATGGCTTTTCGTATGTGCCCTGCTTTCTCTCCATGGTCTTTTTCTAAAAATCGATATCTGTTAGGCAAAAAAAAGCAAGCCCATCACTCGCGCTTACGAAAAATGGCGTAAAAATGCCTGTCACTTTGCTGGCGGTGTCTGCAATTCCCATCGCTGCCTCCTTTTTCTCGATTTCTGTCTCGAGCCCCGCAAAATTGGTCTTGACGTGACCCACTAGCCTTTCGATAGTGTCGATCTTGGCACACAACTCGTCGAATTCCGGTTTGTAACTTAAAATTTTAATCAAAACATCTCGGGACTCTTTCGCATCGGCCTGTACGAAAGTCAGCATCGTTTCAAACTCTTCGAGCCGCGCCTGCAGGTCGTCCACAGTCTTGTGCAGCGGCAACAGCTGAGAAATGGCGGCCGCTTCGAGTAAAAGTATTACGCGCATTCTTTCGACTCACTTTGGCTGCGAAACCATCCCCGTCCACATACTTACTATAGTCCTGCACAGTTTGTTGCAACATAACAATAAACGGGCTCATTCGTCCATTTGCAAAATGTAGAGGTTATGTTTTGGTATTTGATGAGAATCAATCGGTGATGGTAATAATGTACGTGGGTTTTTAAATGTAGGCATACATTAGGGGATGGAATTAAATCTATCCAACTGCCATTATAAAACGCAAAGGCTATTTTTCAGGGAGATATTTTTTAACAAAAGGGCATAAGGTGGTCACGTGATTCGAAGCTCCAATGGCGAAGATGAAGCGTCTCACCGGCAGATGAACTTGGTTCCCGAATTTTTGCGGAAGTTTACTTCATAGACATGTTTAATTTACGTTATTAAATTTATGAGGTTAATGTTGGCTGGTTTTGGTTAGTTTAGTTTTGATGGACCTACTAAAGACAGATTAGGTACTGATTACACTTTTGACGCCAAGTTTACCAGCTGGTTAGATGTGTTCGTTGGGGAAGATGGTTCTGCCGCTTTTAAATAAGATTCACTACCCATAAAATTAAGCGTTTCTCTAGTTGAGTTCTCCAAAATATATACCGTTTTTACAACGTCCTGTTATAAAGCCGGAAAGGATCATTCTTTTCAGCATGTGCACCACAAACCAAGGCCGATGTAGCTGACAAGAACTGTGCCGTGCGGACTGTTGTATTTTAAGAGTGGGATTTAAAAGTAAGAATGGATTTTTCACTGCATGTACTAATAATAATTGAGGAATCTCACCGATGAAACTCTACACCAATCCATCAGCTTTCAGCATTTATATGTAGCGAGGTAGGCCTGCGGTTAGACCTTCATAAAAATTTAAAAAAGTTAAATACCGGATTAGGTCGTAAAAACGGAGAACTCTAGCTAGAGGGACAATGTTGTAGAATACAACAACTATTGAACAGCCATATTGTTTAATAAAAAGTAAAGGTGCGAATTTTAATTGCATTAAGTTGTTTAAAAATTTTTCGAAATGCGAAAGTATTTTTTTTAATGAAAAAAAGAATAGAAAAAGTAGAAACTAAGTGAAACCGTGAACATGAAAAAAATTTGTAAATATCTGTTTTGGTGCTTCCATTTTGACTGCTATTTATTTTTTAAACATTTATACACCTATATAAGTATATGCACATTTTCTAACATTAAAAATAGTATTTAAATGGACGAATAATTAGTTCTCTTGATTTGATATTATGTTATAGCGAAAGGCCGTTAAACATTTAAATTAACGTGGAATTTATAAATCAATTACATTTAATTTTCAAGATTATCAAGATTATTATTGAACTCAGTGACTGAACGAATCCATTTTCAAGTACACGTTACTGCAACTGTTGTCCCTATTCTTCAGAATCAAAGGATGTTCCGCATAGTAATCAACCAACTCCTCCAACGTATTAAATTTGGGAGCGTTTAGGGTCGACGATTTACAAATGAATCTATTCTCTTCCAGCTGTATCCCGACGTTGTAACATTTTTTATTGTGGATTACCGTCAATCCCAACGTGTAAGTGTTGCTAGGTCTAAACAGGAAAGCCCCATCCTCAAGTCTTTGCAAAATTCGTTTCGCTCCATTTCTGTCGATGTCCCGATAACAGGGGTGGCGCGTCACATCATCTAAAATAAAAAATTAATGAACACCCCTTACGTATATACCCTGTGTATGCAACAGCTATTTTTGCGATAAAGTCTACATTTATTGCGTTGTAAGTTATAATGACAAACCACTAAATCTGCACTTACTCCCCTACGTGACGTATCACGCATGCGATTTACGAACAAACTATACTTACAACTAGCCGCCTCGGTGTACTCCCCGTCGTCTGAATCGGAAAATTCACTATCTGGATCGAGTCCCGAAGCATCGTTGACGGTAAACTTTTTTTCAAAAGCTGGAGGTTTGGGTAACGAGAAAACGCTTGAAAATCGAAACACTTTCCCGCCACAGCTGTCCCGCTCAAACATAAGCCCATTTCCCGCGGATTTTGCCGACGGTAGCGGCGGCAGGGGTCTGCTTTTTATGGGCGGGCGTTCATTCTTTACTCGAACCGGTTCAGAATTTTGAACAGATAGGTTATCGTAGTGAAGTCTCGCATCTTCAAAATTATCATCCACTATTTGAGGATCGGCCTCGTAAATGTCGTCGCTGTCTTGAAAAGGGGCTTTAAACGAAGGCTGTACGACGGGCAAATTTGGAGGAGGCGCCGGTAGCGACCTCTCTTTATTTAAACCTACTTGGTATTTTTGCAAAAATGTGATGGTTGCGGCAGTAGTCTCCGCCCGCTGGTTTTCGAGGTTCCTGTCGCGGGGATTGTCGGGAAATGGCAACGAAGGCTTAAATCTTCTCACTTTGTCACTTGGTAGGGGTAAAGGAGGTCTGGGTTTCACCGCCCACTCTGTCGTCTGTACGGGTTTAGATGCTATGTCGTCGGGCTCGATGTAATCGTCTTGTGGCAAGTGGCAAGAACCCAGAGTTTGTTTATTTCGAGGGAAAACTTCTTTATCCACGTTCTTATGGTTCTTGGGAGGCAAATGCGGCTTAACGCAGTCGGGTGGCACTTGGTTGCCGCTGCTCAGCAGCTCTTGGAGCCTTCCTTTAAATTTTATGGTTGCGGAATTCTGATTCCTGGCCGTTGCCGGGAGGTTTTTCAATAACACTTTATTAGGGTTCCGCGATATCTCTTTAATACAATCGAGCATTAATTTTCTTTTGAAAGATGTAACCGACCATTTCAAGAGATCAATTTCTGTTAGGTCCTGGAGGGGAAAATGTTTCCCAGATTATAATTTTGGCGAAATTATTATACATCAACCGCTTACCAGAAAGTTGCTCCCGTCGACATCGAGGCGTTGCAATGTAGTGGCAACTTCGTAGTACCCGTTCTACATGAATGCATTTTACTGCATTTATTTGTCACAGCTAGAGGATATATACTTACCTCCCTTAAAACTTCGATGAGTCTCGCCTTGTCTAATTTTCGAAAATGAAAGAGATCCGCCATTTTCGGCTCTCTATACACGCCGACAAGAATGTTAATGACAATATATAAAACGAAAAATTTTTTATCATCGTTTCCTGTTTTGCGGTTTAAAATGAGAGCATTCCCAATCTGTGACTAATTTTCCTTACACCACACCTGACCGGACGAGTTGCAAAGGAACATTAAAAGTCGACATTCAGATCCGAGACATAAAATTTGAATATTTTTATAAAAATTATTACAGCAATAGCAATAATTTTTCGAAGAAACTTCTACACGCTACTGTAATACTATCAATATATCAACAACCGATACAGGAGGAATCCAGAAAATTTGTAAAATAATAATGACAATAATTAATGAAGATTGTGGCCTGAATTAATTTAACTTCACGTTTATATATCGTGTTGCAATCCTGAATAATTAATTGTCACCTGTAATAAAAATCTTATAAAAATCTGAGAAATTTGGGAAAAACAATAGTATTTATTACGTCACTATCAAGCATCTTAGGCGTCGTCAAAAGTTCACCCAAACACAAATCAGGGGTAACATAACCGACCAAAACTATTCAAAGCCTGATGTTTATTAGTCAGCTGATTTGCGTCACGCACGTCTCTTTCGAGTGTCATAAAACAAAAAAAAAACCAAATTATTTTCTCCCATGCAATTAGCGATGTCGTTTAAAATGTGTTAATTAATTACCGAAAATATTTAAAATATGAATTTACACCAGATTGTTAGTGGCGCGTGTAACGCGGGCGACAAGTGCTTCGCTGTCGGCTCTGTGGAAGGTGTCCCGTTTACCGTAAGTTTTATTGGACGACATTATGTTTACTTTCCTAATTGGACTTTATTTTAGGCGTATGCCGCTGGCTGCAACATTGTTATTTTGGCCTCTACTTTCGAGCGTGTGCAGATTATACCTGGCGCGGTTCATGATTACATTCGAATCAGCTCTATTGATTGTTCTAGTGATACTGGCAAAATTGCCGCTGCTTACGATAATACCGTGTGCATTTACGAACCTACGCCTTTAATTCATAATAATTCTGTGCATGTAAGTTGATGAAATCATTGCCACCAAGTCTGGCAATTAATTTTAATGTTTCAATAATTCATTTTATGTTATTTCAGAAGAGAGTTAAAAAAAGTTATGGGTGTAAGGTATTGTTAAGTGTTTTCCGATTTAAAAAATATGTTTAGGGTTTGAGTTAACACCTCCTGAAAAATGCATGATGGTGTTGTTATTAAACTTTTCATTTTCATACAGCAACCAAATTTTTCAGCTTGAAAAACATCCAGATTTTTACGATTTTCTCATTCATTAGATTTTTTATTCATTCATCATACTTTTCCACTAATATGGTATCTTAATAATTGAGTTTCTCATAAGAATGGGCGTGACTATTGATATTTCCAGAATCTTTTTGGTGTTTCCTGTACCATTTATACTCTCGGATTTTCTCTCAGGGTCTGGACTACAGGTGGGTCCAAACGGGAACTTTAAAAACCGATTCTCCTATACGCGCCCTCAGCTGGAACCTCGAGGGTACCCGGTTATTAACAGCCGGCGACGATGTCCAACTATGGCACTTAAAGCAGCAAATTATTGAGGAACCTGCTGTAACTTTTACTCTGGGTGGTGGCCCTGAGGGTGAAGATAATCAAGATGATCATGAAAAAGCACAAGGTAGAAATCATTATGCAAATACTCCTTTAAAAAAAAATGTTTTGTGGAATTTCAGACCAAGAGCAGACTTCTTGGAATTGCGTTTGGAAAGCTATCACCGCAATACCAATTCAACATCTGGCGTTTAGCCCAGATGGAACCCTGTTTGCCACTTGCGGCGAAAACGACAGACTAGTAAAAATCTGGTATGAAAACAAACATTGTAAGTCACCATAGAAAAAAAATGGCAAAAGTAAAGAACTTAAAAATTTCAGTTCTTTTTACATCAAAAAGTACTGACGAACCACCCGAGCTTGACTACGGGTTTGTTTATATAGCGCACCCGAGAGCCGTTACACATTTATCATGGCGTACTACAAGCAAATATATGCCTAAGTAAAATTTTCACGAAGGGTGTGCTTTTCGATCGTTACTCAAAAAGTTCGTTTTTCAGAGGATCGGTATCTAATATGTTACTGACATCATGTAAAGACAATATATGTCGTTTGTGGGTGGAGACCGTACTGCCTGAGGACGGTCTAGTTAATTTATCTCAGTTAGATCCGCAAGCTAACCACCCGAAATTTAGAACTCACCGTCACAAGCACAGGTTCATGCAGAGATTGAAACATATGAAGTAAGCTCAATGTTGGTTTATGATGGATTTGGAAAGGCATATGCGCAGTTCTCGTTCTCATTTATTTCTTTCAATACTAACTCTACTTCTGTCTATGCTAGTAGTATTTCAGTATCCTCAAGCAATAAGCGCCAATTATGGTCATTATTTTTATTGCCCAGCTGATAATGGGGTTACGGAACATGTTCTCATTAAATTGTATCCCTAACTCATAATTATCAAAAGCTGTTGATTAAAAATGCTAAATTTGAAGAACTGTCAGTGGTCATGTTGATTGTTAAACTACATTTTTTATGTTATGGGATTGGCACCAAAAATGCTTATAGAGCCAGCAAAGGCAAGGCTTAAATGTATCTAGTAGCTATATGTTATAGCATAAATCGGTCTTAATCACATAGCAAGATGATTTCTTAAATACTTTGTTGAGATTTCTTTCTTACCTCTGTGCCTTATTATAGGCGTATATATGTCATTTGACGAATAACATTTAATGAAGAGTAGTAGGGATGATGAGAATTTAATTTTATCTATAACATTTTATGTATTGAATGTTAATTTTTTTACTGAGAACTGCTCCATATGATTGAAAATTAGTTGTAATACACCTAGTTAGATTACTTTAAATACACCTTACACATTGGTTAATACTGATTTTTCACTAATAGCAAATGGATTTCTGTATTTTTGTATTTTAATATACCAAGGATACTGTGTAAGTGCGGGTAAGTTGGAATGAGCGTCGAATAAAGTATTTGCCGAGTGGGGAGTTGAGAGCCGCGCTTCTTTGCGAATTAATACTTATTTCCGAGCTCACGTTTTTGTGTATATAGCTTTTTTATTATTTGACGCGTTTCTGTGGACAGTTAACATACTAGTTATTACATTTATTGGTGTTTTGTGAACGCTAAAATGACTGGTATCTGCAACGCGGCGTCTCGAGGTACCGTATGTTATTTTTAGAACGTGTTTCCATATAAGGCGGAACGCGAAGCACCACGGCCACGGTATCGGAGGCCCGTCGCCGCCCATTCCTACACTGCCCTCCACCTATAGTGTACACGACTTCCATTCGTACGGTTATCACGGCACAGGTAACTTTAATCGCTTCATTTTGATGGTTTCCCTCAAAAATGATAATGCAGGAGTGACACCCGGGCTCCATTTCCATTTGGCCGCGTCCGTCAACGCGGAGACCGATATTCCCTTGGTGCCGAGCATAAGTTACTGTAATCCGCGTCCAGCTTTCGTATTGCATTGGTTGGATAACAAAGAAATGCACTTCAGTCTACAGGCGGAGTTGTTTTTGGAAGAGTTTGCGCGGTAAATGTGGCCCTCGATGTATATCGCGCCATCCTAAACAATAACTTTGTTTTCTTAGACCTGTAGTAGAAAACCCTGAGTCTGAGGAATTCTCCCTGGAACCGCTCATGGAGTCGGGAGCTCCTGACGGTGTGGACGCCAGAATCGAGAGCTTTCTAAGGGATTGGCACCACAGTCCCGATTTATTGTTTAGTATACATCCGGTTGACGGCAGCTTCTTAATATGGTTCGTTCCATGACGTTGCATAAAAAGGAGATCCGATAATTCGTTCATACCATTCATAAAAGTTCAACATTGCTGGTGTGCAAATCATGATTGGAGAACCATTTTTTTCCCCAGTTTTTTGCAGTCACACTTCAGTAATATAATAAAATAAAAATCGGTTTTTGGGAAGCTACCACACTTTTATTTGAGGATTCGACACGGCTGACAGTCAAGAGAAAAGCGAAATACTTACATGCGTGGCTTCGAAACAAAAATCTTTGATCGCGGCAGTTATGTGCTTTCTATCGGGTCTCCTTCAATAAAAGCTCGTTTATAACGGTGTAAATATCTTCTGCTAACTTATAACGCGTAGGGTGGTCGAATGGTTGGATGAATTTCATCCCGGATCATTTCGGCAAGCTCAGGTATCCTTTTCTACGCGTATCCCCACCGCATTTCCTATCGGTGACTCGATGAGCATGTCTACCACCGTTAGCCTGTATAGCACTACGCCGTTGCTAAAGCATTTGGTCAAAGACGTTATTCAAAGGGAGCAAACCAGCAGAAACTTGGCCAGCGTGCAAGAGGAAGACGAAAACAAGCCCTATTCGGAAGTCTGTTTGCTTTTAATTGCGGGCTTATTAATTTGTTAGTTTTGTTGACGTTTCAGCATCAACACTCCGCTGAGGAGCAAAACGAAACATCTCCGATCGTTTATTTGGTGACAAAACACGATAACGGCACTTTAAATCTGTGGCAGATCACTTTCGGCGATCAAAGTAAATTTGCCCAAGTTTTAAGTATTGGCCACAGAAGCAGAGCGTCCGGGCACAGATTTAGGGTGAACGACATCACTTGTCACCCCGTATTACCGCTGCTTCTCACCACCAGTCACCATAACATTATCGACCAAAACAAATCGCGCAATAGAAACGTAAGTCTGCATCAGGAAAAAGAATACCCAGTCGGTAGTTTAGGAACGTTGTTATTTTATTTTTTATTCGCCCTCTTGGTGTGGTGGTAATGCTTATCTAAAGATAGACGTATCCTGTGTATAGAAAGGAGTCGTTGAAAAGTTTCAAATTTATAGAGCAAGTGAAGGCTCAGTTAATAAACAATTTCATACTTAATGTTAAAAGCAAGATTCTTGTATGGTATTGAGAGGAAAACGTAGTAACATAACCCAGGCGACTCGTTTTTTTTTTTTGAAATTTGGGTCAGAGTCGCCTAAATCTGAAAGAATGAAATACAATACTTATTACGGTTGGAATTTAATAAGGTGGTAATATTGGTGCGTTTTGCAGTGTTAGTGGATAAAATAATAAGCCAGTAATATCTTTGGAGCTATCTTTCTTGATTACTGTAATTGTTGTCACATGACCCTGAGTTTCACTCATTAAATTATATCTTAACAATTCAATAATACTCTGTATGCATTCTACGCTCGTTTCCTTAATTGCGGACATATGGTCACATTGTGGTGGTAAATATTTTTGTAATTTCGTGACAAATCCGTTTTTTTTTTCTTTGCGCACCCTCTGACATATTAAAAACGAATTGTTTTTTCCTATGGACCGCAAAAAGTAAGTTTCCTTCCAGGGTTTTTGTAGTGAACTTATACTGTGGAAAGTTGACGCGGTCGGGCCGCTGTCAAAATCCGGAGGTATATGCGAATTGGCGCGAATCAGCTCGCCCGAACCTTCGGCATTTAGCAACGTCGCGTGGATTCCGACCCTGTTGCCGTCCAGTACGTTGGGCAACCTGTCAAACTCGCCGAGCGCATGCTTCGTGGCGTCGGACGGTCAATGTTTGCGCGTTTATCAAGCCGTGATCGATGCCAGGACCCTCCTGGCTGATCTGGTATCGTACAAAGAAAACAAACAGAATACAGACGACGAAACGGTGTCGGATATGTCATCGTTGAACGAGGAAACCCTGCTGGAAAATATAAACATAGTTTCCCAGCAGAGCACCTCCCGTCCAGGATGCATTATTCAATTGGAAACGATCGCCGAAGCCATCCAATGGCAAAACACCACCTTCTTGCACGTTTATCAAGAACAATTGATTACGGGTAAAAGGAGCGCTACGGCTAACGTGGTCAACCAAGACGCGATGGTCGATCTTCAGTTATCTTCGGTGTTCGAAGAGCCTTTCTTTATCGTCCTTCTCGACTGTACCGACCAAAACACGATCATACACATGTGGAAATTGACGATCGCTTCGACGGATAACGAGTGCTCGTTGACGGCTAGTCAGATGTATGTGCCTGATTGCAATCTCGTGCAAGACGAAAACGACTTCTCAAGGAGGAATAGTATGGAGTCGTTGCATTTGAGGCAGGGTAAAGTTAGTCCCCATATTAATCTGACCGTGACCAGAGAGATTAAGCAAATCCTACCGTTGCCTGACGGGGTAGAGATCGTTCACGCGACACCGGCAGCAGGCCATCTAAGCTCCGCCTCTATTTATCCCGCTTGCTTGGCGCCATATTGTTTCGCGACCGCTTGCAGCGACGGTATCATCAGGTTTTGGATGGTATCGAGTAATCCGAACCACTTGAAGGAGTTCTCCGGGTTAATGCTCGAGGAGAACGACGTCGTGATTAATTCCGGCAAAGTCTGGACCGAGTGGAACATGATTAAAGAATCCGCGATCGAAATCGACGGGCAGGTTTTGAACATCAGTGTCGCGTATTCGGGACGATTGGCGTGCGCTTACAAATACGGCAAAAGTTTCACCAGACCGAGCAAACACGATCAGGATTCGAGGTATATTAACCTCTGCGTCGCTATTTACGAATGCGAATCCACTGGCGGCACGGAATGGATTTTGGAAGACGTCATTCACTTGAAAAACATTCATCTACCCAGGATCGACATCAATAGGCACCTCGACCTGAGTTATCTGTACGACTCGAGGACCCTGAAAAAGAAACAACGGATCAACGAAGTGCTACACACTCTGGCCAACGACGACAGGCAAACTCTATCCGCGGAACCCATAAAACCTACGTTGTTGGCGGTTCCCAGTTTTACAACGCTGCAGTCGTTACGCAAATCGATTACCGAAATGGGCAACATCTGTCCTCTCACGCAAAAACACATCGTGCAACTGGACTGGGTGTCTAACGAGGACGGTTCTCATATTTTAACTGTAGCTTGTGGTAGCAAGATCATGCTGTACACACCCCTGTCCACGGACTTGGCTCAGGCCAACGTCAAAGCCATGAAAGAATCGATGAACAGTTTCAGGCCGATATTAAGGAAAGCCAGCAGTTTGGCGCAGCCTCTCTTCGTCGACGATTTCAAGTGGATGACCCTTAGGAAGATCGAGCTTCAGACGGCAGACGGTCTACCTGCTCTGCCTATGCAGATCAGCTGGGTAAGGGACGGCATATTGGTGGTCGGTATGGATTCCGAGATGCACGTTTACACGCAATGGAAGCCGCAGAATCCGAATTTGAAACAAAACGGTATGGCCGAAATCGAACCCAACAATCGCGAAATGGATTTCAGAACTTTAACGCAGGAGAACCAAAGGAAGTTGGCCGCAATACCGACCCTCGGCAGGATAAGCTCGGTTAATCTGCAAATCTTGGATAGGAAACGCAATAAGGATCAGAACATCGACTACATGCCCGACTACGGGCTGTTCGAAGCCTCGCGTATCGCATGTCCGGTGTTACCTCAATATCATCCTAAGCAGCTAATGGAACTTCTCAATTCTGGGAAAATTCGATGGGTGAAAGCGATTTTATCACACTTGGTCAAATGTATTGGTGGGAATCAGGAGCCATCCGAAGAAATACAAGGTTGGAGTAGATCCAGAACCCTCTCTGTCAGCTATCCTCCAGCAGGTAGTCCCGAACATAGAGCGAGTATTAGCGAAATAACTTTAGACTATGACGAAATTAGCAATATACCGCCGCTGCCTCTTTGGACGCTGTTAGCTGCTGATAAAGAACAGCCCATGACCCAAGAAGAACAAAAGGATTACGAACAGCTGTTCGATAATAATGTGATAATGGAAGAGTCTTTAGATACTTTATTGGAGGATCAAGACGGGGTGCCAAACTTGGAAAGGAGGCCGTCGGAGAGGAACATTGGTCTGACCCATTTCACCCCGAAGCAAGGAAGAATCTTATCGAGATTGTTGACTCACATGCATTTGCCTGGTTTATCGAGTTTAGATCAAATGCATCTTCTAGCCTTAGCAGATACTGTTTCGACATGCAATACCGATCTGGCAGAAAGGTTCGCAATAGATGCGGCAAAATCCGCTATAGCCAAAGAAAATCTCGTCTCTCAATCAGATGAAATATCAACCGACAACCTCGACGACTGCGGCTTGAGGTTTTTGTTATCAATGAAGCATTACAGCTATCTACTGAGGTGCCTTCCTTTGGCGCAAAGATCTCAGTTCCAGAAACAGGGAGTGGGAAATAACAATCTGGCTTGGGCGTTTCATTCGGAGAGCCAAGAGGAGCTTTTAAATTTGATTCCCAGTTACGCCAAGGGATGTCCCACTTGGACGCAACTCCGAGAACTCGGAGTAGGATGGTGGATCAGAAACTTAAATCTGCTAAAGCAGTGCGTCCAAGTCTTGGCAAAAGCCGCTTACCAAACCGAGCAAGATCCCATGGACGCTGCTCTTTATTATCTGGCCATGAATAAAAAGAATTTGTTGTGGGGTCTTTATAGGTAAAATCTAATTACCGAGGGAAATTGCTTACCATAAGGTTGTTTTTAGATCTAAAAGGGACGAGCGCATGACCAGATTTTTCTCTAACAATTTCTCCGAAGATAGGTGGAGGAAAGCCGCGTTGAAAAATGCTTACGCTTTATTAGGAAAACAAAGGTTCGAGCACGCGGCAGCCTTTTTCTTATTGGCAGGCAATTTGAAAGACGCCACGGAAATATGTCTACACCGTATTAACGACCTTCAGTTAGCTATCGTCATCGTACGTTTGTACGAAGGGGACGGAGATAGTTTGAGGAAGTTATTGTATAAAGAAATTTTAGGGTGCGATGAAAATGGTATGAAAAGCAATACCAATTGTGGGTGAGGGGCAGTAGCGGATGTTTTTTATTTTTAGGCGAAAATCAGGATTTAACCAAAGCTCATCCTGATCCTTTCTTAAGGTCCATGGCACTTTGGACTTTAAAAGACTACCAGGCGTCCCTCAGTACCTTGTTGATAGGCAACGCTGGTACGCAACACTCGGCGCACGATGATGAAGCTAGGGAAACCAAAGAGGCTGACCCTAACGTATTTAATTTCTATGTCTATCTCAGGACGCATCCTCTATTGGTACGACAACATTTGGCCAATTACGGCCAAAGAAAAACTTTGCTACCTGACGGGCGACATATTCTCATTGAGGAGTCTATTACTCCATTAGAGAGACAATTATATTTCGCCACCGCTCACGGACATTTTAGGGCAGGCTGTCCAGCTCTGGCGCTCGAAGTGTTGTCTAAACTACCCTACGTGGTTTCTGATAAACACGGAAAAACGCCACGTGAGCCTTACAGCCTTGTTTTATGGCTATTGTTAAATGATTTTTGTTTCAGTGGTATCGCCGAAAGATATCAAGGAAGAAGAAATCATATCAACGGGTATTATTTCGTGGGACAGTAAACCACAAATTGATCAAAAAGCGACCGAATTCGACTGGGGTGCTCCGGTGAAATCGGAAGTTCGAACTGATGATTTGGACCTCAAGTGGAGTGATAATGAAGAAGATGCCGAATCCGACGATTCCGGAGGTCTAGCCATGAATGTTAAGAAAAATGAACAGGTTACAGAAAACGAAATAAATGAGGAGGAAGAAGAAAACGACGAAGTGCAGAATCAAGTGGATATAATGGCTCAGCAACTGAAATTCGTGGCATGCCTTAAAATTTTGATGGAGGAGTTGTCCACTCTGGCGACTGGTTTTGAAGTAGACGGCGGTCAGTTGCGCTATCAACTGTACATTTGGTTGGAAAAGGAAGTGGAAGCTTTAAAAGAACTTTGCAATTACTCTAACGGGGATGGTGGAGAGCCTTCGGATCAAGAGAAGTCGCCCGAACCGGAAGGAATTGTCGTTGAGGTGAATCCAAAGCCGACGCTTCACGAGATATTGGTCCAGGAGAAATTAGACTTTGAGGCGAAAGTTCAAAGAGCGGCGAAGAGGAAACGATGGCTCAGAGGTATATGTAGATAGGCCACTTTTACTGTAATTTCAATTTTCTTTCCGATAGCCAACGAAACCCTGCTAAGAACATTGTTGAGTTACTGCTCCCTGCATGGGGCAACTGGAGGCTTGGCTTCAGTCAGAATGGAGCTTATGCTATTGCTGCAAGAATTGCAACAGGAAAAGACTCACCAGCAGCTGCTCAGTCCTTTACCATTCCCTACCAGCTTGCCACTGTTGGCCGCCAGTGTGGCTAGTAGCAAGACAGTGATAGCCGATCCCATTCGATATCTGCAAGGTCTCACCCACGATATGTTACAAACGGTAAGAATTGAAGTTAACCATTGTCTTGGCTTCTCCATTTGTGTTGCTATTGTAGATGGTAGAGTTGCCTAAACCGACTTCCACTCAAACCCAACTGTTGGTGCTCAGAGATCTCGCGATCGCTCTTTCGGCTTGTATATATCAGTCGTTATGCGATTCCGATACATTCAAAGCGTCTTTACAAGACTCGCAAGATATTTGTTCGACTCATTTGGTTGGTAGAAAACGAAAAATATCCGTCAATGACAATTTGCAAATAGTTACGCTGCCTTCGAAATGGCCGGGTGTTACTAGCTTAAGGGCGTTGCTGGCGCGAGAAAAAGACGAAGATACACCCAGACTAAATGTTCTACTCTGTGAAGCGTTTAGCGCGACATACCTCGCGCTTTTACTTTACGGTCTTGTTACCTGCGACTGTGTAATTCTTTTCCACGTCACCGCTCACACATTCAACGGTGAGAGTTGGGGCAGATTGTTCGGCGGTGGTATCAAGAAGTTGTTGAGAACGGCGAGTTTGATTAGCAACAACAATTCCCAGCACCCCCACCTGATGTCTCAGCAGAGTGAGGTGGAGGAAGGTAGCGGACCGAGCAACTGGTTGAACAAACAAAGGGTCAGGTTGAACACCAAACTGCTGGGGCATCAGCCGTCGACTATGAAAGAGGATAAACCTACTTACAGGGAACAATTCGTTCCGCCCGAAATGAGCGTATTGGCATTTTTACTGCAGAAGGTGCTAGAGTCGATGTGCGATATTGCGGCGATGTCATTATGTTCTGTTCCAGCCATCAACGAGTTACTATGTGGATGAAGTGGAGAGTGAAGATGAAGATGAAGACGAGGACGAGGAAGTGTTTGAGTCGACTCCGAATATTACCAAAGTCGCAAACAACGAGCACTCCGATCCGAATTCGTACTCTTGGTTGGTACTTAAGCTGGCTACATTGAGAATTGCGCAGAACAGACTCCACGACTTTTTGGCCGTAAGTGTTTGGGTACTTTTCAAACTTGTACACTCTGTTCAATTTCGCCTCCTGAATTTAGATGTTTGTCGGAACAGATTATTTGCTGCTTGTTGTTAACAAATAGTTTTAAATCCCGTTAGGTGGCAGGATTGGAACTATCCGAATTGCCTGTTGCGAGTCCATTGATCCACAGCAGCCTGCGGAGCCTCACCCAATGGCAGGATAACCTCAAGCGAGAACTAGAACTGAGACAAACTCCGAGGGAATTTATCCCCGGATGTTTCGTCGAGAATACTTCGGGTCCGCCGATACAAAAATATAGGTACTCTCCCCTACGGCGCGACCGCTCCGGGGATTATATCTTGACGTTTCTTGTAGGCAACTGCTAGAGCCGCAAAACACCCCGTTTAGTAACAAAAGCTCGGCCGCACCCGCCAGGCTGCTGTGGAATTATTTGGTCCACCAAGAGCCCGTTCAAGATATATTTATCAGGGCCGTGTTCGGCAAACGGAAGTCGATCAGTAGCGGGTTGGACGAGGTCCTACCTCAGTCGGAACCCGTACTCGAACCCGTGCGAATTATTCACAAGGAACAAGATTCGATATCAGCGTTCAGCTTGAACCAGGTAGTGCTGGTTTGTCGAGTTGCAATGAGCGTTTCGATTTTTATTTTCAGCTGAATAGCGGGCTTATAGTAGTAGCCACGCCTCGCGAACTGCAAGAGATGGATATATCCTTGCTGCTCGAGCTGCCGGCGTGGCTCGAGGACGAATGTGAGTTGGATATCTTAAACTTAACAAAAGACGCGCCGGATCCGACCGTACCTCCTTTCCTAGTGATCCAGAGTTCGGGCGATAAAAACAAAGAAACGCAACCGGGCAGTCCGCAGCCCGGGTTGGGTAGTCAGAGCGGTCGCGGGACGAGCGTTGTAAGTGTCGTCTTCTTTTATTTGTCCCCTGCCGGTTTTTATTTCGAGCCTCTCTGCGCAGTTTTCGATCGAGGCGGGGGTAAAGTGTTTTAAAGTGTTTTCGGCCGAGGTTTGACGTGAGAGATTTGCCCGACCCTTGATTGACAAGTTTCCCGTTTGGAGTGTCCTTTTCGATAACCTTATTTAATTGCGTGGTCTGTTTGATTACGATTAACCTCTACACCGGGGGGATTCCTCAGTTTGCGTTACTGCTTTTACCCACAATTTCGATGGCGACGACGTGTTTAATGCGCGTGTGTATTGTATAGATGAAGGGGCTGAGCTTCCCGGGGTGTCACGATTCCAATTTTGTCCATCTGGTGTTGCTACGGTCGGCTCACATGCTGCGACCGGTGTGTTTCAGAACACTGCAAAGTTAACTACTTAGATGGCTCGATTGTTGTTTATACCCTTGTTGATTTTAATTGGTTCGGTTGAAATTGGCGCGCGAGCCTGACGTTTAGAAACGCCTGCGCAACAATTTCGTCCGGTAGATTACTTTGTTGTTTTTTTTTTTTTTGAGTTTGCGTTTGTCGCGGGTGAATGTCACTTACGCACTCGAGATGGCCTGTTGAGACTCGCTTGGTACTTGGCTGTGGTCTCGTAGAATATTCGAATGAAAAAAAATCTTTTTGCGCATTAGCGGTTTCAATTTTTCCACACGTCGTATGTTGCATGAGGAATGTGCTTTCATTTTTAACAGTTGGCTTGTGCTTGCGATTTAGTCGTCGCCGAAGCAGATCTTGAACTTAGTCAAATCGATAGGGTAACAAATAAACATATATAAAAAGAAAGCACTTTGGGAATATCCTTCTGCATCCCCGTCCCCCGTAGGAAATCTTAAGATGTCGAAATTACAGATTCCTAACTAACCAAAGAGATTACTTTGCAGCTTTGTTTGATTATTAGCACTTTTTCTTTTCATTATCTTATAAATATTCCCACACAGTCTGCTGAATTTTACCAGGCACTCAAAAATTCGTATTCGCTCCAGGGAACTGCTTAATAATATTGAAACGCCCTTGGTGTCTCTAAATAAAAACGAAAAACGTTTCTTTTTTTTTTTAATTTCATAGCTTCAACGAATAGAAGAGTGTCTTGAAGCGTTTGAAATAGTTTTGCATGCGTTGTGAACAGCGTAGTTTGCTTTGTTTGCCTCATGCCGGTAGAGCTGAGGTTAGGTCGTCACGATGTCTGAACTCTCGTTTCGTTTTTAGTGAATTTTTTTTTGTACAGGTACTAAAACACAAAGTCGATGGAGTTCGGAGGATCACTTCACATCCTTTACTCCCACTGTGTGAGTATACTCCTCAGCTGGGTCACGTACAAGAAAACCGTTTGATGTACTTGTAGATTTAACCGGTGGACACGACGGATCGGTTCAACTGTGGGAGTGGGGGCACCAGCAACCCGTGGCCACGCCCAGGCCGCCCGGTACCTACGCGAAAGTGACACGTCTCAGATTCTCTCAGCACGGTAACAAATTCGGAGTCGCAGATATGGACGGCATACTTAGCCTGTTCCAAGTGGGCCTAAGCGTTAACGCTACGCGTCCCTTCTTTGTAAGTGTATCACTTTCCATCTGTCTTAAGGTACGCAAATCTTTTTTTCCGCAGACCTTGCAGTGTCATAACAAGGGAATCAGCGATTTCGTGTTTCTGGGATCTTGCAGCTTGTTGGCGACCGGTAATCGCATCGGTTATTATCAATCAAAATTTTTACTCATTAAATTTTAGCCGGTCACAGTTCGGAAAGCAAAAACGTCTGCATTTGGGACTCTATCCTGCCCCAAGGCAAAGCTCTGGTAATGGCGTTCACATGTCACGACCAGGGAGCAAGCAGTCTGGTGTTTGCTCCCCAGCATCAGGTAATATTTGGGTACAATCTGCCCCCTTTACTTCTAAGTACTGACCGATTTTGCGTAGGTTCTCATCTCGGCCGGGAAAAAGGGCGACGTTTGTCTGATAGACGTGAGGTCTAAAATGATCCGGCACAAGTTCAACGCTCACGAAAACGCGGTGAAATGCATCGCCATTGATCCCCACGAGGATTACTTCGCCACGGGGTCCGCAGACGGCGACATTAAGGTAAAATTCCTGTTATTTTAAAAATTGCCGGTTCGTCCAATGAATTTCTATGATAATTTTTCATTCAAGATTCCACTAATTCAATCCAATAATTTCACATCTGGCGCGAAGGAACATTTGTACCCTTAGATATTATTCGCTTTTAAAAGAGCGCATTTATCCTCCACATAATTTATCTTCTCCTTGTGTACCCTATCCTATATTTCTCCATCTGTCTGAGAGAGACTCTACTAATTCAATTCAAAAATTTTACATCCTGCTCAAAGGACCATTTATACCATTAAATATTATTCATTTCAAAAAAATTCGTTTATGTTCTTGGAAAGTTATCTTCTCATGATGTATATTTGTTCATCGTCAAGTTCTTCATCCATAAATTCCGTCATAAATAAAAAAGATGGTGCATTGAGTTATTTTTGTAATAACAGATTTGGGGAGTGGCCGTTCCGAACGTGCTGTTGTCGTTGCCGGCGGAACACGCCAGAAGCAGCTTCTTTAAGAATATCGGACAGGGAGTGACTCAGCTCCACATCGATTCCCATTCGAGATTGTTTTCGTGCGGTGCCGATGGCAGTATGAAAGTGCGGCAGTTACCAGATAGGGAAACATTACTAAGCCACCATTAGTAATCGAAATTTGCTTTAAGTATAAGAATGATACGCATTTGACTTTAAATTATAGGTTAATAAGTTTGTTTCCTGGCTTATCCAAAGTTTAAACTAAGCTATTTAAATGTTAGTCGTTGCCCGGCCATCCGATTCGGTGCTGTTTGGAATCAGTATTACACGATACTGTGGAGAATGGGATTAAAACAATTGGTTCTTATTAAATTAATCGTTTTTGGTCGTCCATAGGTGCAAATTAATTTTAAATTAAAATTAATTAAGAGATACTTAGGTATATCGATTTATTAAAGTTGTTACTGAATAGATAGCCGAATATATATTTAAGTATTTTATTCTTTCACTGTCGATCAATTTTAGCAACACATTTGTCGCAGAGAACGTAAAATTTCTGAAATTTGGAATCTCTCAGAAATAATTTTCTCGGTGAGATGAACCTTAACGTTTCAAATGACTGTCGGTTTGAAATATATTGTGATTCAATAATTAAATATTGTATTTTTAATCGTTTGTTGGTATTATCATTTTTTCATTGTTAAACGATTTTTTTTTTCGATGTAGTTTAAAATAGGTCCTATTTTCTTTCTAGTCACCTGTTTAGTTAACTATTATACATATGCTGTATTTGTTTTGCCATTGTTTATAACATATACATATTCAATAAAATTAATATTAAATGTTAATACGACTTTTAATTAAACTACTTGAGAAAAGAACCCAAAACACGAGTCTTTTGTTTTATTTTCCTAGAAATGCGATTTCTATCAATAGACGTTACCAACCAAATAAAAACTTGTAGTTCCTATGTTTTATGACGTTACCAACCAAATAAAAACTTGTAGTTCAAGTCCCAAAAATATCACCAAATTGAGTTAAGTTGAGACGTAAAGAATCTAAGATAATACTAAATACGAGTCATTTGTTTCATTTTCCAAAAAATCTGAATCCATTAATAGACTTTATCTAGCAAATAAAAACATAGTTCCTATTTTTATTGCAGTGCCTCCAAAATATCGTCAAATTCAAAGTTAAAAATGCAAATCTATCAGCAGTTTACCTACCAAATAAAAACATATAGTTCCCATGTTCTAGTGTAAGGCGTCAAAAATATAGTTAATTCCAAGGTTGAATTTTAAAGTAAGCTACACTGACGTTATATTTTACTTACAAAGATATCTTACATCGTATAGAAATATATACATAAAATGTTATACACTTACTGTTTTGTAAGTGTTATGAGAGCATGAAAACAGATAACTTGAACAGACTTTATGATTGACCCATCTCTAATTTGAAACTGAGACATAAATATTTTTAAAAAAATAGCTTTTAAACTTACGACTTAATAGAAATAAATAACTGTCTTACTACAATTTGAAACTGTTCTTATTAATTTACAAACAGTAACAAACATCTGGCAACGTACAATAAGTGATAAAAAAAGAGGCGGAACAGCTTCTGAAAAACTGTGTTAAATCTCAAGTGCCAAATGCATGGTTATTTAAACTGAGACTTACCTTGTGCAGCAATCATTTTGCAAATGGCAATACGATCCCATTTCACACTCAGCATCGCAGATGATTCAAACATTCACAACACAACTCGTACACAAATTGCTAACGCAAGAGTTTTGAACACCTACTTTGATCATCGTTACGAAACACAGAATGAAAGTGGTCGGTTTCGGATATTTAGTTTATTTCATTGGTTGAGAGATGGTACGATTACTGATTACGCAACTTATTTTTAAAGATCTCCTTAATTAGATTAGCTAGATATTACGGCACATGATCCTGTATTGTATGACACTATAACCGCAGCTGTAACAAAAAGAACGCTGATGATCCCTCAATGATAATTAATACACCGCCATCTGTGAAAAAATTCGGAAAACCATCAATAAGAGCATAAACAATGAATTCACACGGCTTACTCCAAAAATATATTTGTGTTTACAGAACAGACCAATAACATCGAACTGGATTGCGTTCAATGACGTCAGCGATTTACATTAGACATTTGAATTCATTTTATAATAACCTAATAAGGTATCGAGAGATATTTTCCCTACTTTCCCAATATAATTTTTCTGGACGCGCCGAAGTTTTGACCTGACTGGTTCGCTCCCTTGTTGGTACCCGCTTGAAGGCCAATAATGGCCTCGCCCGCTCTGAGTTGGCTTTCGGAGAATTCGCGTTTGTTTTCTTCGGATGGTCTGGGTCCTGAAATTTGAAATGATCCTACTTTGCTGTAAAACTGGTACCGTTGTCTACGAACCCAAAAATGGCCCTCTCCATTCGGGGTGTTTGTAACAGGTACGACCGATGGCGAAAATGGTGGTGGTAACCAAAGCGATGTTCTTTTGGTCCCACAGATCAGTGGTTTGGAAGAGATCGACGTCCGGTACTCCATATTTGACGCAAGCCTTTTGGAACCTGAAACGTTTTATTATTCAAAGACTGTTTCGATTCATTAAACGACGGCCCACGGAAAAGAAAACAAGCCCGTGCCGTTCGATCTATTTCTGACGGAACAGATGAGCAATCAAATCGCGACCTTGGACGGCAATTTTGACTATATGCTGAAAGATCGTTTGGCGCGTTTAATTTTTCAGGCTCCGTCATTTTCTAAATCATATTTTTTAAATAAATTAGCCTTAGTCATCCGGGTTTTAAATTTTAGGTAATGACCGTAAAATCGCAACATGCGTATGTAGCAAAAAGTAACAAAATATTGTCCATTTAAGGTATCGTTGAGCGAATCGGCAATTTTATAGTTACGCCATGTTCCCTAAACTCCCTAAAACAATTTATTTTAGGTTGTAAGCAATTCGTTAGGTTTAATTAGTTAAAATTAATTCTCGTATGTTTGTAAACATTATACCTATTATTAGGTGATTAGGCAAGTACCTATAACTAGGTTAAGTGGGAAACGATGGTTTTCATTTTCTTCATCCCATTAAAATTGAAATTTTATCTATGGTCAATTTGACCTTGACTTCATTTATGTTTTACAGGGTTTTGAAATGACGAACGACATCCTTGAGTAATAATTTAACGAACATATTGTTTTATTCCCATCGTCCATCAACAGTAGATTCTTTTTAATTGTTTCCTACTTTTCTATCATTGCGTTAATTTTAAAAGCGAGTAATTTATGCTTGTTAATATATATTTTGAAGGCGAAAAAATATACTCAAAATAAAAAAATCTAAAATTTTTGCCGCAAGTATGAAAATGAAAAATAATTTGCTATAACGTTTACATTTTCCAAAATGGAATTTCAAAAATTTTGATTTAAGGGATAACGAAATGAACTCGTTAAGTAGACGGAAACCACTATCCTCCTCCACATATGTCCCTTATTGAGCAATTTGTCAGTTATTTGTGAGGATTTTTGTTGGATAGCGCAATTTGTGTTTAACCTACTGGCTGAGATTATCCATCATTTTGTAATCGCCACCTGATGTGTTGATTTTGGAGATGATGCCCGGTTTGAGTCTGTTCATGAGCGTGCACAGAATAATGCCGTCCCTCAGGGCGTACTCGTAGGGAACTCCAGGTGGAAACCTCTGCCCGATAACGGCTTCTATCCACGCTTGAGCTTCCCGTTCTTGTTCGGGGTCGCGTTTTCCAGCAACCTGCACAAACATACCGTAAAATTTTTGACTGACAATCTATGGATATTTTCCCAAAGAAACTACCACAGGTCATTAGTAATCTGTGATCAGGTAAATAAAATTCCGTCAACATTACGAGGTTAAGAACTGCTGCAATTTTAAAGGAACTATTTGACTCAATATCATTATTTTGTCTTATCGACAACCCCGTGTAAAGCATAAGTGGTTCGTTTAGTGCCGGAAATTGCAAATTTCCGTAGTCGCGGAAATATCGCATGGCATAAGACACGAGGGAGTTTTCTCACAAAAGGCGTTGCCAGTGTTGCCACACGTATGTTACGTAAAGTACACACCGGCCTATAATTAAACCGCGAAATAAAACGGCAACACATATTAAAGAGTCGATTGTGCCAAAACGCGATCTTGTTTTTGGTGTGGTACGCCGATGGTTTCCGTTTCGATAAAAATATGAACGAGAGTGGAAAAATCACTTAAATCATTTCTAAAATAAACTGCACACAATATTGGGAAACGCGCTCGGATTATATCAGATGAAAAATTGAAACGCTTCCAATAAAATAAAAATCCGACGACCTCAGAGTTGTTGATCACTCTCGATTCGAGAAGAAATTTAAATAAAAAATACCTCTTCTAAGAAGCGGAATTTTAATTCTTTTAAGGCCTGTAGGACCTACTTGCTTAGGTGGCGTACAATACCGACCTGGCACCTTATAACTGTGGTACTAGTATACCGAAAATGTACTGCGCGTAACATAAATTTCGAAGCATAATGGAGAGTAATGGTATTCTTCATTTTTTTTTTACTGTGGAGAAAAATATCCAAAAGAACCACTTATGGCAATATACATTATTTTTATTTTGATCTTTAGACCTTTACATACATATATTTCATAAAAAATGCAAATAGACATTATCATTGAGTAAGAGAAATTTCCCTTAAATAGACTGTATAAGCTCAAGGGTTGTTTTGTTAATTTTTGAAATTGAATAATAACAAAAGCGTGTCTCTTACTTCAAGTTTTAGACTTAAAGATTTACCTTATATGATATTTAAAATGACTATGCAACTAAACAGCTGTGGCTGTAGTGCATTAAAAAAAATATTATTAAAAGTTATTTATTTAAACGTAGGCTAATGTTATATGTAAAAAAAAAGCTTTGTTATAATATCTCAAACATTTTTTACAAGATTCTGATATTTTTCAAAGTTGTGATAAAAAGTGAAAATTAGTCCAGCCACGGGAGTTACCTTATGTGTTACGTAGTGTCACTGATTTTTTGACAATTTTTATTATGTACTAACCTCTAAAAGTACATTTTTTACTCTTGTTTCCTTTTCAACCAAAAAATTAAATAAATAAAAATGAAAAAATTGGGAAAATTAAAACTCAAAACCAGTTCTTTTGTATAAATCCCTAACAATAAGTATTCATACGTTTTTAAGAATCCGTTTTATTTTATTTTTTTGAATGACACTCGTCATCGTGTGGAACGTTGAAATGCTTTTTGAAACACCCTGTATAAACAAATTAACCTCAATAATAGTAGGTACATGCCTTAGAATGCTTTCTTTTTGTTTTGTATTTCGTTGCTTGATATATGTAGGTACAATCCCATTGCTGTTCCTTAACTCTTAATCAACTTAATGAACTCGTAATTTTATTATTGTTATTACTAGACATAAAGCAACAAAAACACTCCAATCGTTTCAACAAATACGTTCTTACAAGTCGCTGGAATCGTGCTTTATCAATTATCTAGACTTTTTTATATTTTATTATAAAGAATGACAATCTCTGAAATGAAATAATTGATTTATTAAATAATTCTTTGAACTATTAAAACATTATTTATTTAAATTGAAAAATTAATAAATGCCATTTTAATTTTGAATTTTTTGGTTCTAACGAGAAAGGGTGCAGTTTTCGAAGCAAACAAAAATGAAAACCGATCCTTACATCCGACATAGTTTTTCAACTGCATCAGATACCCAAACAACCACAACATGTAAAAACGCCCCCGCCTTTCGTTCTCATAAAGCTAGAACAGACGTAGACCGACGTCTCAGTCAGTGGCACCGCGACGCCCGAGTTACACACCACTCACACATACACGCACCGTCATGTCGGTAAGTAGGAGCGACCGTGCTAGCTTTAGCTTAGTCGAGCTTTTTTGGTGGGGCAAACGAACTCGTAATTAACAACAAATTAAAATTACCGTTTGTTTATGAAAACAGCTGACACAATTTTGATTTCAAAATAGTGCCCGGGGTATTTTTATAAATGTTCGAAATTTTCTACCGTAGAAACGCAACAAGGAACTGGAAGCCGAAGTGCTCGACTGGATTTCGAAGGTACTGGGGGAACCCTTGCCGAAGGGCGACTTCGAAGACATCCTCAAGGACGGCGTGGTGCTCTGCAACCTCATGAACAAACTGGCACCGGGTTCCGTTAAGAAGATAGCCACCAAAGGTACCAACTTCCAGCTCATGGAAAACATCCAGAGGTTCCAAGCGGGCATGAAAGCCTACGGCGTGCCTCAAGAGGAAATATTCCAAACGGCTGACCTTTTCGAACGGAGGAACGTCGCACAGGTATACCAAGAGGGTTGATTTTGATTTCGACGTTAACTCCGAAGGGTTTTTAGGTCGCGTTATCATTATACGCGCTGGGAAGGTTGACCCAGAAGCATCCAGAATGGAACGGTCCAACTTTGGGGCCGAAAATGGCCGAGAAAAACGAGAGGACGTTCACGGAAGAACAGTTGAGGTCCAGCGAGGGATTACTCAACCTCCAGATGGGTTACAATAAGGGCGCGTCCCAAGCCGGTTTGGGCTCGTTCGGCAATACGCGTCACATGTAAAAGTATAAATTTTCGGCAAAATTTCGGGAATATTCATTTGGCACGCGGTCTACGTTTATTGACATAATCTGGCGTTTATTTTTACGCGTGGGGGGCGGGGGGAGGCGTGGCCGAAAATAGATTTTAGTGTTTTCGCGGGGAACTGGTAAACAAAATTCTGGAACGCGTGTGCAGACAAAAATTTTTTGCACTTTTAGAGTAAACTAACTAACGTACACGTAAATTATTATGTTGAAGTTTATATTGAAAAATGTAATAAAAAGGTCGTTATTTAGATGAGTTTTATTTGCAGAAATTGGGACAAATTGGAAGGTTTATTTTCGGGCGACGGTAAAAGCGTTAGACCCACCAAATATTAATTAACGCGGTTATTAAGCGCAGGTGGCTTTGATACGTGTGCCAAAATAATCGGCGATTTAAGTTGTAGCAGCGTTCCTAATTGTCTAGACTAAAATCTAATAATTTATTGGCATTTGCGCGCATACAAACATACAAATAGATGGTACACTTTCCATCGCTTTATTATTATTATTAGTATTTTTTTATTATCCAACAAGCAAAAGATTTTACAATTTAATCATAAAAATAAAAAAAAGAATAGTTCGAGCTTTTTTACAAAGAAAACAAAAAACAAACATTCATGGACATCAATCAATACATATCATTATAAAAAAAAATACGTTCTCATTATCAAAAATAAATGTTTTTAACCTTTTTCTGTAATTAAACAAGGATAAGACGTTTAAAAAATCTCTTGGTAATTTGCTGTTCGATTAAGGAGCTTTATATGAGGAAGATCTTTGAAGTAATGCCGTGTTATGTCGAGGTAAAAGTAGTAATTATTTTTTTCTTGCAATGTTGCTATTTAACTAAGTTCAAGCTTTTTAGACAAATGAGATGACTGATGGATTTTTAATGTTTTGTATCTAAAATAATTTAAGCTTCAGATGTTTCAGTTTGCATATAACGTGACTGATCCTATCATACTTTTTCATGTTTCAGTAAATCTGTAACAACCATTCTGAATTTTCTGGAGTTATAAATTGAAACAACATATGTTATTAATTACTCACACACAGACAAATTAAGTTTGGAAACTATTATTTCACGATTTTGATTGATTGATTATTGACAGGACCAAATGATATGTTTTGTGAACCATTCATAGCTCCAAATTTTTTGCTTAAGTTTTAAACTCTTATGAAAGGTTACATTTTTCGAAAGCAGTGAATTCGATCTATCAATCTATTTAACAATGTTGTTTGGCAAAAATTTTAATTAGATTGATACCGGTAGTAATTATGTAAAGAATAATAATAAATAATAAAATAATAATAATATCCTTTATTTGTGAAAAAGACAATATAATTGCATGGACTACTCCACAAATCAAATTTTGACAAAAAAGACCCATTCTCGATTATAACAACCGTTCACCAACACCTTTCTAAAAGAAAAATGTTAGCGACAAGGCCCTAGAGTCTACAATAACATTGGACCTAGAAGATAAGAAATTAAAAAAAGAGGATGTTGTAGTGGAGTATATTGCCATTAAAGCTCAATTTCTAACTGCTTGATACATGACCTAATGGAAGTTTGCCCCAATGGGGGTGGGGGGACAATCGGGGAAAAAGGAGACCCAACCTCCAATCGACGGTGAAGTTGTCATAGGAGTTTAAACATGAAACATGTTATTTGGGAATAGGGAAGAAGTTGGAACATCTCATTAAGATAAGCCGGTTTACCTGATTTTATAATTTTATAAATAAACCTGCACATATGCAGTTTCCGTCGATTCCCATGTTTAAAATACTAAAATTAATCAAAAAAAAAGAGATATGTGACTGCGATAAGGTATGTTATAGGCAAAAAGCATACAAAAGTTTTGCAATTTTTTTACTGACCTTTTAGTTTGCCAAAGCAGACAGTCTCCATATGCCACATCTGCGTAATCAAATAATGAGAGAACTAAGGCGTTGCAGAGAAAATATTTTTGTTCTGGATTTAAAAATTGCTTTTATCTGTAACTGTTCTTAAGGCGTGTGTAACGGGCATTAAGTTTTTTTTAATTGTGAAAATCAAATGAATATTATTTTCAATCTCAATATAGATTCTTCGTTCAATGTTTTCTCGTGTTTTTGATAATAACTTGAGATTTTTGAGGCTTTTAGGTTGTGATTTGTTACAAATAAGTTCAAGTTGTTACGATCTGCGTGAAGTTGTTGTTGAACTTCTGCAATGGATTGGATACTGATTGGTAAATGAAGTTCAGAATTGAAGAGAATTGGTGAAAATACTAACCCCTGTGGAACACCTCGCTTAATCAAATTAAATTCAGAAGTTTGAATCAAAGAGTTCGTTGTTGTACTTTAGAATGTCTTTTATAAGATTTCAGGAATTATTTGAGAATCCAAAATACTTAAATTTTGTAAATAATAGATTGTGACGCAAATGCTTGTTTATTAATACACCAAAACAAAAAGCCAAGCACATTTTTATGTCTGGAATTGAGATTCCATCTTCTCAAACCGCATTTGGAGTAATGCCCGCGATTATTTTTTCAAGATCGGTTTGATTAATTAAATGAATGAATGAAGAAAGAGAATTTTATACATTATAAAAAAAATTATATTATTTATAAATAAAATGCTTATGTAATAAATAAAATTATTTATTTTGTGATTTGTACGGCGTATACTGCTTCTTGGGGCTTATTACTGAGAAACGAAAATTGATTTAATTATCACAGAAAAATTAGAAGTAAATTTCAAGTTTTTCGAAGAATAAAAAATATTGGTTAAACGCAAAAGTGTATTATTTATTTCTACTGCTATTTTCTGACCAATATGTTTTTTTAAACCTTAAGAATATTTAGATATTTTGATTTTCTGTTAAGGTTATTTAAAAAGTGAGACTATTATAAATTTCATTTTTTACAAATATTAAACAAATAAATAAAAATGCAGATAAATAATAGTAATCACTTACATTTTTGTAAGAATATATCGGTAATTTACGTAATCAAACTATGAGAACACTCCATTCTCTCAGCTAAATAACGAGCAAGAGACATCAATAGCGATTCGTAACATTTTTCTTACTTTTGTTTCACACCGTCGCCATTCCAGATTAGACAAAAATAAAATAGAAAATAAGCTGTATTTATCTCTGTTGCCTAAGACATTACTTTGACTATTGGTTTAGTTAAGCGTGAAATATCATTTACATGTTTAGATAATTTAATTGCCGTAAGGACGATAACAATTGGCGAGCCTCGTTCGGCTATGATATTTTCGGCGGGAATGAATGATCTTCACACACTTAATCTGCACTTTATTTTTGTTTCTTAAACAGCGATCACCGCATGTTTAACTTGCATTTCTGGGTAATATTTTGAGAATATATTAAACTGAACGCCACTGGGTCTTATTGAATGGTTCTTCCCAACATATTTTCAATGGTGCTAACATTTTGGCTTATTAATAAAGGTCTTGTCAGTACGCTCACGGTTTTTTTTAAACGGCTTTTTAACTGTATCCTTGCATTTATTTCTATGAAATTTTTGTCAAATCTAACTTGCAGTCTTTTACACTTAACAGTTATTTTCGTAATTTTAATATCAGATATGGCAATAATTTAACTTTTCCTGCATATGGACTAGGATCTTTTAAGAAGTCACCGCCGAATGTGTGAGCTAAATTGTATAATAAATTACTGGTTCAAATAAAAAAATGTTTCAATGAATATTAATGTTAATTTTATAAATTAGCAGATCTGCTCGACATTTTGCAAGTGCCTTATATCTTTTTTACATAAGAAATGTTCTTTTACTTCTTGTTATTTGATCCTTGGAATAAAGAAATTTGATTTGATACTGAATTTGCTGACGTTTGGCCAGTCATCCTCTTGCCTTCTTCAGAGTTTTACCGACACTCTTTCAATTGAGCTCTAAAGCAAGTTTAAGTTATCAGTTAGCAGATTTGTAAATAGAATTATAGCAGCCTGTTGAAGTTTGAAAAATTATTGTAATGAACATTACTGTTATTATTATTCTAAAGGTTCGTTGCAGCTTTCATTTGATTTGTTCAATTTGTTCAACAGTGGTTATTTCTAAGTACTTATTGCGTTATAGATAGCCATTATAATTTACCGAAAGCGTAAACGTCCAGTGATTCGCAAATTACTAAACTATCGGCCCCAAAACGACTTGTAATCTATTTTCACGTGTCGCACTTAAATCGCAATTATTTTCCGGTTTTCTTATCGATATTAACGCGGTGCCCTCGAAATCCGAAAATTTGTAGAAAGCGGCCCACAAGAAAATTTTGAAGAATTTGCGTCCGACTTGCATCAATGTTTACCTCTTAGTTTCTAGGTCAATGTCGGTGAAAGAAATATTTAAACATTATATAATCGAAATGTGCGGCTAAGGCGATTTTCATATAAGACGATGGGTATATCACGACGTATATGGGACAATTCGCTAGAAATGAAAGCACGGAATATTTTCGTCAATTTTCGAATTTTTCGCATAGAAAAAAGATATCAAAGTACCTACTTATTAGAGCAAACACTTCCACTTGTAAATTTCAGACCTTTTTGGTGTTTCGCCATTTTAATTGTTGTTATAATTACGTAAGTATCTTGTAACCATTTTAGAAACTTCCTAATATCGAGATAAACTCGTTAGCAATGCGAAAGTGGGTTATTGTGTCTCAAAATATCTGCATTCGAACAAGTAATTTTCATTAAAAAAAAATTTTGAAGCCACCATTTCCCGATCGGATATTTTAGAAATTTTTTTGTTGCGTTAAAAATATTAAAAAACTATATTTTCCACTGACTCTTGAAAATTCGTTTTCAGTATGACAGCAGTTTTATGGATTTAGGAGTTTCTGCGTTTCCTCTCTAATCTACCGACTTATTTTTCAAAATATGCAACGTGAATTTTAAAAAATACTGACTTGGTCACTTGGCCTGTAACCTAACAGAGTAGGTTTAAGTAACACGGAACTTTCAATGGTTTTATTAAAAACACACTCTGTAAAACCTAAATAATAAAAAATAAGACAAAGAGAAGCATTTACGGTAAATAACAGTATAAGTTTCAGATAAAGGTTTTGTCAATTCACAATAACCTTTTGCACTTCTAAGGGTATAAATAATACGTTCATTTAAAAATAACTCCATGCACTATTTTTATGGACTGCTAGGGCATAAAGTTTCACTTTAAAACTCCTTTGAGTTAGGTAAGTTTTACTCAGTTTTAATGTTGAGACTGGTGAATTGACCGTCAATTGACGACTTCTTAATCGACTAGTCAAATTCGATCAAAATGTTTTAAATAAAATTTTGCAATTGTAGAGTGTTATCTACCATAATTTAATAATAATATGTATTTTATAATAAATTATTATTAGTGTGCGACATCTAATTAACCTATAACTCTCTTGAAGGAATACCCGAATACGATACAAGCGATTCGGAGAATCCCATTAAAAATATCGATTCCATTTGGTCCCCGACGCGACGGCGACGTAACGTACAATATAAATAAATAATTAAAAATTTCATAGCATTTTAAAAATTATTTCGGTCAATTGACTGGTCACAAAACAAATTGACCGGTCAATTCCACAACCATACTAAGTTTACTTAGCGGTTAAAAAGCGATCGGAAGATTTAAAGCAATTTTTCTCGAACCCAAACAAATTCTCGACTAAAATGTTGTTTACAAAACTTTGTTACGGTTCGTGTCAGCTGGATTTTTTTCCAAAACGCACTCGAATACTAAAAAATATTACAGACAGAGAGGGATAAAAGTTTCAAGCGTGGATCCAAAAACTTTTCCGTCCGTTGCATAAGCGTTACGAACGCCCTGTAGAAGCCGCGCCGCAGACTAGATTCCGAATTATGCAACGGTACGTATAGCCACAGACCAGCAATCCCCATGGAGTGAAAGTGATCTCCGAATGAGTTGACTTAATGTACCTGCCGGTCTGATCGGAACACCGACATGGTCCTCCATGCCAGTAGGTGAACATGGAAGGAAACGGGTTGTTCGTCGCCTGTGCGCTGATTGCTTTCGCGAATTGGGCTACGGGACGAATTTTGGACCAACAACGTAAGTGACGATTTGAGTTTAAATAATTACGAACCCTTTTTGGAGGCCGTAAATAAGTTAGAACGCATTTTTTTCGTATATTCCTAAAAATAGCAACAACTAAATATTTATGTGACCAATAATTGAAAATTTTTGTCTATAAACTCGCGGATTAATTGAGCGTAAAAGCTGAAGGTGAACAGTATTATTAGCAGCAACAAAGTGTTTAATTGGCATTATTGGGAGCACTAAAAGTAAACAACCTTATAGCTACCATTTTTTTTTTATTTTAAATATATGTGTCATGTTTTCAAACAAAAAAAATGTATAATTATTTTCGTTTTTTGATCAATCTATATGGACATTTTACTCAAAAATCAGCTCAAAGGATTTTTTCTATTAAAAAATTCTAATTTACAAAAAAATTATTGGAATATTTTTCGCAAAGGCAATTTTCCACTTTTATGCAATGTCGCAAAAAAAAATTAATAAAAAAATTTTCATTTTGTTTTCCCTTGTATAATTTAATAACGTGGTAAGGTAATAACGTCACGGAAAATTAAAAAGATTTTTATTTTTGAGTAACCAAATAAACTTTTTCTACTCCCGTCTGTAAAATACCTAATTACACACCGATCTAGCGTGCGGGAAGAGTCACTTTACCACGCCAGTTTCGTTTCCCACGGACCCGAGCCACTTCGGAAATTTCCGGGATATTACCGCACCGGTTTGGGAGCAATCGAATGTTTTCGGAGATATTTTCCACGCCTTGAATTTTGACATTTGTCAATTCTGACGGTCATGTCAGTGAATGTATCCGGTAAACTTTTTAAGTCACTCGTTTATTGAATAAACTCGTGAGTCAAATGCCGTTTACCGCAATTGTTGCATAAAATACTTTTTCCTACTCCCTTCTGTAAAATACCTAATTAAACACCGATCTAGCGCAACGGAAGCGTCACTTTACCACGTGCATTTCTTTTCCCACGAATTCGAGCCACTTCGTACATTTCCGGCATATTACCGCATGGGTTTGAGAGAAATCGGATATTTTCGGAGATTTTACCGCACGGTTTTAATTTTGACGTTTGTCATGTCATGTATGTCATGTCATGTCATGTATTCGTGTTGTTTTGAAAAAAATTACCCAAAAACTAACGGTCGTAGAAAAAGTATAGTATGCAACACGTTTGGTAATTTTTTTAAGTCACTCGTTTATTAAACACGATAAAGCACACAAATAAACTCGTGACTCATAATATACTATTGAGACCACTTCACGAACTTTTTCTATAGCGTAAAAGTTTGAAACAATTTGGAAGATTATTATGTTTGGAGGGCTCAATTTAAAATGACAAACATAAAATCGGTTATTCTTGGAAAAAAAAAACTATTGTCACGCGTTTATCGCCAATACTTTTACGGGAAATAACTATACGATCTGTCGAACAATATGTGACGCGGGATCGGGTCCGACAACCATTTAAAACGGAACAAAAAAAAATCTCACACTCGGATAGGCATGGGCTTTTCGAAAAAACGCCGTTTCACTTTTAAACTCGATGAAACAATTGCCCAACCGCGTTGTGTCAAGATTCTTTAGGAAAGTTTAATTAGTTATATGTTGTTCTTGGTACTTCCCCCATTAGGCAATCCATAAACTAGGTCACAGAGTGAAGTACCATCGTCATGCAGTCAAAAGGCCTGTTTATACTTTGTAGTAGTTCCTGTTTTCGATATCGGTGGAGAGATAGTCGGTTCTGAAAGATTCAAGTTTGACAAGTCGTAAAATTTCACAGCTTTCGCTAAATATTTCAAAATAAATGGCAAAACGTGTATTAAGATGAATCCTAGTTTGGTCCGGGGTATAAAAGAACTAAAAAACTAGCTAATGAAATCAGTTACATTCTTCTCAAAGCATAAAAACTCAACGCAAATATAGAATTTTTATAGTGTTTTATGAAACACCTATTGCATTAAAAGTCACATTAATTAATATTCCATTCAAAATCATCTACAAGACGAATTTTAGTTGAATTTACTTTTGACCGCTCCGTATAAATTTCAACAAGATCGGTACTTTAATTGCAACTGACGTTTGCTTTCAGCCGAGTTCGTCAAGACGTGCATGATTACGAAACCCAAAGAGGAATTCATCAATTGCTCAACCCACTCCGTACAAATCCTCTTCAACGAAATCCCCAAAGGAAATAAGGATATAGGACTGCAAGTCCTCGACCCTCTGAAAGTTCCTTTCGTAAAGGTGATGTACACACGAGTAATTTGTCGTCGTTGTTGTTATTATTGCATTTTTAATGGCATTTTTTAATGCATCAAACCTTGAGACAAAGCTCTCTGGTAATTTGACTACGTAATTACAAAAATTTATGGACTGTAAAAACGCTTCATTTCGAAGAATGACCTCAGAGGAAGGAACTTTCAGATTTTACAAGGCGGCGGTGGTCCGGTGACAGTCAACGCCTCCTTGACCAACGTCACCGTGTTGGGATTCGGCCACACTGAAATTACGTTCAATAGTGTCGACCCCGAGACGTACGATTTCTACACAAAGCTCCATCTACCGAGGCTAAGAATAGACGGAAACTACGATCTGTTGGGAAGGATCCTCGTCATCCCACTGAGAGGCAAAGGAGTGTGTTGGTTCGATGCCAGTAAGTCAATTGGGAGAAAATAAGAAAACGGCCACACGTTTCGTGTAAATCTTACGCCTACGCCTAAAACTAAAGCGTAGATAACAAATTGGCTGATATTAATTCAATGCCGATAAGGGTGTGATCTTTGGATGATATTAAGAAGAAAAGATAGTATCCACATATATATGTATATCATAAACCCGTTTAGTTTTGAACTCCAGTGCTAACAAAAAAAATAGTTTTCTGAAAAGCATCCATTAAGTATCGGCAATCGATTCACGGTTCAGTTATTTTATAGAACACAGCTAAGATATAAAACTTCTTGAGAGGGGTAGTCAGCGGTTCCCAAACAACACATTAATTATCAAATTTAACGAATTTTATTCGTTCTTTTTGAAGTTAAGATGAAAATTATACAACGTATTAGTTAACTAATTATTTTAACTTTAGGAAATGATTTCTTGGTTAGTTTTGGTTAATTTTAAGACCAAAAGGATAAATTTATTTGTTTTTATTTTTTTTTCTACGAAAAAGTTGCATCTTATCAATGTGCGTCTAATGAATCAAATTTGCTTTAGAACGCTTTAATTTTCAGAAAGGACAGAAACTGTTTCAATTAAGCTCTGAAGAAGTTAACAGGATGATTTAAGTTTGATTTATAATGAACCGATGCAGGAGAAATACAGACAATTTGTAAATAGGTTTTGTTTAATTTTACCAGTGCGCTTGTGTGGGGTTTGAGCTGAATCATTTTGGAGCAAATTTAATTCATAACATGTACGTTTTTCGAAAAAGACGAAAAGAAAAAAAATACGTTTTTATTTTCAGAATATTTGTAAATAGTATTATAGTATTGAAGGTTTCCTCGAAAAAATCTTAAAATACGTCTAGAAAATTGAATAAAGTTATTTTTTTAACTTTAATCCCCTGTTGCTGAATAATTCGGAGGTTTATGACATATGTTGGTATTAACTTATCTTTTTAAAACAAAGGATTCACACCCCTAAGTAACTGCACCGTGTTTTCTTTATAGAGTACTTTGCGATTGATACACGTTTTTAATGAAATACTCTACCAAATTTCGCGCGTCGATCCTATGTCACAAAATAACAATAAACGAGAGATTCGTAACTTAAATGTTTTGAGATATAGCTGGTTGGAGTATGAATTCATTAGTTGTCCATTAAATAAATTAATAATTGTGTATGTAACTGAAAGTGCTAACATACATTTTCGCGACATTTAAATGGTCTATTGCGATATATATTTGAATTTAATTTTTAAGAATTCTTATTATATTCACTACGTCAGTTTCTACACCATGTGTAACAGAAAAGAAAATGCCGGCACATCTTGTTAATGATTTTAAAAAATAAAGTACAACTGCTGAATTTAATTTTAAAGTAAGCTGGAAAAGTAGAGCACGTTAATCTATCAAAAAGTAAAAAGGTGGTAGCTTTTTATCTTTAAGCTCGTTTCAATTTTTAGGCGATCTGAACATCGACGTAAAAAGTGACGTCATAATGCAAAAACATCACGGTTTTTATTTCTACAACGTGACGAAGGTCCATGTTCAGTTTAGCATCGGCGGACTGAAATTGCACCTGGGAAACCTCTTCGAAGGCAGAAAACTATTAGGTATCGTATAATCTTTGAAGCATCCGTTCCGTAATAATCACAACTTGTTTATTATCGTCCGTTGCAGAGGAATCTACCAACGCGTATTTGAACGCCAACTGGCGGCCGGTCGCCGAATCTCTCAATCCGATCCTATCCAAAACCATAGAGGACATCATGGTCGAGATATTGCAAAAGGTTTTCGACAACATTCCCGCCAATTTCTTCTTGAGCGACATCGAAGAAAACAACGCGAAACGGTCGATCAAAGTAAAAGAAATTTAAATGTGATATGTAATTTTGGCATCCGAGCAAATTTAATGAAAGAAAAACAGACGGGCGTTAGATTTGATGCTCTCGGTGCTAGATGTAGTCGGTAGTGATATTCGTTAAGCATTTCGCTCGTAGGTAAAATGATAACTCAAGCCACTGGTCGCAGGTTGGACGCCAACAGCTCCCCTCGAACATAACCTAAATATTTGCTTCCAAAATACTTTTCCCGAAATATTTAAAGTTCACGGCTAGCCAAATCCGTTGGAATTATTTTAAAAACGTATTAACCTACGTTTTAACGTTTTAGGGAAAGCTGCATTGTCAGTATTTATAGAAGTTTTCATTTTCGTGTTCATGATTCATCGTACCTGTGTAAACACGTAGAAGTTTAGTGTTTTTTTTTAAGTTTGTAGGCTGTATAGTTATTTTCGACAATATTAAATAAAATACTGCGGAATTGTTTCCTTTCTTGTTTCTTTGCATTTTTATGTCTCAATGCATTTACTTGGCGATCAAAACCACTTTATGGGGAGAATATTTTTAAAAAATTCCTAACAAATGATTGTTGTGAATTATATCATGTGTATAATAATAATAATAATAAAATAAAAAATATTTAGCATTCGAAAAAAATAAAAGACGAAATTCTGGGGAAAATATTTTTTTTAATTATTAAAAAATTAGAGTTTAAATAAATAATAACGTTGATTTTAATTTTTAATTGGCAACGAAAAATACTTACAAAATATATTCACATTCAAAGGGACTTTCTTCTAAAAAAAATTATAGAAATATATTTAATACTATCAAGAAATGGTTATGAATTTGGATAAATACCCACCTTGATTTTAATTTTTAAATAACGACAAAATAAACCTGCCCAAAAGTCTGAATAAATATTATTTCTTTACTGAAAAGTTAAAAAGTTCTTCACATTCATCAGGGGCCGTCATTAAAAAAAAAAAGAGACACAACTATTGGGAAAATATTTTAAAAAATATTTAATATTATTATGAGATGGTTGTGAATTTGATGAAAAACCAAATTTAATATTTTTTATTTAAACTCTTATAAATATTAAATATTATCTATAATCTAATTTTATAAATAATTTAAAAAATGGTTGTCAATTAGAAGAAAAAGTAACTTTGTTATTTTATTTAAATAGCAATAAAGAAACATACATTTTCAAAAACCTGATTAAATACTAATTTTTGAAATAAATATAAGAATGATCCCCATTCCAATGGTATTAATCTTTTTACTTTACAAGGTTTTAGTTTCGATCAAAATGAGAGGGGCAACTATGGGAAAAATATTTAATATTGTTAATTAATTAAATTAAATTTGAAGAACAAGTAACTTCGATTTTTTTTTATTTAAAGGCTAAATAAATATTATATTTCAAAATACGGAAAGTGATCCACTTTCTATAGGAATTCTTAGACTTTCGTCTTAGTTGCAATTAAAATAAGAAAAGTAAATAAAGTAAAATAAACACAAGTGTTCAATATCTGAAATATCTGCGCTTTTCTTAAATTCGCTTGAATTTCTCAAATGAAACATTTCAGAGGTGTATTTTAAACGATTTCGGGGGCAACTAATTATTAGTACAACCCGTAAACTAAATATTATTTTTTGAAGCATTTTTGCCATGCCGATTCCAAAAATATATCTCGCGGTTTGGCCTATTTTTAAAGCGCATGATTCACGCCGTTAAATGCCTCCTGACTAACATATTAATTTCATCTTTCGAAAAATATCGACACGCGCACTGCATTTTTTTCATTTCGATATGAAACGAAACATCCCATTTCACAAAATAAAAATAAATTGATCGTAGAAATCGAAAACAAAAACATTCCAACGCTACCTTGTTTTCCCAAATCCCAAACTGGAATGCGAGCGGGGCGTGACCAAAACAAACGAAAATCGACTCGACTTACTTGCCACAGGGGTCTAGATGGTCCAGGCATTTTGTCCGTGTATTGGGGTGGGCACTTGTTTATCACCAAAATCGCTGGTGTGAGGTCTGCTGGTAAACTACGTAAAATTTCGGCAGTCGCGTTCTTATAGCCTTCCGTTTTTGCAGTGGCGTCGGGGACGCCCACGCCAGCCGAAATTTTCGATCAGACAAAAAAATGACGTTTCGCCAAACAATTGAATCATCATCCGCGTCGTTTGGGATTCGCCTCGCGCTCACCTACCCTAGAATTGTTATCGTTCGAAAATTTTTTTTCGAAATTTTTAATTATTTTTGTATAATAAAGTTAATTTAGTATATAATAGTTGCCTGGAGACCAGCAATTGTATACAGTTTTTGCTTTCGACACAAGAATACGCACAAAATGAGCTTATTGCAAATTAATTTGTAAAAATTTTAGTTCCAAGTTATATTACATATAATTTCCGTCGACCAAGGTGACATTAGCTGTGGTTATTTTTACTCATGTCAGTGTGGGCAGTGTAGAACTTGTTTACTGTGATACACACTGCTACTCATAAGAGATGTCCGTCCGTATTTGTTTTTCGGCAATTAATTATGTATGCTTAGATCATTTTGATGGGGTCTATGAGTGAACATAACATATTTTTAGAAAGCGGCAAATGAAATAAAAAAAATATATTTTCGAATACAATTGCGAAATCTTTTTTGAAAAATGCGTCCTACAAATTTTTGTACCCATAGGGTAGCGTGGCCGAGCGGTCTAAGGCGCTGGTTTAAGGCACCAGTCTCTTCGGAGGCGTGGGTTCGAATCCCACCGCTGCCAAACTTTTTTTATTATTAAAAAATATTTTTTTTGCTTATTTTTCATATTTTAATTATTTTTAAAGTATATGTGGAATTTCCATGGCAAAATTGTTGCTATTGTTCTATTGTTTTGCTGATATCATAAGCCTTTATTGAAAATGTTTAGCAATCTCAATACGCCTGGGATGTAACAATGTGAAATAAGTGCACAGATTTTCCAGGTAGAGGAAAAAGGCAAGAAAGAGCTTCTTCATTTGATTTAGTTTAGTTAGAACCTCTGAAAAAGTTTTGGCTTGGTTGAAACTATCTTTGGTTTTGTTTCTAATGCGAATTTTTGCCAATGTCCTAGTTTGTAGGAATGGAATGGATTCTAGTATAGAAATATGATACCCAAATAAAAGTCTATTCAGTTGTTTATAATATATTCAGGTCCATAAAATTACATGACACACAGTGTCAGCGAAAATTTGACAGGTCAGCACTAGGCGACATGAATAAATTTGAATCTCCAAATGTTAGGATTTTTTCCAGCTTGGATTGGGGTGGATCAAAATCTTAATCGGATTTCCCTCCTGGGTTTTCGCGGTGTGGAACGCCGCTACGGTGTCCTCGATCTTATAGTGGTGGGTAATCAACGGTTTCACGCTGATCTTCCCGCTAGCTACCATGTCGATAGCAGTTGGATAGCTATAGGGACCAAAAATTTTAGTTGGTGAGCTTTCGACGAAGGTGTTACTTACTCGTTATTGTATCTGAAGATACCTCTGATGTCGACCTCTCGGAAAATGGCGGCGGCGAGAGGCAGTGTTTGCTCGAATTTGCCCATACCTACCAGAACTGCGATGCCACCGCTCTTGGTGACCTGGTGGAAGAAAACTATTGAAAACCCAAAAAAGTGCGACGTCACAATTTTGCGAAACACAAAACAAAACTCGAGAACCATATGGGTTTGACTTATTTGAAGTTTCCATCACCATTTTTAAAAATATTTTGGCGTAAGTTACACCATTTGGAATTTGGTAGCCTGTTGCACACCTTTAACGCAATTCTGACGTTCATTTCGACTCCGGAACAATCAAACGATTTGTTTGGCTGATCGCCTAGGAGTTCCGTAATTTTGGCTACGATCCCGTCCTCGGTCATGCTACGGTCGACCTTAATCACGTGATCAGCTCCCAACTCCTTCGCCTTTTGCAACTTGACGTCCAAAATGTCCGTGATCACGATCTTCGATGCTCCCATGGCTCTGGCAGCGAGCATGGTAACGAGTCCTATGGGTCCGGCCCCAAGAATGAGGACAGAATCGCCGCAAGTAATGTGGCCTCTTTTGCAAGCGTGAACTCCTACGGATAAGGGTTCCATCAGTGCGCCGTCGTCCAAGTCCATGTTGGGAGGCAGTCTAAGTAAATTTAGAGATTCAGATAGTTGAACGTGTGACCAGGGACGATGGTACTTGCTTGTAGCAAAAATCGGCTTCGTGGAGGTAATATCTGGAAAGATTGCCGTCGTCTGGAGGAGTCGCGCAGAAGAAAATGTCGGGACAAAGATGGTAGTTTCCCGTTTTGCAAAAACTGCATATCCTGCACGGTACTTGAGGCTCGATCGCAACTTGGTCGCCTTAAAAACTCACAAGTGAAACACGGTTCTGAAATGGATGTTTGCAGGGCTTACCTGGTTTGAGATTTTTAACTTTCTTGCCCACCTTGACAACGGTACCAGAAGCTTCGTGTCCTAAAATTTAGTAGACGTTGAGTAAGAGAAATTTAAAAAAAATTGATAGTGACTTTACCGATTACCATTGGTTTCTCCACCACAAAAGTACCGATCTTGCCTTCCACCAGATAATGCACGTCAGAACCGCAAATGCCTACTGATTCCATTTGAAGTAGGACCTCTGCAACACGATAGATTGTTGCATAGGGATATAACAAGATATTAATGAAAGAACTGGGTCTAATCATGTTTAGCTTTATTGTTAAGCGAAGAAGGTGTGTATATAAATGTTATGAATTTCGCTAGGTATTTTGGCGTACTCTATAGTTTTGTGGGATGGTCTGTATGTAAATTTCATTCAAAATTGTATATTAAAATTTCTTTTTCAAAAGGAACGTTGTTATATTGTTATAACAGCTTTCTAACAAAAAATATTGGCCAACAAATGTAATGTAAGCAGCTGGAGACCTTTCTCGATTTAATATAACTATGCTTCACTTGTTCCACCATTTCATGCTGGTGTCATCTTTTCCTTTTTTTATTTTTATTTCTCTATTTTTCTTAATACTATAATATATTATATTTATATTATTTGGGTAAAAATTTAGGAATTAATTTAACAGCATTTTGCACGTAGAGATTAATCCAGGTGCAATGATATTTTAAGTAAAAAATTTTTTGGTTCTGTACTTCTGATAGTAGTTTTGAATAGGATTTTATTTGCTTATAAATAAATAATAATAAGTGTTATATATGGTTCAAAAAATATTAAGAAATACTATGTAAAGTAGGTACTTATATTAAGTGCAACAGTATTTGGAATAGGTTTGACTGGGTAAATGCGATCTCTTAGTTACTCTGTATATTAAAGCTGCGTTTCGATTAATATTTTAATTTTTGCTCATTAATTATCATTTTTTATTCGACAATGTTTAAAGCTTTTTTGAAAATTTGGGGATTTTGTTGTTTTATTGCAGATTCTGAGCGTTTTCAAAGCTATATCGACGTGCTCTACCTATTCGAAAATAAAAAATTGATTTTTACATTTTACTCATTTTTTAGCTTTTCAACCTAATGGCGAAGTATGCGGCTTTGCACGGGCTCAAGTTCATATCAATTTTTAATTCCAGTCACGCCATATCTAATCTAAATTGCAAATTTCGTTGTTATCTGATTATGTCAACCTGGCACAGCTGGAAAACATTTTTGAAAACTTTGTTTTTAGCCCGCGTTATCAGCAGCTCGTCAATCTATGTGGATGTCAACAAATAAAATACTAATACGATATACATCAAGAACAAACGATATTCGACAAATAAATTTTCATCCGAAAAACAAGCAATTTTCCAGAGTTTTTGAAAAATAAATAAACAATAAAAATATAAATAAATACAAAAATAAAGTAGTATAAACGAATGCTCAAAAATCATTATAATAAAACCAACAGCTATAAGGGTGGGAATGAAATGGACCAGCAATTTTTTTTACTTTACTTTTTGAAACACTAAATAAGTGGTGAAAGATTCAGGATTTCTGTGAAATGACTTCTTTTATATTTAAAGGATCACTATGTGTTTTGAAATACCTAATTTAAGGTTACAAGGCCCATATTTTTTTACACTTACGGGTATCTGACGGTTCTGGGATTGGCCTTTGCTCCTGCAAGAAAAAAAATACATAACTTCCTCTTATCAAGTTCAAGGTCGACTATAAATACATAATTTTAGGTACGCACTGCAATAATGGCAGGAAAATAGGCAAGTGCGCTCTAATTAACGCCTTATCGGGTTCGACAACTCATAAATAATTCACGACAGTATCAACGGTTACACTTTTTAACATTTTTCCTTGACTAAGTTGCATAGCGACTATAAAAACGGTACCCAGCGGAACCTTTAAAAATTATCTATTGTAGATATGTGTAAATAACCACCCGATATACTGAATGAATGCGTCTTCTGAACACTCCAAATGGAGGAATTTTAATCGTAGATAAAAAAACTCAGGCGCCTGGTTGGTGAGTCGGAATTTTTAAGCCGCAAACGTTTTCAATAACATTTTAATTGTCTTTAATCTATTCCACGTTTGTCGTCGTCGCCTGTCAGGATGCAAATTGCTTTTAACACCGGGATAGCACGTGAGATACAAAATATTTCTGTTGTAAATAAATAGCTGGGGTTAGTTCACTTTAATACGAACGCACTGATGTTATATTAAATATAAATGGAAGATGGTTTTCCCGGCAACATTTATTGGATGTTCTTCTTCTTTTAAAAAAATGCGATTTTCGAAGTTTTTCAAAACAAGAAGGGGCACTTACCAATCGAATATCGTTAATGCCGTACAAGACGGCGGTAAGATTATCCTTTGGCGGTGCCATGATGTTGCGTGATCCCCAAGTACTTCAATCTCACTTCTAGTGCGCCTAGCGGTATGCTGCGTGGTATGCGGGAACCCATATTTATAAGATACGCTCCTCTTAGGTGGCGACGCGAGTTGTTGACGTATTTATCGAGCCTCCTCGCGATATGGATACGCTTATCGAAAATATTGTACGAGGTTGTTAATACATAAAAGGACTGTCTTGATTATTCCTTCGAACTGGTGTCTTTGGACTAAAAAGATATTAGGTAATTGAGAATAGCACTAGCATAACAATAATGTGGGTTAAATTGGACACTTTTAATGGGATACTCGTCTTTTTAAAGCACCCGTTAATTTTGTATTTTTATGGAAACGTTTTCCAAGCTCCTTTTTTAAAACTAACAGTTTCTGAGTTTGGGAGTTAAAAAGACTTTTCCAAAAATGTAATGCGCTTTATATTTTGCTTATTATGTATGTATGGAGTATTTTTTAAAATTTTGTGTATATACATTTAGGAAAACAAACAGTAGAGATTGTTATATCTAACTGGGAAGAGCAAAAGGAACACGGCTTCATGCAGGGTGATGGAAAATTTGGGTAAATCAAAAATTTTTTTCGAGGACTCCAATAAATTCTACATGAAAATATCTATCAAATGCCGTTTTTGCCTCCTTAATATTGCTAGAGACTATCAAGGTGTGGGGTAACCTCAAAAATGTATTTATCTCGAAATCACCTTATAATTTCTAAATTTGTAGAAACATCCGAATATTAAATATCAATAAAAAATCAATACACGATAACGAATTTGAAAAGTACATTGTACAAGGAAACTAAGTTTGGTACATTTATTTTGAAAGCAAATTCGTTAATTGAATGTGTTTTAATACTCCTGTTTTCCACAGAATCTGTCGTTTCACTTGCACAGTCCTCAACAGAGGTCATGGATGGAGACATAAAACAACTCGAAGCAAAATGTATCTATATATATATAATTGTATCTGGTTGGAAATAGTGTGTTTTTGGGAGAATCAATTGTTAAAGTCACTTATGCAAATAAACCGATAACTGAGTTCAAAAATTCCTTATCGAATTGTTTTCCAACTGTTAAATAATAGCAGGTTCTTAAATATTTTATCTCGATTTATTATTAATTTTATATGCGATTGGCAAAATTTAAACATATTTACGTTGTGTTGCTATCAAAAAATTATAATGACGCTGGCAAGCCCGATTTAAATATAGAGTGGTTCAATTTTTGGAGAGGAATAAGAAAGAGATAACATTAGGTCGTGCATGCGATAAGGTCGCCCCTATAACTATTTCAAACTTTAATTGGTCAATTGGACGAACCTATTTATATTGTATAATAACTTGAGATAAGAACAGAGAAGGTACAGATATATACAAAGGCCCAAATTAAGCTTAAACAAACACCGGTAATCTCCTATATCAAAGTGCAAACAAACAACCTAATTTTATCTGAATTTTACGCCAATTCTTCAAATGTGAAAAATATTTGTTTTTTGTTGCAAGTATGCTCGTAAGCTGATATACAAAATAGTGAGATTATAATTCATATATAGTGTGAAAACTTCATCCGATTATTGGTAATGGTAATTTGTTTGAAGTTATCGTTAAAAAAAATGAAAAGCTCATGTAATGTAATTAAAATAAATGAACAACGTATACTTATTTGCTTACTGTCACAGCGAATCACGTCGTTCGTTTAATTTTAACTCCACAAGGATCAACCTTTTCTTTGTTAAATGTTGAAGCAGTAGGTATTATAACGTGCAAGTTTTAGACTTGTTTTAAATCAAATAAAAGATGTATGTATATTTTTACACTTCATTATTTTTATACAGTAATACCTATAATACATTGACTTATATATATAAGTCAGTGGATGTTTTGTGTATATTTTCACTTTAAATACTTCTATTAAAAAAAAACTGGTTAATAGGGATATAAACTTTCCTTTATTGATGTTTACTATTTTTAGTACTACTCACGAAGACACATTTAGATAAAGACATTTTTTAAGAGATTGTCAAAGTTCCTAACGTTTTTCAAGTTGCATCCATGCAATTAAGGATATTTTTGGTTCAAGAATAATATAGTCTGTTATCATTACGGAAAAAGACACTTAGCTCCATCGGAATTTAGTTTATTTCCACAATTCAAAAATAAAACTCGCCCCGCAAAAAATGCGAGTAAGATTTAACTTTATTTATTATTATTATTATTAATATTACATATTACTATAATTACGATAAATAATAGCGATCCCCAGCCCTATACACTAAATTTTCTTGCTATTTCGAAACTTTGGACGGACGCATCGCGTCGATACAACGGTGGAAGGGGAGGGTTGCATTTTCCGCAATTCGGGCATCCCTCTCTAGCGCCGATGTTTGGTTATCGATTTCGAATTTCACCTTTCCGAACATCCAATTTATAGATTCCGATCCGAAATGCCAGGAGAACAGAAATTCGGAAGCGGTAACCGATAGAACCGATAGAACTCGGTGAATCGTCATTTCCCGGGAAATTTGCACGTGACAAAATTTTCCTGCTCAAACCGTTAGTCGCATTAAATTCTCTTTGGTTGCTTAATTGCGCTTATATATAATGAGGATAATAATTTTGCGTAATTTATCCAATTTATAAGAGGGTTGGCGCTTCTATATTAATATATAAACATAGTACATATTAATCAAGTCTATTTTCAAAAGCGTTAGTGCATAGTATGAAAAGTCTTTATTTGCTCATTATCATAAGGTGGCGAAATATTTTATAAATTATTTACAAACACGTAAAGAAAAACGCGGTACTGTACTACAGGCATTTCGATATTGTTATATTTTTGACTTAGCTATCAGGCAAAATATAATATATCTGACTCAAGGCAGCTTAAATTGATGTCTAATGTTTCATTAGTAAAAATGACGTAGCTTTTATTTATCATTTGATATTTTTTCCATTTTATAGAAAAAAAATTTTTTTATATGGTTTCAGAGGATATAGTTTTTACTGTTTTTTAAAATTACCGCACAAATTTTGCAGTTCAGGCAACCATTAATTCAAATTCCAAGCAAAACAAATTTCGAGATGTATAACTGGTTGCCTATGGCCGGGAATCGCATAATAAATTTCTAATTAAATATTTCCCCAAAAATTTTACGAACATAGATTTTCAAATTTTTAATAAGAAAACATTTTTGATCCTCTGATTGATATTATAATGCAATGACAACATGCCCATACGAATTTTCGATACGAATTAAAAAAAATATCGAGAATGTCGTGGGTGTTAATACCTAGTTGAAATAAAATCTCAGGGACAAATTGCGTTATCCTGTCACCTATTTGCTTGCTTGTTGTTGGATGCTGTATATAACAAGACCACTCCAGTGAAATGTGAAATGTGCTCGACGTTCAGCTTATTAAATTTTATTATTAAATAATGCCAATTGGCTATTAATAAAATGAACGTTAACCTCGCTTCCAGTAATAAAACCAGTTGACTTCCATTCGCTGAATAAGTTTCCAGATAAGCGTTCTGTGAAAAGTGCCTGCCGAACGGATTTGTTTATTTTGATTACTCAACGGTTTATGTTTGTGCGGAGCAAAAAATGCCTGCACCTTCAGTTCCAACCATTGTCGAGCCTGACCCGGGTAACTGAATCACATTTATAATCACAATATTTGTCACTAACCAAAATAAACACCATTCTTTTTAGAATGTCGTAGCGTTACAGACAGTGTGGGTTCCCATTCCGATGTTTCGGCGCACACGTTGCAATCTAGCAGCACCATGATCAAACCTCACATGGAAGTTGTTTGTATTATTGATATTTGCCAGTCAGAACATTTGCCGCACAGGAAGAAGGCATTTGAAGAGGTAAAACTAGCTTGCCTTCAAGTTGGTGCCTCCCTAAGTCATATACAGGTACCCTGGTCTTTAAAATTGGGGTAATTATGTGTTTTTGGTTATTGTCTTTTTAGTTTGAGAAGCTCGATTTCGGAGAAGCAAATGTTGTTAGCAGCTTTTACAATGCAGATGTTGTTATTATAGATATATCTCTACCAACTCAGCAAAGCACTTTAGTGTACCATTTAGGGGTACGTGAGAGTTTCAATATGAAACAGAACATTCTTATTTATAATGATGTTGATTCTGAGGTTACATTGAGGTTGAAGGTTAGCTTGATAAATCATTATTTCTCTTGGATGCTTCAATTGATTTTTCTTTTAGTTATCATGCGCTAATTATAATTTTATATCTTATATGTTATCTGATACTTCTTGTGTAACCACGTGTCCCAGTGAAAGAGGAGATGAACCCAATGAATTGCTGCACCAAAGACTGAGGAAATCCTTGCAAGATGTTGAGGTTCAAAGCAAGTAAGAATAAACATAGGTTTAGGGACCACAGGTATTTAAATATGCTTTCTAAATTTCAGGGCGCACATGAAGGAGAAATTTCTAATTGATCTTAGAAAAGTAAACGAGCAAAAATCAGGTCAAGAGCGGAAAGAGGCGCTTCAAAAAATTGTCAAGCGCTTAGATGACCCGAACGTTCTCTCCGGTGAAGTTATTCTAAATATCTTGCTGAGTTTTCGGGATATACAGGGTTACGAGTCTATGATTCACCTGGTGGAGGAATTAAAAACCGTACCGGCAGCTAGAAAGTATTTAAACTCGTATATTATATTTTTATACGCGTTTGCTTTAAATCGGCGTAAAAACGACGGCGATAGGGAGAAGGCCCTACAGGTCTGCATCGAAGCTTTAAAGAAGAAGGAGAATCATTTTCCCGATATGCTGTGCCTATGTGGCAGGATTTACAAGGATAAATTTACGGAGTCTAACCATACCGATAAAGAAAGTTTGAACCAAGCGATTTATTGGTACAAGAAGGGGTTTGAAGTGCAGCCAAACGAATATGCTGGTAAGAGCCAAAATTTTCGTTCTGTTTCTGCATATAACCAAACACGAAGGCAATTATATATTATTATTATGAATAATAACTGCTAGATTTTTAGAAAAACGACTCTAGAGAAGCTGTTAATTAAAGAACACCTTGTACCCTGGCAACAGTACCTTTTTGGTATCTATTCTTGTTAACCTAGAAACTTTCTACATAAAATCACTTTAGAACCCATCCTGTTAAATTTCTTTTCATTTTTTGTATAAATGTTGCTTTGAAAAATCTGGAAAAGTCTTGGTTTATTAAATTGCTCACTTGAAGTTTGGAACATTTGAACTACCGGGCAATAATATGCCATTTTATTTTAAGGAATTAACTTGGCCACCCTCCTGGTGATAAACGGGGAGGAGCTGAATAAGTCGACCGACTTGCAGCACATAGCAATAGTCTTAAACAGTTTGATCGGTAAAAAAGGAAGCCTTTCCTCTTTGAAAGATTACTGGGACGTGGCGACGTTTTTCGAAATCTCCGTCTTGGCGCAGAATTACTCCAACGCCATTCAGGTAGCAGTTAGCAAATCTCGGCTAGTTTTTTTTTTTCTAGTTTCGGGTCGTTTTTAGGCAGCGGAGTTTATGTTTCGTCTGAAACCGCCCGACTGGTACCTAAAATCGACCATAGGTAACATACAGTTGATTGACAAGTTCCGAAAGAAGAAGGAAGAGGACATAACCGCGGAGGAGCAGATCTTTTATTTTTGGATGGAGTTTTTCATCGAGGCAACTAAAACACCTGCGGATGGAACGTTTAGGTTTCCCGTGTTGATACTAGAACCCAGTAAGGAGTACATGCCGAGCTATGTTTGGATTAATTTGGGTGCTGAGCCTCAAACTTTGCAGGTAAGCCCGTTTAAAATCACTGCTAGCTTGATTTCCGATATTTAGTTGTGTTTGAATGTACATTTAAAAAAAAATTGAAATTGTTCATGAACAGGCTAAACTTTTTGTTTAATTTTGTATTTATTTATTTTTCTTGGTGATTAAAAGACTATTTATTATTATAATTTTCTTCGCAAAAAAAACACCTTTGCTGTCTACCTATCTGTAAGGCTAATTCCTGATCTTGTAGAAAAATAACATCAGCAGCCCCTGCTCTTCTAGGGGGAATTTTAATTTTTAAAATATAATAAATTTTATATTTCATTTTATTGAATGCCACACGTAAAATATAAAATTTTGCCGACCAGCACTCGGGTCCCTACTAAAAAATGTATATACAGGGGACTTGGAACGATATTGAATTTTGCGTGTTTTATTCGGCGCAATATAGGTAACCAATCAGTGCCTGAAGAGAATAAAAAACGAGTGCACTGAAATTCACGATTGGGAATTTACAGCGGACGATATCAGGAGTTTCAGCCTGAACATACAAGACGAGCGGAGCTTGTTTTTGTACGTCCTGGCCAACTCGGACGATTTTCACATATATTTCCCTTCGGAGGCTTGCAGGTGAGTGAGTGAAACATATAAATTGCCTTTTGATTATAACCAGAAATCAGTTATTACTTAATCCTTTCCATATTACTTAGTGATCGTTTTAAAGTCTGTATTAGTGTTATATTTTTGTCTACGCAGAACACTGCTTAAAAAATGACAGGTTTTACAATTTTAATGAAAAGTGTAGGCAAGTGTCAGGATTTGTTAAGTGTGAAATCTACTTTTCGTCATCGAGTGGTAGTATTCCGTTTCTGAACTTTAGTTTTTCATTTGTGCTTTAAATGAGACTTTTTGAAATGTATGCAAATTATAGCGTTGAAGTTCAATGGCATACTTCGCAGACGAAAACAAAGTCTGATCCTTATGTTTTACAAAAAATGCTCGATAACCGAAATATATCTGAAAAATACATCAAACGAAAGAACAGATAATATTACAAGTCGTTGAAATAATCGCGAACGCAGTCAAAATGGTGGCTTACCTGTTTGCCAGATTTCATTTTTTGAATGGTCGAAAGGTGTTATAGACTTAACACAGTAAGTTCGGGCACGTATTTTAGGTGTAACTGCAGAGCTAGTAGTTTAAAGAATAAACTACTTTAATTAACTTCTCTGAATAAGTAACTATTGCATAGATTCGCTCGACCTCAAATCAAAAAAATTGTTTCCAAGGGATTGATAAAATAAATACCTTCAGCAAGCATTAACGAAAATTTATCAATAAAGAACTTCTGAACTTGTGAAGAAAGAATCTAGTTTACATGTGCAAATCCGATAGGTTGAAATTGACAAGTTAACATAATGAGAAATTTAAAAAAAAATGAATTTTATAGTTTAAACAAAGAACATAATCCTCATTCCTCTGAAATAATTTTACTGCAACTGTAAGACTTGAAATGTGACTACTTTGTTCGTGTGCGTTGAATGTATTCTATATGCCGACTTCGTAAACATCATGGGCTTCTCAGGTCCTCTATATTTATAGTGCTGTTTTGAATAGATAGTTTGAATTACACCATAGTGTCAGGGCGTCTGACTTTTGAGAGAACATCAGGTCTTACGGGAAAATTTGGTCACAGATTCTTAACTCTCCAAAAAATTTTCATAAAGAAATACTTTTATACTTGCGAAAAAATTGCGATAGGGCCTTATTTATTATTTATATTTGATATTAGCATTTTTCGAAAATAAGGTAAACGATATATGCAATGAAATTTAAATTAGATGCTACGGAGTGTTCAAAAAAAGTTACAATAAATCGCAAAATATTAAAAATTGGTATATGACTCTTAATATAAGTTGCAGGTTTTTGTAAGATCTTTCAGAAAAAATAATAATATACATGGTGTGCCATTTAAGAAAATCGGGATTTTTCAATTTGAAATGCTCCAGATATATTCGTTTATTTGCTTACCCTGTATCGTGTAATTCAAAATCCCTTGCATATATCTTTTATGTCATCTTCCAATTACAAATATATCAAATATTGGCGCTATCGTATTTTTTTTGTAAGGGTGAACAGCAGTATTTTTTAGAAAAATTAAAATATTAGGAAAACTATAATCTTTACAACTTTTGTTGGAATAAATTTACTCTATCGTTAACTTACCTTGTACAGGGTGTGTTTACAATATCGTGATTTTTTATTTTCTAAGGTATATAGAAATAAAAGCATTTTTCTAACAAAATCTAATTATTTTGAAATGTTTGTATGGTAAGATAGCCAAATATTGACAATTAACGTGTTTAATTAACGAGATTTTAAAAGTAAGGTACATCGATAGAGTAGGGTCGAAAAATCTATATGATCAAGAATAAAGCCCTCCTTCGCGCTAGGTTTTTTTTCCTCTTGACTTTACTACTCCACTTTGGAAAATGGTTGTGATTTGGGTACTATATCAAACCCGTATAAATCGAAGATTTAGCGAACGGTCCGGCTTTCCAGGGATGTCTTTTACAAACTCCTGATCGAACTCACCAACTACCAAGAGAGGCCGTTGGAGCCGGAGCTGCCTCGCGAAATCCGCTACGAATACGAAAGGGACGAGCAAAACAAAAAGAAAGTACTCGGCAAGGGCACGTACGGCGTAGTCTACGCCGCCCTCGACCTGAACAAACAGGTCCGGATAGCCGTGAAGGAGGTACCGGAAAAGAATCTGGGCGCCGTGCAACCGTTGCACGAGGAAATTCGGGTGCATTCCCAGTTACGCCATCGGAACATTGTGCAGTACCTCGGATCCCTTTCGGAAGAAGGCTACTTCAAGATTTTCATGGAGCAAGTACCCGGTGGTTCGTTGAGCGCGCTGCTCAGATCGAAGTGGGGTTCGCTCCAGAAAAACGAGCACACGATGGCTTCGTACACGAAACAGATTTTGGAGGGACTCAAGTACCTCCACGATCATAAGATCGTGCATAGGGATATCAAAGGCGATAACGTTTTGGTCAACACTTATAGCGGGGTTGTGAAGATTTCGGATTTCGGCACCTCGAAGCGGCTGATTGGGATCTGCCCCAGCATGAAGACCTTCACCGGTACCATACAGTATATGGCGCCGGAGGTAATCGATAGGGGTCAGAGAGGGTACGGGGCACCGGCCGACATTTGGTCTTTGGGGTGCACGGTGGTGGAAATGGCCACCGGGAAACCTCCCTTTATCGAGTTGGGGTCTACGCAAGCGGCTCTATTCAAAGTACGGTCCACGAGGATGAAGGTGGTCGGTCTCGCGTAATCCGCTTGATTGGTTCCAGATCGGGTATTACAAGGCGCACCCGGACATACCCGAGTTGTCGGATAAGGCGACCAACTTCATTTTGAAGTGCTTCGAGCAAAACCCCGACTCCAGGGCGACGGCCGCGCAGCTCCTCGAAGATCCGTTTCTGGGTGAGTTTTGGTGACCTCGATGGCAGTCGATGGTTACTATGGGTGTGCCCTAGTTCAAAGGCGTTAGAGTATAGGGGAAACCCAATACGCCGCTCATAACGGTTAAAAATATTTCACATTACCTATGATGACGGACATAATGACTGACGATAGAAGTTAAATGAATATGTAAAAAACTCAATTATCTACACAGTTAAAACATACAATTAAATTCAAAATATTTCAATTCAGACTTAACTAACTATTATATAATAATATATAGTAGTAAAATATAGTACGAAAGCATATTTAAGGAGGGTTAGCAAGAGGCATTTTTGAGTTCTCTTAGGATGAGAATAAATACTTTAGACCTAGTTTCTTAATGCGAGAGAATAATAAAGTGACAGAGATTATATAAATTTGCAGATTATTTTTAAACTTTAAATATGAATACAAAATCTTCATATAATACAGCATTCAGTAATAGTATAATGTTAATCACATCGTGAGGATTGAAAATTATTTTTAATCTTGTCAAAAGTTTGCCCAATTCATAAAAGTGAGAAAAAGTCAGAAATCAATATTTATAGACCTGTGGGAATCATTTGTGTACCAAATAAAATTTTTGAAACCATTTTGTATAAGTACATCTTTTCTCATATATCATAAGTAATACATCTAAACCAGCACGGCTCTATGCCGAGAAGATCGACAGAGACCAACTTAACAAGTTTTTTACATAAAGTAAATGAATCCATAGATAACAATAAATAAGTAGATTTAGTTTGTAGTACGTTTTTTTCAATTTTTATGATAGTAATTTTTTTGTTGACTTTGGTAACATATCATTTCATTTTCGAACCATTAATTTTAACTTTTTTTTTGGATGACGACTCTTCAACCGAGCGTTGGTGCTAGCTTTTTTTAAGCATGTGGATAAATACCGGGAAATTGGAGATTTTGCGTAAATATCGTCAACAACATTTCAATTTTGTTTTCATGTTTTTGTAGCGCAAAAAATTTAACTAACCTGCCACGTACTTATTTAAATATTAGCAACTACGTCTACGCTTCACTGCATTTATTTATCTCTGCCCTGCTCGCTATCCGCAGCTTCAGTTTCATTTTTTTGCTTATTTTTTTCGTCCAGTTTTTTTCAAAAAGTCGCGTCTCTCTGAACGCTGGCCTCTGTTTGCAAAAAGAGGATCATATTTTTTTTCCGCTCCCATCAGCTGTTGTCGGTATCGCGTCGCAACTGAAATTTCGAAACAGTCATGGTGTACAATTGGCGCAGTTGGAAAACCAAAATCAAAATGAAGCGACGCCTGAAATGTGATCTCGTGTCTTTTTCGTACGTCTTAGGGCCGGAAAGGAAAAAGTCAGTCCGCTTGAACGCCGAATTCAACAGGAGCGTATCAGTTCCGGTGGACAAGGTGGGGCCCAGGCCGGCAGGGGGCCACGCGAGCGCTCCCAATCAGACCCCCACGACCCCCGAATCGGAGTAAGTGATTAGTTTGCTCGTGCGAAATGAATTATACAGTGTGACCAAAATAACTCTGCGTTTACGTTCGATTCCGCACGCCTTTGATTACTTTTCAAATTGACGTTTTACAGCTGGTCGTTTACCGACCAACCAATTTGTGGTCATGGTTCGTTGTGTATGTTTGATTGTTTTGATTTTAAGGGGAAATGGTATCTGTTTCAAATAAATAAGATCTAAAAAATATTACCATCCAATTTTTTATTAAGCAACGTTTAATTTCACCTTGCATTTGAGCACAATCAAATAGAAAATTTTTAATGTAAATGGTATTGACAAAATCCATATGTTAAGCACTAAGTACGTACGGAATCGCATGTAGATGTAGCTACAGGATGCACATTATGGAGGGAAGGTTGTTTTTTTTTAGAGCAACAAAAATTTTGGGCTGCGACCTAGGCGATAAATAAACATTTTTCCGCGTTAAAAGCAGTCGTGTATTCTCGAAAACTGATTCGCTCTGATTGCAGCGCCCTATTTTGTAATGCTATCCTTTGAACCGGTCACTTTAAAGGAGACAGCAGCGAAAAATAAATTGCAAATTTTTATTGCTACTTTTTAGATTCTAATGACATTCTTAATTTTTTTTTGAAGATAGATTTGTTTTTTTTATGAATTTATTTTTTTATTTTAAAAAAATTCGGTATTGTTATGTAAAACTTTTCTGCAACTTATCCGCACGTAGTTATCCTTGTCTTTATATTCGTTTTTGTTTTGCGTTGCCCGCCATATGTGTTGTTATTAATAATTGATTACGTTGTTTTATGGTATGTTCGGAAGAGAGATTGATAAACTATTCAATGGAAACATAACTCGACACCGTCATTCCTGGGGATAATACTAATGTTAATCAAAAAGTAACAAAAAAAAGATTTAAATTTAAACGATTTAATGAACTCATAGTTTGGTATCTGTTCAGTTCATAATAGGGAATTTAATCCTTGTTGAGTATTCTGTATTGTTTAATTACTCTCTCTTGCCGCATAATAGACTATATTTTATGTTAGTATGTAATCAAGCTTAAGTTTGTTCTCGTGTTATCGTTGCAGTTCACACTCGCATTCTCACTCGCACTCACGAGCCTCCCTTCTACCGCCTATCCAAATGCCCTCGGAACTCAGTCTGGCCAGGTAGGGGTTAGTTCGTGGTGTTTCGTCCTCCGTGGATGTCGCAAACGCCAACCGCAACAAACTAATTCGCCGCTATAAATGATTTTAAATCCTTACGTATCTAGCCTAGCGTCGACGCCTTCCCTAGACTGCAGCGACCCGAGTCTGGAGCACGGAACGGAGCGACGCAACTCTTCCGGGACACTTCTGTCGCCGGAAGCGGACGTCGGCACCGAGAACGACGGCTTCTATTTGCTAAAAAAAGACTCCCAGAGACGTACGACGTTGGCCAAGGTGCTGGCCAACGACGGTAACAAAATCTGCGATCTCTGGATGCAGAAGGTGCGCGACAAGTACCTGGGCGAGACCGTGCTCACCCATAAGCATCTGCAGAGGTTGATGGACGGCCTGAAGTCGTATATAATCGAGCCCGCGATGAGCGTGGTCGAATCTACTGTGAAACAGTTGAAGGAGGAGCTGGACTACGACTGCGCGGCCATTCACCAGTTGCAGTTCGCGATATACTTGTATCAGGTAAGCGGCGGCGCGAAGTAACGGGGTTTTAGGTGTGACGCCGTGGGTTACAGGAATCTGTAAACGAAGTTCTACGACTACACCCGATCAAGCCCCATTGGATGTTCGCGCTTGACAATTTGGTGAGGTCAGGGGTTCAGGCTGCCATTACGGTGCTGTCGCCCGAGTTGGGCGAAAACCTGGCCACTCAGAGTTCGCCTAGCACGGTGGACACGTCAAAGTCGTCGAGCAAAACTAGCGGCAGCTTCGAAATGGCCGATCCTTCGTTGATACACCTGAAACGGGAGAATACGAGACTGTTCCAAGAGTGTCTGGAAGCCATGAAGCAGTACCAGATATTGGTAAGCCGCAAGCGTTATCTGGTGTCCGGCTCGGCTCATTGTTGTGTCTCAGCTGAAGGAGGTGCTGGAAACGCAAAGGCAGCACATCGGTTTTCTTAGGACCCTTCAGCCGGCCCACGAAGAGATGGAAGAAGACGCGAGACTAGCGAATTGGCTCAAGGGGCTGGGACTGAGCGAATCGTCGCAAAAACGGTTCGTTTCGCAGGGTTACACCCTCGAGGAGGTGTTGCAGGACATCACGAGGGACGACCTGAGGAGTGTGGGTCTAGTGGGGGCGTACGAGTTTCGAATATGGCGGGCGATTCAGCAGTTTCGTGGTAAGGGCGGGGACAAGTTGCTCAACGGCGATTTCGACCACAGGGAAACCATTTAGATTGAGAAGCGTAAAATTTTGTCGTTTTTCGTTAAGCCAGTGCCTTAAGTTTATTGTTTTCCAAGTAACATCCGAAGTATTAACGAATTAATTTAATAACAGAGAAAGAAAAAAGTATATTTTTTTTATGCGAATGGCGTTAGTTCGAGCAATCGTGCTTTTTAATTTTATATTTTTGCCGGTTTAAGAAGAATTAACCCGGATCGACTGTGATTTTTTAATTTTTTTTTCTTTTTGAAACTCGAGGGAAAATTGTTTTACGTTGTTGAATATTGGAGGGGGCGGTCGAGCGTTTGCCGCCCCCTTAGCGCAGAAGGAATTTTAGCTTTTGTTTTAATTTAACAAAACTATCAGTTACTTTTAATAAAAGAATTTATGGAGGAGTACAAACGCGTGAATGCGGTTATGATTTTTGTCTTACAAGAAGCGTCACATTTATTTTGTTTTAATTTTTTATGTATTATTTAATGAAATTGATGTATATACATATCGATTGACTAATAAAAACTAATTGTTAAACCAAACATGTGTTTTATTACTCATTGAGTGGGTAAATCAGGAGTCCCTTGTGCTAAGAAGACTAATGGGGTAAGTAAATAGTAGTACTAGTGCGTTACACAGAGTTGTGTAAATTACTCTTTCCGTCTCTGTTGGTGTATGTTGGTAAATTTTTTCTTCGGCACAACTATTTATTTATTTATTGTTTATTTTTTAGAAAGAAACAGGATCCATATAAGTTTCAGAAAGAGAAAACATAAAATCCAGTTATTTTCAATATAATAAGTAAAAGACAAGAAAGATTCATGCTAAGCTTACAATTAGTTAATAAGGTTCTGACCGAGGGGGTAAAAGTTGATGCATAAAATCTTGAAAATATTGTAGGTTCCAGAATAGGTTATTTGCCCAACAAATGTCAACATTCTCGACATAATGACGTCCTGAAGTTTATATTCTGTTTTATGAAGACAAGTCGCCGGATGTGAGTTTATAACATATCCAGGTTGCTCGTCAAAGTGACGTCATAAGTGGTCGTCATAAAATGACTATTAATTCCAGATATGGACTTAATAATAATAATGGTAATTATTTTAAACTATTATCAAATTCTTCTATTTAAAACCATGACGTAGGAAAATATATCTAAAGGCTATTCAAATAGTGTATCAAAGTAATATATCTCTTTTTTTTTTTTTAGAAAAATGTTAAATACAAAAGGGTGATTAATAAATGTCTGGAAAATCAAACTTATATTTTCTAAACGGAACACCACAATATTGCATTAATAGATACTCCTTTTACTTTTTCATGTAGGGTTCTTATGGTTTATACTGAGGGTTTTCGGCTTTATGACCATTTTTTCACCAAAAATACCCTGTGTTTAGTACAGTATATTTTTGATGCCGTTTCCGACAGCTGCAATTTTATTTTGCCTACAATTTTATAAAATATGCTAAACTTGTTTTGAAGTTAGTTCGAATGGTTTATTTATTATTAATTTTTTTAAAAGAAAGGCTCGTCTTTATTAATTAACTATTTTCCGCAACCGCAAAAGATGTTCTCGCTAATTTAATTTACTTTACTTACTTTAATTTAGTTTGGATTTTCCGTACTCCGTACATTCAAAGGAAAATCAGAAGGGCCAAAGAACAATGGATGAATGAAAAATGTGAGGAGGTCGAGCTGCTGGAAAGGAAGAACGATCATTTTGCTGTACATAAGAAAATAAAGGAAATAGTGGGAGGAAACAGGAAAAATAACACAAATACCCTACTTGACGAAAACAACAAGCTAGTGATGGATATTGAAGACATCAAGAGACACTGGAAATTCTATATAGAGCAATTGTTTAAAAGCATAGAACCACGCCGATTCAAATTAACCAGAGAACTAGAGGACTCCCCCAAAATATTAAAACAGGAAGTTGTGAAAGCAATAAAGAACAGCAACATAGGAAAAGCTCCTGGACCAGATAAAATCCACATAGAAATAATAAAACTCTTGGAAGAAGAACACATAGATACGCTGGTTCGACTTTTCAACGAAATCTATTCCACCAGTGTGATTCCCAGAGAATGGCTTAAGTCAGAGTTCATACCAATTCCGAAAAAGACAAACGCAAAAAGATGCGATGAATATAGACTCATTAGCTTAATGAGCCATCTTCTCAAGCTGTTCCTTAAAATCATCCACACAAGAATATTCAGGAAATGCGAGCAGGATATAGGCCAGTCACAGTTTGGGTTTCGAGAAGGTATGGGAACTCGAGAAGCATTGTTTGGCCTGAATGTTTTATTTCAAAAATGTAGAGACCAACAAAAGAAGGTGTATGCATGCTTCATAGATTATGAGAAGGCGTTTGACCGTGTAGATCACGTGGAACTACTGAAAATATTGGAAGCAAAAGGTCTAGATAAAAACGATATTACAATCATCAAAAACTTGTATTTTGATCAAACAGCCATAGTAAAATACAACAATATAACAACTGAGCCAACAAACATACAGAAAGGTGTACGACAGGGCTGTATTTTATCTCCAATGCTGTTCAATTTATACTCTGAACGCATTTTTGAAGAAGCAATAAAGGACACAAGTGATGGGATTAAGATCAACGGTAAAACGCTTAACAACCTCAGATATGCGGATGACACCGCGATAATGGCAGATAGTCCTGAAGCTTTGCAACGCTTACTGAATCAACTCGTTGCAGTCGGAGATCGATACGGACTTAAAGTAAACACCGCTAAAACAAAAATACTTATAGTGTCAAAAACCCCAGAACCACCAATAGATATAAGTATTTATGGGAAACGAATAGAGATGGTAGAAAAATTCAAATATTTGGGGACCTGGATTAGTAACAACCTAGATCCGGAAGTGGAAATTAGATCCAGAATTGAACAGGCAAGAACAACATTTAACCTGATGCGGTCGTTATTGTGTAATCCCACCCTAAATATAAAACTCCGATATAGATTTGTAAAGTGCTATGTGCACCCGGTGTTATTGTATGGTTGCGAAGCATGGACTTTGAAGGTTAGCACCATTAACAGATTAGAAGCCTTTGAGATGTGGACACTCCGTAGACTTCTCAGAATACCCTGGACAGCTCATATAACAAACGAGGAGGTGCTGAGGCAAGCACAGAGTGATAGAGAAATGTTGCACATAATCAAGAAACGTAAAACTGCTTACTTGGGCCATATAATGCGTGGAAGTAAATATGACCTCTTGAAATTGATAATGGAAGGGAAGATTGAGGGGAAACGGGGCATAGGAAGAAGAAACTATTCCTGGTTAAAAAACATCAGAGATTGGACAGGAATGGATGCTCACTCCCTACTTCGAGCTGCTCAAGATCGACAGACATTCGCCGAGATTGTTGCCAACCTTCAATAAACTGAAGACGGCACTCTAAGAAGAAGAAGTACTCTATCGGCAAAACCCCAATTTAAAAATCTATATATTTTTCTTCAGTAATGACCAAAGTTTGACATTAAGTTGACGTAATAAGCATCCACATACTAAATACCAAAATTGACGTAAATGACACCATTCGCCTGAGACATTAAGTACCTCAAATTGATGTCATATAACGTCATTTTCGTTATTTTGTGACTTGTTAATGACGTCATTTTGACGACCCTCTGCTACCTGAGTAGCTATTAGAGAAGATAGTACGGACAAAAATTGACACGACTTTAAGGTCTTGACAATCAGTGTGCGAAAAATGTAAATCGGTATGTCGCAACTGTATACCTTATTCCTAAGAAATTTGTTTTAAACGTATTACGGTTTCCTAAAATTCAAATAAGTAGCCATTTAAGTCGTTCTAAAGCAAGTCATTCAGGACAAAAAGGTGGATTATATTTTTTAACTTAGTTGATTAGTATTTTTAATTGTAATTAGCTTTTGGTTCAGTACTTAAGTGTAAATTTAAATGTTGGGTAATAATGTTACCGTTTTCCTTCAAACGACGATAAATTGCTTCTTAAGCTGTCCACTGACAATATTCTCACTCGTGTTTGGCTTCCAATCTCCTCTTTCATTTTAAACATGGATGTTTTTACACTTTTACGAGGATTTATCTAAAAGTTGATTCTACAACTTTTGAAACTTTGTTTTCTTGCATTTATTTGAGAAAATCTCTTATATTATTATTATAGGTAACTGCTTAGCAAGTGGTAATCTTCTCTCTGCAAATAAATGGTTTGGATAAGTTGCTTCTTGGGTTGTCTACTTATAATATTCTCCCTGGGTTTTCTAAAAGTCGTTTCTACTACTTTGGAAAATTTGGGTTTTCTCTTATTGTTGGAGAAAATCGCTTGTATTGTTATTGTAAATAACTGCTTGGCAATCTTGTGTAGGTAAATAAATGGTTTGATGGCTGATTCTTGAATTGTCGACTTACAATTTTGTTCCTCGTTTTTCTCTTCTAATCTCCTCACTTATTTAAAATATATTTTTTTTAGACTTTCGAGGATTTTTCTAAAAGTTTCATCTACAACTTTTGAAACTTTGAGTTTTCTCGTATTTGTTGGAGAAAATCTCTTCTATTATTATTGTAAATAACTGTCTAGAAAATGGAAATCTTCTGTCTGTGGATAAGTTGCCCTTGAGTTGTCCACTTACGTCCACGTTTTTGGCTTCTAATCTGCACTCGCATTTAAAACATAGATTTTTTTAGACTTTTTCCAGGATTTTTCTAAAAGTTGTTTCTATAACTATTGAAAATTTGGGTTTGCTCGCAAACTATTATTATTGTAAGTAACTACTTGAAATCTGGTAATGTTTTGTCGGTAAGTATGGAGCAAACTTTCATAAGTCATTTTATAACTCTCACTTGACTAATATTAGCCGTTTTTTTTTTTTGCTTCTAGGATTACGAAATTAGAAAATAATTGAGGAAAATTAGTAATTTGTAAAAAGTTAGCGAACATGCTCGTAGTGTCTTTATGTAATTCCCTCTAACCTAGGTCTGCCAATCACCTGAAGGTTTAGTATATTTTTAACGGAGCACGCAAAATCAACATCTGTTCCCGCAACAACATACATCTGCGCACGGGTTACGCTTAATCAGGATTGCCTTGCTTTTCATACGCGTTTCAGCACGCGCCGATTTTTTCTAAGTAGGCCGTTACCAATAACGGTAATCGAAGACCGACGCCTTTTTTTCATCGAAAATCGGTCTACGTGACCATAAAACAATACCGTATATCCTGAAAGCTGGTACACTGTCACTTCTCGTCTAAATGGACAAAAAAAAATAGCGACCGTGGACAGCACCCAATATAATTTAAGCGGAATATTCAACTTCAGCTCGATATGCTAATCACTTTTCAATAAAGCTGATGTGGTGGTACGGCAGCGTAACCATATGATGGAGACCTTACATTCTCTGGGTAATTAATTTGCCTCCCGCGTTCCGAGCATGTATAGAGTGAGTCGGTTGAGGTCAAGGAGTAAATTTACAAGTACATTTTTCAAATTTCGTAGTTTCACCGATAAGTCTGAATT